GATTATAGGAGAAATATAAACATATTTAGTAGAAATTGGTATTTTTTTTTTGTTTATATTGGTTGCCAGTGGAATCGGGCAAATCAAGTATTATTAAGTATTAAGTTATCAAATTGAATTTTCGTACCAAGGTCAGCAGTTGCACTTATAGCCGCTCATCTACCTACGTGTCCGCAATCAAAATGAAAATTAATACAAATAAAACATATTATTTATATAGAGTACTCATCAATTGGGGTCCGCAATCCACCTACAGTGGATTGAATACCTCGAAATATTATACTGCTCACATTATCACCAGTGAGTCTCATGGTATAGAGTTTGCATTTTTAAAAGGCAACAAAGTGCACCGGATCAGCTAGTATTATTATAAATTATATGTTATATATTTGAATATTATTTTCGTTATCAGTTAATTCAATTAATATTAGTAATGGAAGTATTTTAATTTTACTTATCGTTAATTTGCCAACAAATTGTATGTAATAATTGAAATTTCAAAGTTTATTTATATAATAATAATATATATATAAAAGAAAAAAAGAAAACAAATTCTTTACAAAACTTTAATAAACACAAAGTTGATAACTTCGTCGAAGTACCTTGCATTCTTCTTTCGGAACGACTTAATATTTTAAATGTTGTTCGACTACACACCTCGTCAATGTTTATATTAAAGGCCAATATCCTTTCACAAGAATAACAAGTCACAGGAATAGTAATAGATATTTGTAACATTTTTTTTAAAATATAATATTGAATATAGTTTCCCTTCCACTGCTAAACTATGTTAACCATTTTATCCGTGTGTCACATTTTTAAAAAAATATTAGTAGTTAATACTTGTAAGTTGTAGGTACTATATTGAGTCTTATTTTGTATTAATTTTGAATGAATACCAAAAGCCGGATTAGTATAGGAAATATAAACAGAAAAAGCTACATAAAGAATAATAATGTAGTCAATTTTAAATAAAATTATATTTTTTAATAAGTTTTACAATATTTTAAAATACGAACGAAAAAGTCGCATCGCAATTAAAGACAAACGAACATACAAATTGATAATAGAATATATTTGTGCGTTAGCACGATTTCGGTTGGATTACCCCCACGGTATAATAAAATTATAGCTCGTAGCTAGCCACCATGATTAACGTGTATACATCTATAAGCTGCGATGTAAAGAAGATAATAAGTGATACTACTTCCCTATATCACAATGTAACAAAACGGACGCCAAAATGTACGGCAGTCCAGGATTTCGGAAATCTCTCAACAGAGTACGCCACCATTCACCTGAGGGCTTATTTTATTTTAAGTTGTAATGTGTAAATGCACTATTTGATATTTAAAAATGTATTTAAATATATATATATTTAACTATATACTCGAATTTAAAAAAAAAAACCCAAGGGGCAAACTTATATTAGGATTTATTGTTTTAATCACATATTTTGTTAAATAGGTTTGAACATTCATTGATCAATTTGTCAATGAGTTATTGATATATTTTAATATAATAATTACAACTAGAAATTATAACTAAAAATTGAGTTTTTCTGGTGTCTATAAACAGCTCAAAAAGAGTAAAAATATTTTGAAAATTTTATAATGTATAGAAAATTCTAATATAAACATTCGATGTAATGGTTATGTGTCAATAGTAATACTATAATTTATAGGGTTACACCAAAAATCAAAATCAATAATTTGTTGAAAACTGAATTTACTTAAAAATCTTCGTTTTTCAGTAACTTTTTTCCGTAAGACCCCTCAAAGTACCAACTCGATTCATTTTTCTACCATATAAGATGCTGAAGTTGAAAATTGAAGCACTTTATAGTCTCAAAAGAGTAGACACAAAAAAAAATACACACAAATTGTAAAATAAATAAGTACATTCATTGCTCCGATCAGAATCTAAAAATTATTTTTGAATTCATTCATATAATACCAGTAATAAAATTATTTATTAATCAATCCAATGACTAGTTCATGATTCGTAATGTAGATAAAATAACTTACTACCACTTCAATTTTATTAAATAACGTTAAAGTTTGAAAACTTGTTTGTATATCAGTTACTTTTTTGATGTGAAAATAAATTTAAAATGCCAAAAAAATGTTTTGTACCTGGTGTAAAACACCTTGTGCTAGTGAGTCTAGCAGATTAAATCTTCTCTACATCGTGTTATAGACACTCGTTTAATTGTTTCACCGCTTTATCGCATGTGGTTTGTGCAAAGTTGCGCAACACAAAATCATCGTCCACCGCGCACCCAATGTTAACATATTATTTAATATTCATTATATAAAATTATATTGTAATTTTTTTTTAAAACTATATTTGGAAAAATAAATTAAGCCAAGGGGCAGGTTGTGTTTCTCAGTATGTGTTTTCTTCTTGTGTTGTCCAGTGTAAATTCAAAATACTGCTACATGATTGATGCTAATTTTCTTCTGACCGGTTGATCGGTCTGATCGGATTGAGCGATTACATATTTAAAACTTAAAAATTGTTTAATTTAGAGAAGGGTCAAAATATAAGAACTGAAATGAATTGACGATGATTTCAATCAGATATCTGATAATGTATCTAAATAGCATAAACATTCCTTAAAGATGTTTTTTTAATCTAGATTAAAAATATTTTCTCGTGAATATATAATAAGTAGTAATAATTTAAACTTCAAACACACAAAAAAAATGAATGAGATTTTTATACTAAGGATAATAATCCTTAAATAACAAATATTCTATCAAGACTTGATATCCTAGTATTTAAAATACTTATTTTATCGTAACAAAAAAATTATTTGTATTGATAGATCAATAGTAATTATTAATTAAAAACATTTCCAAATAATCTAGGCTCCCATGTCAACTTTATCCATTACCATAAACATTACGCATATTATCCTTATAGTACACAAAGTTATATATCTCTAAAACTACAGGCTTAAATTGTGGTTTAGATACATAAAAAATATTACGAAAAATATCTGCTGAAAAATAAAAAGTTAAAAAATCTCGATCTCAGTAGTAATTTACCTGAGATAAAGGACAAACCAGGGACAATATAAATTAGTGCAATAATTTTACTTAGATTGGCAACGCAAGTCGTGGATCGGATTTATCTCTTGGTATATTTTTACGTGGTTTTAACTACTTACTCTCTAAACATTTCTGAAATTTTTAAAAACAAACTGAGACTTTTTTCAAATTCAATTGATTACCTACTTTCATCGCCTCTTTAAAATGCAAAGATCGAAAAATCATTCCATACAAGTACACATCTAAATTATTAGAGGAACTACTTTTCTCAATTTCATACGTTCAGTAGTTTTTGAGATGAAGCGACAAATGAATGAGTGAGTGGTATTTGGCTTGTATCTAATATATTGATTAATACCTTATTATATTGTAGATAGTACTTATTATGTTTGTTTTGCTAAAAATAAGTTGAAATATCACAAAAAGTATTTTGACCTACATTAATAATAACATTAACATTTTACCAAGCAACAAGTTAACTAATGTTACCAACATAGTTACAATGTAACCATATTAATATTTTTGTCATATGCTATGTATGAACTTCAATTGTTAAAAAATTGATTAAAAAATAAATTCTTTCTTAAATATGTTAATTTTGAAACAGAAGTTTTCATCAACAAAACCAAGTCAATGTAATAACTAAACAGTACAATCAATAAAAGTAATATTACGACCAACAATTATTTCAAATACAATGTACAATACCTAGAGTATCTGATATTAAATTATGAAACAATGAATGAACAGTGCAAGATTGGTAAATTGTAAAAACTGTTCGAATTTAATGTGTCAATTATATATACATATTATATAATGCCCGAGTAGTGATTAATAGTGAGAATTGTATATGCTGTTTAAAATTGTTACACATAAGTAAAAACATTTTAATACAAATATTGATTGCAATCACAATTATGAATAAATTATTTTAAAAACATTACCCTATCTAATCTCGTTAGACTAAGATATACTTATTATACACCCCACGAATCCATCGCATGTGATATTTAACTTCCGTGAAAACAGAGATTGAATTTTTTGTATTTGGATCCTTTATACTCACTACTCCGGTTAAATAATAAGAACCCGAGAATAAAAAGCATAAGCCTGCACCGCTATCTCCCTCACCCAGTGCTTGTCCTGAAACTAAAAATATTTTATAAATAACACATACATTAATCGTACTACTGTCATTGGGTTGCGGGTACAATACTGATTTATCCTATCAATTACATTTAATGATTTGTACAAGTACTATTCTACAATGACAGGTTATAGTGAAATTTGTGTTGAAAAAATTGTTAGCTGATAATTCAATGAATTTTAAACCATAATTATTATTAATTACCTAAATTCGAATTAAAACTATATCAGGTGATTATCAAACCTTCAACTCATCAGCTACTTCCAAAAAAAGTGTATGCTAAAGTCATCAGTCACTTGGTACTGTTGTATACTATAGATGGCCATTAACATTATAATATAATAAAAAATAACATAAGGCATAATATAATGATATAAGTACAGGTAATATAGATTATTTTAACCACATATGTTGTGTAAGTCACTAACGTAGGAAAGAATCAAATTTTGCTGTAGTGATCAAATATTTTGATAAACAGAAGGGCGTACGACTAGCTATTAACTGATTTAAGTGAGGTATTGTAATATGTGAACAACATTATGTTTTAATTCGACAAAAGTATAAACGACCTCAAACATGGTGTTATAATTATTTATTTCCATGCAATCGTTTGGCATTTAACAATTAAAGTTTAAATTTATTTTACTGGGGTAGGTTTTACAACAATTTGAGTCTTTGATAACTTTTTTTACAAATCTGAATTATGACTTTATATGAGTCGATAAGGTGTACAAGGATGGAACTAAGACGATAATCATATGTTGTTGTACATTCGTACGAAAACATTGTCGTACCTCAAAAAATTCAACATTGCCAGCCAGATCACATTTTGAATATTATATCATTAACTCTATAAAGTACGAAGTCAATGGCGATCTGGTATTGTGATACTACAAAGTGGAGCCTAACGTATATTTATTCTGCTAGATATGTGTAAAATACGTATTACTAATTACTTCTATTTTAAAATGTAATTATTTAATTTAGAACAAATTAAGTCCATCTTCATTTTTAAAAGTGTCTACATTAAATTTAAATATTCTGTGTTTAATTAATTTAATTTAAGTTGGTTAAACAAATTAATTAATATTTAAATATTTTATTACCCAATTCAGAACCAGCACAAAATTTATCAACAGTCACAAATAATTCAAATCCGTTTGTATACATATTCCGGCAAGAACTATGGTCAATGTATGGTAAAGATGCTTCTAATAAAATAGGACTTGAAATGCCTTTTTCAGTTTTTCCCCAACCAACAATCTGTAAAATAGAGTAAACAGTTGTATAATGTACAATTATAATTAAGGTATTATATTAATCACTTTTTATGTAAGTGTTGGGAACATATATAATGTATATTACTAAATAGTTAGTTAAATAAATTCTGATTGATCAAAGTTTTATACACACATATATAGGGTATATAGGCTACACATGGCAAAACCAACCGAAGCAATTGTGAAATACTTTTTGATTACATTTAGCACGTGTTCATGATTTTGAAACACTATACGTCACCGCCCAAATATGATGTCATCGCTCGAGGAAAATAACTGCAAGTTAGGTTGCTTTTTTTATTGCTTACTCAAATTAATTTGTAACTTCAATAACGAAAATGACGAACCTAGAGGGGACCACTCTGTAATATTCCTTTTACAGCTCGGTACAGCAACCGCCCTTTTGACCGATGTGCAGATGTGGCAAAAGGAGCATTTCCGAAATAGCTTTTTATGGACGTATGAAAATAGAACATTGACAAAATTCGTCAAAAAACACTTGAATTTGCAATTTATTTATAATTAGGAACTAATAAAAATTATCAATGAATATCCAAGGTTTGAAAATGTAATACAAGATTTCCCATGTGTTTCGTACCTTTAACAATTTATCCCTTTTTCTTATTGAGCTAATGATATCTGAAGTAATCCACTGGTTTCGTTGATTATTATTTTTTTGTACCATAACATGTATAATTATTTAAATTAGTTTTTATAATTGATGAAATTAAAGTTATTTTTTCAGCAAATTTTAAAAGCTTTTAATTCGTCCAATCTGTACTCTAATTGGATTTTTAAATTCTTTAAAGTTAACTAATATTTATATGAATTATTGTTTATATTTTTAATCCATTGTAAATCATTTAATTGAAAAAATATAGGTACCTCACAAGTTGTTTTTATTAAACATTTAATACGATTTTCTTAAATCAACAATAGTATTTTATAAAAATCTGAAATCAGAATTTTTGATAAAACTCGTCAGACATTCAAATTCGCCAATTATTATAAGTTAGAAACTAAAAAGTATATAAACTGATAAAATAAACATATGGTGTACATTTCAATAATCTATAGTTATTCATTTTTTAATTACAATAAAATAAGAAATTCGGCACGTTATAAATTTAGGCATATGAAATGTGGTAAATATTAAAACTTTGAACGCTGATAAAAATTTAATATGACTGTCGGGTAGAAATTTGTTTTTTGATAAAGGTAGACAAAATTAAAAGGAATTCTGTAGAGTTGAAAAATTTAAAACAAGGTTGCATGTATAAGTAGCTAATTCTGTAACCAAAAATTAAGAAAAATATATGAACAAAGCTTTTTTATAGTTTTTTTAAGTTCGAATTTTAATGAAATTACATATTTAAACTAAAAATATCAATTTTAGTTGATTTGTTATAACTCTCAATTTTCAATTTGTATTAGTTTTTTTTATATAAATGTCAATCAGTTTATTATTTTTCATTAGGTCAAAAAGCTTAAATATTTAACAAGAGGTCACTTGCAAATTATTTTGTAGATACTTATTTATAAAAATGTCATTATTTATAATTAAAGATTGACAATTTAAAATGAATTATATTATAAGCAGTTCATACAGCCACCAAAATTCTTAAACAATAAAAACACACAATTTTTGTTTATATTTGTTTAAAATTCAAAGTCAGACAACATTATAATTTATCGTATCTCATAAAAAACCTAACGATCTAATTAAGTTTGGTGTTATTTAAATGTATAGTAATAAAATAGGCTAACTGGCACTATTTGCTCAGAATTGTTTTCCGTACGATATTATATATTTATATCATTGAATTTTAATTTGACACCATTCATTATAGTTGCCCACCTTTTTAGTTATGTATCATTGTAACATGCCAATTTGTATGCTTGTTTTGGCATAGAATCTCACCGTATATGTTCTTTAAATACAGATGGACAATGGTCGACATGTGGTAGTTACAATAATTAAGAGTTACATAAATCACAATTTTATTATTTAAATAATACTACAAACCAACCTTTCCGTGATCTCCATTGACTACATTGTATTTACCACTCCAATCGATACAAACAGGTGCAACACCATTACTAAAAGAAACTCTATTTTGTAGAACAATAATAGCAATATCTCCAGCATGAAATTCAAGAGATCCAAAATAACCTTCATTCAGGTGAATCATTTCTACCTGCACAATTGTTTTGATTTATATTAAAAATTTCACAACAGTAATAAGTTGACTTTGAATTATTAATAACTTACATCAATTATTTGAGTAAAATCATTGTCAATTACTGAAAAATCTCTAGCATATTTTCCTACAGCAACTTTGTATAGACCGTCGTTAATTGATATTTTCTTAGACAACATACCTTTTTGCCAAAAACAATGAGCCGCTAAAAACGTTTTTAATTAATGCACTGTTTCTTTTACATTTTTTACACAGACATTACCAGAAACGACTAAATTTGAAGAAATAATTGATCCTCCACAAATCAAGTCATAATTGAAATTTTTTTTATTTTTTTGATATATTCCAACATTCCAAGGTGCTGTTCCAACAGGAGCTTTTTCACTATTTTCAATTAGTACTTGGTTTACCTTATATACTCTACCACAATCTAAAATAATATTTGAATATAAATATAACTGATAACAATTAATAAGCTATAATACCTATAAAACAGGCATATTTATGAATATTTAAAAATGTACTCAATTATTTATAACCAATGATTATTTGTTCTTCTTAAGCTTTATCACGATATAAAAAAAAAATTTGGATACAATTAAAGTTAAATAAATTATAGTAAAATATGTATACATCAGAGATTTATGTTTCATGACAAAAAAATATAATTACATGGATTGCATCTATATAGTTGCTTATTCCATGTTCCATTAGACTGACAAAGTAATTCAAGCGGAGTCTCGCCTTGTCCATTTGGTGATGCAGTATATGTTGGCTTACATGATGGAGTTGCTATTGTATTGGGTATCGATAAATTTGAACAATTAGCAAACTTATTATTATGACTACATTTTATATCTAGACCTTTTGATTCTAGAGGTGGACACATTCCTATAAACGTAAATAAATTATAATGTAACATAACCACACTTTGGAATTTTAATATATATATAAATAAGTAACTATTAAATCATTCGAATTACTATACACTACTTACTCAAACATAATTTCTCAAAATTGGATAACCATTTTCCTTTTCCCAGACAAAACCTAGAACTATTGGTATAAGCCTTATGATATCCAACTTCACAATTCTCAATAACAGTAAGATTGTGATTTACTAATGTTCCATGAGATAAAATTTCATTAGAACCTTCATAAGAATACACAACTCCTTCAACAGATGGTAAAACGCATGAATTCACTGTGAACTGTCAAAGTCTTAAATGGTAATAATATACATTTTTTCTGAAATATCTTGGTTTTAATATCATTAAAAACCCCAAACCAATATAATAATTCAAAAATTAATATCTAAGACTTTAATGAAATACATTTACGTACATGTTTGTTTAAAATTCCACGAATCCATTGAACATGGTGTTTAATTTCTGTAAGAGCTATGACTGTATGGTTTTCTAAATTATACCCGACACTCTGTATGCCCGTTAAATAATAATCATTAAAGTGTAAAAAGCTTATGCCTGTTCCAACATCTATATCGCTTATTATGTCTCCTGAAACTAGAGATATTTTATACATAATATTATTTTAAGACTCAGCTTCAACATATTAATTGTTGCGGGCAGTGGGTACGTAGGAGTAAATCCGGGTGGCGAGTGGTGGTTCACACTTTGAAATTATTATTTTGGTTTAGAGATGCCATTTTGAGGAGTGCATTGTGTATCTTGGCATTATTTGCCATGAATACTAATATAATACGTATACAATATAAATCAGGGGCGGCCAAACGGTTGATCGAGGACAATTTCAAAGTCGATCATGTTAGAATTTAGTTTTTGGGACACGCATACGAAAATTAATCGAGGTTGTAGTGAACAAATTGTCGATAAGTTTTATCTGTATAATTAAAAAAAATTTCTATGGTAGTCGATCCTCAAAGATGAAGTATATTTTTAGTAGATCATGACCAACAAAAGTTTGGCCACCATTGATATAAATGTATTATACATGTATTATTATTATGTATGGAGGTAAGCTAGATAAAGCATATTATTATTTATTATTTATAGATATGTATTATTAGTATGCATGACCAAATAAGCTGTTTCCAACCTTTCGGATAATGCTTTTATTTGTTACTAGTTATAATAAAATATAGTATATTATAGGTGGGCATCGACTTAGGTATGCTCGTTTTAATATTCTTTCGCTATCAAATTGCTATCAACAATAATTTATACTATGGTTGATAACATATAGTACATAACTATGTAATGTATAATACACACATTAAGTCAATGATTCATTGTTCATTGATTATTATTTGATATTTATGTATTGCTACATTTATTGAACCAAATTATTTTGTACAATTAATTAAAAATCATAAATATCAAAAATGAAAAGAAGAGAAAAGGTGAAACTGATCGTTTGACTGAGAAAAAGAAAAAGAATGATTGAAACATCAACTACAATATAGATCAAATATTTTCCAAAATAAAGTAGTCGGAAATTATAGAAAGTGCATTTTTTACTATTAATAAAGTAGTCTGTTTTTACTGGCTGGTAATTACCAACAAATTTATCAGCTTTTAATTGTTATTGAACTTTAATAAAAAAAAGTTTGTAGTCTGAAATTCGAAGTGTGCTCACTACCAATATGAGGAATGTGTACAAGTAAAAATTAATACATTCATACTACTATTTAGGTAAAATCAAGTTAATCTGTTTGACATAAAACAGTATCAAAAAGGTGTTAAAAGCTAAACTACAAATAAAAATACGATTAAATGATAAAATATAAAATATTGTATTAAATAATCCTTTTGTATACGCCAAGTGGCCAAGTACGGAACAATGATAGACCGTTAGCCTGATCGCTGCTTCTTCGTACGCTCACTCACACACCGACCGATCTATGTATGTGTGTATCTTGTATTAGAAATTCAATAGAAGTGGACCTGGTCGCCGAGCAAGATTATTGAACGATAGTGTGTGGTGGGTGTATATATATGTGTGTATGTTTGTGCGTGTGTACTTAAATAATTAAAAACTCTAAAGGCATCAATGTTTTTGACTTACAATAATTTTAATCAATAATATTTTTGGGCTTGAATATTGCCATTGTCTTAAAATCAATAATTTAATCGCTACAATCAATATCTAAATTGTTATTACCCAATTCACTATAGATACAAAACTTATCAAATGTCACATATCGATTAAATCCATCTGTATATGTTTTTCGACAAGTACTAGGGTCAATATACTTAGAAAATCTTTCGACTAAAACAGGACTTTCTGTGCCATTTATCATATCCTCAATAACATCCTGTAAAAGTTTAAAAATGTTTTATAATTTACAATTGCAAGGTTAGATTAAGGAGATAGGTAAATAAAGGTATAATATTAATATCTCGTTATGTAATCTGTACCTAAGTATCGGTAATTAATTTCATTGCATTTGTAAATAAAGTCTTACTAATCAAAGTTTTTAATTTTGGAGATAGATCTAATATAAAATAAAAATCACGTTCAGAGATTTAAAAAAAATGTTTTATTCTGGGTACCTACCAATGTACTCCCTATAGCACTTGATATGCGTCTATGGCGACAAATTCACTTGCAGAACTCATACGAGTGTTATTATTTATTAAGGATGTGCAAAGAGGTAATGTAGCTTAATTTATAATTTATTAAAAGTTGATTTTTTAAATTTATTTGTTCGTCGATTTAAAGCTATCATCAAAATATATTTACTTGAGTGGATAACATAACCATGAACTACCACCACTTTTTAGAAATTAAACCAGACAACAAATTTCAAATTATATTTTATGTATTTTATAAAACTACAAACTATAACATGAAACAACATATTTACCTTTGATTGATCTCCATTCTTTACTTTATATTTACTCTTCCAGTCGATACAAATAGGTGTAACACCATCACTAAACGAAACTTGGTTAGCTAACACAATAACAGCAATATCATCAGCAAATAACCCATCAATTCCATTATAACCTTCATTCAGATAAATCATTTCTACCTGAACAATAATTTTAATTTATATTATAAACATCATACAAATTATTTGTTGACTTTGAATCATTAATTACTTACTTTCACTATTTGATTATATGGAATAACTACAGTATTATTCACTTCATACTTTTTAACAACAATTTTGAATAGACCATCGTTTATTGCTATTTGTTTAGATAACATACCTTCTTCCACAAAACATTGAGCAGCTAAAAACGTTATTTAATTAATGATCATTCCATCTTAAATCCATTGTACCGGAATTTTACCGGAAATGACTACATTTGGAGCAATAATTGATCCTCCACATATCAAGTGGTTATAGGAATCTTTTAATTTATATACTGCAACCGTCCAAGGTAACGTCCTTACAAGTGATTCTTTACCACTGTCGATCAGTTCATTGCCTTCGCCATACACTTTACCGCAATCTACAACAATATTAGATACATATTAGATGTACCTATAATATTAGAAGCTCCAAATTTAGATTAATATGCGGAACTCTAGCATGTATCAGTTATTACATAAACATATAAATAATACTAAATGTCATATTATAGCTATTATTTTTTACTTGTGGTCATATTTGTTCCATATTCATATCGAGCACACAACTCTTTGGACTCGTCCGAACCATCTGAACAATCATTACGACCATCACAAACCCACGACCATTCGATACACAGTCCATTTGAACAATAAAACTTATCCTCAGTGTCTCTATAATTGTATTCAAATGTGCAACAAATTATTGTTTAATACAATTAATATAATTAATTTAAACAATTAAAAATAATATGTGAAAAATGAAGTGGTTTTGAACTTCTTGATCATAAAATGTAATTAGCACTAAGAATGCCTATTATTTTATATAGATCATATATCGATTGATGGTTCTCATCAAAACTTTAGGACTCTTAGCCTTAAAAACCCCAACCACCACTATATTTCGCCACTTATAATAAAATAATATTTATTTATATTACAGTCACCAACACTGAGCAAGATGATACAGCGTGTCGTCCCTCAAGTTTTCTGTCACACAAAACGGCGGATCCTAAAATAATAAAACCCTTTTTGCATTAGAAACACTAACAATGTTTATTGGATTAAGATTACTATTTATTATACTGCATTGCAGCATTTTCTTTCTCATAAAACTTAAAGTTAACATAACTGACATTAGGTAAGTTCATCCTATTGTCTTAATTTTGCATAGAGTTTGGTGTGTATCTATTTAAAACCAATTTAAATAATCTAAATTCGAAAATTAAATAAAAATTATCAACGACTGGTATACGATTTTTGTACCTCAACTTTTTTAAGAAATTTCATAGATGTTTCGTAGACCTATCTCAAATGATATTATTTTGTTCCAATTTATTTCATTAGTTTTACAATTATAGGCACTACATATTTGTATCACACCCCATGATATATAAACTAGTTCGCTACCCTAATGATGTGGGTTATTATTCAAGTATCTCATTTTATCATATTAAAACTGTTAAATAAAATAATGTGATTCAATTTTAATTAAAAATTTAATTTATTTTTAAAGTTATTCATTTTATACAGTAACTTGAATCGGTATACCTAACATAAAAATACATAGTATAAAATGCTTTTAAAAATCAAAATTTTCTCATGCCGCCTACCTATAAATAGCACAAAAATTAAATATATTTTGAAAATGATATACTGTGCAGAAAATATTAGTATACAAATTTAATGGAAATTTTACGTATCACTCATCCCAAGAAAAAATTCGATTTTGTTAAAAACTAGGTTATTTTCAAAAATAACTATACAACCTTAACTATATAACCTTTAAAATAATAATTTCCTCAGCGTACAAAAAATATTTAAATAGATTGCAGTGGATGCAGTGGCGTATTTAGGCCGGGGCCATCGGGGCCCCCAAAGTATGTTTAAGTTGGTAAGACACAGGACCTTTATCATTACATTAAAAAAAATAGTAAACATTTTTTTTTAAATTTAAATTATACTTGTTAAAAAAATAATTTTATTTTAAATAAGAAAAAAAATTAGCAGCGATGGCGTTTATTATCTTATGTATTATCTAATTACATACGTGTAATAAATTATTATAACTTAAAAGCAGTAATTGCAGCACAGCAATTCTAAGAATATTATTTCTAAGGCGGTAACTATCATGTAGGCTTCTCAACGCTATAACCTATTAATAAAATATTGTAATTTGTACGCCAAACGTCTTCGTCTCCTTGCAATCCTTATAATTATTATTAGATCCTGGGAACACTATTTAGGGTCGAAATAGACGATCGAATTTTGCCGACTGATCGCCGTGTTCATCATTGCGCGGTAAATACGTTAGAGACGGCGAATTGGGTGAGCCGCTAACTGAGCGGCCGGCGAAAAACGTCACTGTCTATCTACCACAATCTAACCGGGCCCTCTACAAAACTTACAATAATACAATTTATAAACAATTATTAAAAACCAAAATTCATAAGCATTTTGATATAAATAATGTCTTTTTTATTTTTTTTTAATATCTTTTTAGTGTCGAAATCAAAAAAGAAAAAATGAATTATTTTTGTACTACCCACCTAAGCGCATTTTTCATGTTAAAACTTTATTATGCGGGCTTTAAGCACAGTGAACTCAGTTATGAAATCGTCAACATTAATTGTTGAAGCTAATGCGTTCTACATGCATGAAATAGCAAGTGTTTTAAAATATCAAAATATATATTGTACATTAATAGCCATTTAATTATTGGTACATATACATTGATACATATATATCATAAAATGTTATTCTATAATATTATTAATAAAAATAAATATTCCTATAAAATTTCAAAAAAAACAAATTTATTTCAACTGTCCTCTAAAATAGCCTGGCCCCAGTACTCCAGGTCCAACAGCCTACCCTTTTGCGAGCCCTTATCAAATCACGACCTTAATTTTTTTCATATGATCCGTATAAGCATTAATATTGTTCAAAAAAATTTTAAAGAATAAATTATTCCTAAAATATGTTAGTTAGTACAATAGTACATAATGTCATAAAAGCAAGATTTCTTATTTACTACTGTATAGTTAACACAGATATTAGTGATATTACATACCGAAAATTAAACATGAATATATTATCCAGGAGTACGTAACCTTCATTGTCAGTGGTAAGCTGAGACCAAAGTAAATATGTTTGAAAATATAAATATTAATGATTAAGTTATATACAATTAAAGTTATACTATACACTAAACAATATTTTACCTGAAAATTTTTAACAAGTGTTTATAACAAAATATACTGTGATAATATGATATATATTAAACATTGACAGTGTCTGTAGTCAATTTATCAATTTTTAACTTCACACGATAACACTATACGATAGACGATACTACCAATGCAACTTTACAACACCAGTAACACAAAATATATTGTCTTTTATAATCTATACTATTCTATCGTGATACCACCAATATTGATAGTATAATTATGTTCCTCCTACCAGCTATAAGCGATCAAATGAAACACCGAAGGATAAACTACGTAGATAGATGGTAGTGGTAATGAAAAATTTAGTTTTTTACTAACTTGTTTTAAAATTGATTGTATCGGGTGATTCTTTTATCATTGAACATACTCATTGTTTCAAAAAATATTAATGTTTTCGAAAAAAAAGCTTACATGGTTTCTAGTCATTAAAAAACATATACAATTATATTTATAAACTTATGTTTTTTAATATTTTTTTAAATTTTAGAATATTTCAATACATAAGTACAAATCGAATAATATAGGACAAGTAATTTAAGGGTTATAAGTATTTAAAATGTAGATGTTTAGTGTAGAGTAATAAGTGGTTAGGTATAGCTTGTCGATACTTTAAATACTTGTAGCTCATAAACGAACTCATCCTAAATTCGATTTTTTGCATCGAAATACTCAGAAAAAATATTCTGCTCTTGAAGATGTAATTAAAACAAAATGCTGTAACTCGACAAATTATAAGGACACAAAATATTTGTAACCATTAAAAAAAAGGTTTTTTTCAATAATGTTGTGTGCGTAATCTCAAAGGTTCCAAAAGCCGTAAGCTTTAGAGACAAATCAACAAGTACCAAATTGAACTGTAGAATTATGTTTATTTAGCAGAAAATATAGTAATAGTATAATAGCGTGTGCGCGTGTGACGAGAAGTTGCTCAGGTCTCCGTGGCTATGATACATCTGCCCAGGCTGTCCCACGGGCTCCCTTATAAGTGATGGCGGTTCCTTTGATGTAGCGGCGAGTGCAAATTGTATGTGTGTGTGTTTCGGTTGTTGTTGCTAATTCTTAGAATAGCGACTTGTGTCCATGATTTCTAATCGTGTACTTATCCAGTGATTTATGGATAAGTATGATATATTATATTTATGATATATTATGATATATTATGATATATACTATGTTATATACTATGTTATTATATATCGAATAGTTGCGTCTAGAGTCTCAAGGCCCGCAACAATAATATGAGTGCCCAACGCTAAACAAATCACCCGGTATAGAGACTTCCGCGTCAAAAACAGATTATGTTTTTTCGACGTGATTATACATAAATACGTGTAAGACTGGTTGTTCAGATTATTCAGGTACAGTGTCCAAGTATGTGTACACTAAACTCATTATACAAACAACAACTATTTTTGTTTAAATTTATATAGTATCAATTTTATACTGTTTGTATATTATTTTACTATATCATACTATAATGTAGGGAGTAAATCGTACAAGTTATTTTTAAATTATAAACAATTAATAGTAATTAATAAAATGATTTGGAATTATCTATTAATATTGCAAAATTAAAATAATATAATTATAAGAGATTTCAGACAGTCAGACAATCAAATTACGATACGGTCGGTAATCATTAAAGTTTAAGGTTTAAACTATTTAAAAATTGAATACGACAATACATTATTTCTCATTGATAAAAGTATTTTATTGTATTGAGTGTTTTACCATGTATTTCTACTGTCTACGAATAAAATTATTATTCTTCTAATCAACATTTAAAATTTTTTTTATATGTAATTAATTGACTCTTGCACTCATACGTTTATTATAACATTGTTTATACTTTTTTTTCATACTGAAAAAAAAATTGTATTAAACATTTTTTTTTGAAAACTTTAAAATGGTCAATTTTAGTAAATCATATTTTTACTATAGTTGTGAAAACGAGAGCTTATGAATTGTCTTTCATCTAACCCTCGAGTTGCCTCCCATGAATTTTTTTTTTAAATGTTACTCGAATTGCCTCTCTACAAAAAGGGAGTCGAAAAAGTATAATAACCCTCTTATTGTACTGGAATAGCCTCCGATAGCTATAATTAATTGATTTAGGTATAACCATACATATTATAGAAATATAGACTAATAAACATATTAAATAAACTGAGAAAATAAATGTTGATACATAATTATAATATTTTATTTAATAGACTGACTTGACAGTAATAATAAAATGAATTGAAAGTCAAAAGTGACGTTTTTTAACACTTAACAGCAATACCAGCCTACCTGCAGGTTGCTTTTAAAATCATATTATATAAAAGAAAGAACCGCTTTAGCCCCTCTCAGGACTATAGATGACTGAATCTAATGAGGCTTTTGATACATAATATTTTTTTTAATGTAGACACACAATTGTTTTACAAAGAAATTATGTATTTAAGTCCTAGTTTAATATACTGACTAAAAAAGAAAGTGTTACTTTCAGATGATTTTTTTAATAATCTAACCTGGATGTAACTATTTTTTTCAACTAAAGATGATGGTACAAATTAGAAATCAAGTATACTACGAGATGATATAACATACTGTAGGTACGTATTACGATTTATAACAACAATTCTGTAATTAAACAAATATTGTACACACCACTAAAATATCATTTTCTTAATTTATTTTACTTTGTAATAGTTTCAAAACCATTTTTGCTTCAAGTACACACTTACACACACATACATTATTGCAAATTAAAATATTTAACCTGATAACAATTGAATACAGATTTGTACAGTCATTTTTATTTTTATTAATCGGTTTAAAATTAAATTTTGTTATATCAATATAGTTATGTGACAGATTACTGTTTTTGAAAAATTACTAGTAGGTTATATATAGCCTATATATTATATGCTAATATTGTATTCAAAACTCTTCAATGCAGGTAGATGGATGGATTTATTTATTATTATTTTTTCATAAATTTAATATTAAAATATAATAAATATTATACTAAATACTAACATAATGTCATTAAACATAATTTTCTATTTATAATTATATTGTTAACACTGATATATAATATGTATTATGTATATATTAATATATAAGACAACACCTGTAGAAATATTCAAATATTTTAATTACAACTAGAATACATATTTTAATAACATAGCCATAATCTTATTGTACTTAGTTATATTTGTTAAACAGTCTACGAATCCATAGAATGTAGTGCTTAACATCTGTAAAAACTGCAATTGAATTATGTGTATTTGGATCCTTGATACTTACTACTCCGGTTAAATAATAAGAATCAGAGTGGTTATAGCATAAGCCAGCACCACTATCACCTTTACTCACTGCTTGTCCTGAAACTAAGAATATTTTATTCAAAATACTGAAGTTAATCATATGACATTATGACAGTTATTACGTAGGGGATACAATATAGATATATCTTATTAATTACAAATTATGTACAAGGATTATATTACAATAGTGTACACAATATAAAATATTTCCCATAGTACACTTTTAATATAAAAAGCACAGGGAAATTAATTAAGAAAGGAATACACATAATATAATATGCCACAAACACCTACACATGCAACACATAATACATAAATAATACTCTCCTATCTAACTTTATGATTATAAATTACAGATGAAAAGTACCACATTATAAGTATGTGCGATTTAGTACCTAAAACATATATCACACGTGGTTTGATACGATAAAAGTATAATATTTATTGGGGTTTTCTAGACACATTTACACTGCACACCAGATCAGTAACTGTTAGTCGATAACTCATTTATATTGTCATTGGTTACACGATTGAGAGTTAAAATAATATAGTGTGATAATCAAATTAATTAGATATATTACTTAAACGTGCACTATCACTATAAGATATAAAGCCTAGTAGCAGGGGGTTGTCAGACCATATTTTCTTCTCCGAATGACACAGACTACAGTTCTCGGCCACCATATTCGGACGAGTCACCAACCCCCAGTACACACCGTATCTTACTCTTACGTTTATTATTAAAGGAAAATGTGGTTGAGCATGATTGATGAATCGCCCTGTATAGTTTATTTGAAAGATTTGTAAAAATATATTTTGTATTCTTATACTAATATTGTAAAATATGATACATTGTATTACATAAAATTAAGTTTATCTTAATTTTAAAAAATGTCTAACTTCAATAAATTTAAGTTAAGGTTGTTAATAAAATTAATGGTTTCTGGGTACCTATATGTGTTTAGAAATTTTGTTACCTGATTCAGAACCGGCGCAAAACTTATCAACAGTCACATATGGTTCAAATCCATTTGTATACATTTTCTGGCAAGAACTATGGTCGATGTATGGTAAAGATGCTTCTAATAAAATAGGACTTAAAATGTCCATTTCCGTCTTTCCCCAACCAACAATCTGTAAAGTTACAAAATAGTTTTTTAATATACAATTATAATGAATATATGTATAGTATTAATCTCATTATATGTAAATTTTACAGTGTGAGTAATAACTAAAGACTGGATTTTGCATAAAATGCATTTTGCTATTTTCTAGATCATATACATGCAGTCAATGAGTGTCCACAATTCATTACTTAATTGATTAAATATCAAAATTTTATAGAGCATATTTTTGGATATTCTAACGTTAGTGCATATTCTGCATATTTTTGCATATTTTAACAAGAAACCGTGCAAATATACACCTGACGATCTAAAAAGGTGTTGAGTAAAAAACAGATTATAGATACGTTTATAAAATATTAATATCAAATATTTTGCATCACAAAGAATATTCGGACGCTAAAAATAGGTTAGGTTATTATTTTTCCAATTAACATACTACATTAAATTTTTCATACTTTTTTTCTATATATATCAGTATATCACCAATGTATCTACAATTTGATTTTAATATTTTAACACTGTATCAATGATTAAAAATTAAATTACAATTTAACAAATTACATTATTGTATTAAATATTTTTATATTATACATCTTACTTTTCTTTATGAACATTTTAATAAGACTAATAAATAATTATCACTGCAAAATTAAAATCAAATATAAAATCTAAAAGAAATTTTATTTTGTGTCTTTTGTATCTTTTTCTTGCATATTTTAACTTTTTTTTGTGCATTTTGCATGCATATTTTAAAATTTTAAATTCATATAAATCCGGTCTTCAGCAATAACTAACGAGTATAATTAGTTAAATAAAGTCTCTGACTGAATGAAAATCTTTTGTTTTAGAAATCAAACGAATATGGAATAAGAATATTGAATAATTTTCAGTGGTCTTACAATTTGAATTTTGAATGATAAGATTTTTGTTCAGTTTAGTCAGGTAGATAACATTCCAACATTTAACAGCTATAACAGGGTTAGCGATATTATATGCCAGTGGCCTATTTGCCAAATTTCAATGGTATGACAAAATTAATTACAATATTTTTCTTGAAATATTTTGAAAAATAATTTTATAAGTTAGTAGTAATAGGAACTTTATCTTCGAAAAAACAACAACAGAAATCACATAAAAATGTAGAATTATAATTTATAAGTTATAACTCTCATTGAATTTAAATTTAACATCACCATTCATTACAGGGACCCACTTGTGGTATCCAGTTGCTCACTTTTTTTGGTTATGTATCATTGTAACATGCCAATGTGTATGCGTGTTTTGGCATAGAATCTCACCGTATATGTTCTTTAAATACAAATGGACAATGGTCGACGAGTGGTAGTTATAATAATTAACAGTTATATAAATCACAATTTTATTATTTAAATAATACTACAAACCAACCTTTCCGTGATCTCCATTGACTACATTGTATTTACCACTCCAATCGATACAAACAGGTGCAACACCATTACTAAAAGAAACTCTATTTTGTAGAACAATAATAGCAATATCTCCAGCATGAAATTCAAGAGATCCAAAATAACCTTCATTCAGGTGAATCATTTCTACCTGCACAATTGTTTTGATTTATATTAAAAATTTCACAACAGTAATAAGTTGACTTTGAATTATTAATAACTTACATCAATTATTTGAGTAAAATCATTGTCAATTACTGAAAAATCTCTAGCATATTTTCCTACAGCAACTTTGTATAGACCGTCGTTAATTGATATTTTCTTAGACAACATACCTTTTTACCAAAAACAATGAGCCGCTAAAAACGTTTTTAATTAATGCACTATTTCTTTTACATTTTTTACACAAACATTACCAGAAACGACTAAATTTGAAGAAATAATTGATCCTCCACAAATCAAGTCATAATTGAAATTTTTTTTATTTAATTGATATATTCCAACATTCCAAGGTGCTGTTCCAAAAGGAGCTTTTTCACTATTTTCAATTAGTACTTGGTTTACCTTATATAATCTACCACAATCTAAAATAATATTTGAATACATGTATAACCGATAGCAATTAATAAGCTATAATACCTATAAAACAGGCATATTTATGACGATTTAAAAATGTACTCAATTATTTATAACCAATAATTATTTGTTCTTTTTTAATTTCATCATTTAAAATATACACAAAAATCGAAGAAATTCGACCTAATATAGATACAACAATGAAATCTCGCTTAATGAAATTCTCAAATCTTCTATTCCAAGTACTCCCTCCACAAGATACTCAAACACTCCCCTAAAACTCAAGACCATACTCTTAATATACAACATAAATATGGATCTAATAATCCAATAGAATATAAATTGAATCTCTAACATCGCACAGATACTCAACGAGCAAAATACAATATCAAACCAATAGTCCAACATATTACAAGCGATTGACGAAATTTAAGCCACAAAAATCAAATCATAATAGCATTTTTAAGAACCACAAATATTATTTAAAAACTGTGACCTCATATAACTTGTGTGTAATGCAACACCTAAACTTAAAAAACAAAATGCCTTATGTAAGACTTAATGTCAGGCTAATAAGTAATAACCTTCGCTGTTAAAGCCTTAATTTAAATTTTTAAGAAAAAGTACATACAAAAGCATTGAGATACAGTAAAAGTTAAATAAATTAGTAAGATATATGAGATAATATATAAGAGATTTGTGTTTATATAACAAAAAATACAATTACATGGATTGCATCTATATAGCTGTTTATTCCACATTCCATTAGATTGACAAAGTAATTCAGGCGGATTCTCATCTTGTCCATTAGGAGCAGTATAATAATATGATGGCTTACAAGATGGCGTTGCTATTGTACCGGGTATCAATAAATTTGAACAATTAGCATACTTACCATTATGACTACATTTAATATCTAAACTATCCGATTCTAGAGGTGGACACATTTCTATAAATGTAAATAAATTATAATCAAACATAACCACATTTTGAACTTTTAATATGCAGATAAATCAGTCATTTTTACAACATTCGATTTACTACACAATACTTACTAAAACATAATTTCTCAAAATTGAATAACCATTTTCCTTTTCCAAGACAAACCCTAAAACCATTGGGATAAGCCTTATGGTATCCAATTTCACAATTCTCAATAATAGTAAGATTATGATTAATTAATGCCCCGTGAGATATAATTTTATTAGAACCTTCGTAGGAATATACAACTCCTTCGACGGTTGGTAGAATGCATGAATTCACTGTAAACTGTTAAATACATAAATGTTAAGTATATTTATTATTTCTAAAATATTTTAGTTTTGATGTCATTCAAAAAACCAAGCCAATAAAATAAATCAAAATTAAAAGTTATGCCCGTAATGCCAATATATAAATATATTTACGTGTTTGTTTAAAAGTACACGAATCCATTGAACATAGTATTTAATATCTGTAAAACCTAGGACTGAATCGTATTTCGACTTATTTGTGATACTCAGTATCCCGGTTAAATAATAAGAATTATCGTGTAAAAAGCTTATGCCTGATCCGATATTTTCAGCAACCATTCTTTGTTCTGAAACAAAAGATATATTATACTCGTACATAAAATTCAAATTGAACAAATAGGCGGAAATCCATTACATTTTCAAGTTGAAAGGAGGAGGGTAACATTGTTTATTTATTTTTATTTTACTTCAAACAATAGTGTTTAGGAAATAACATAATGAACACTGTAACAGTTATCCCCCCCCCCCCAAAAAAAAAGAATCATTTAAACTTAATATCCATAAAAGAAAAAGGTGCCTTGGAATTAGTGATAATTGGTTATTATAGTAGTTAATGATATGATTCTCATAATAAAAAGATTCTTTGTGAAGTTGGAACGACTCATCGGCAAATGAAAGGGCTCCTGGAACCTTTACTGTTAGGGTGAGCATGAAAACAAAGTAGCCTATGAAACTTTGTAGTACGGAAATATCACTATATTTATTTTAACCTCATTTTGGAAACATACAATTCTGTTCTGTTTAATTTTTGGTTCTGTGGGTATTAATAACTGCATTGATTTCATAATGATATGATTCTTTCATTTTATTTTTATTTTACACAACACAGTTATAAGTCCTTCGATTTTCTGATGAACGATGGAATCTAGTTGGTAAATTTGAGAGGTGAAAATTGAATTTAAAAAAGGCCTAACCTAAAAAAAATTAAGAAAAAAGAAGAATTTTTATGTAAAATTGATTTTGACAAAATTGATCTTGTTTTTTTAGTGTAACTCGAAAGTATAAGTGTAGATAAGTACAGCTTTCACCGAATATTGACACTAAAATTTTCTATGCACGACTCAATTTTGAAAATATTTTGACTGAAAGAATAAACGAAAAAAAAATCTTAACGTAATTTCACAATTTTTTTTTTCTGGACTTCCGTAATAATTCATCCAATTCATACAAATTTTATTTTTATTTCAAGATTAGAAAATTGACTATAAGATTCATAGTAAATTTTACTACGTACATTATAAATATATTCATATATCATATCTCCACTCAGAACCGGCACAAAACATATCAACAGTCACAATATATTCTTCGAATCCATTTGCATTCAATTATCGACAAGAACTACAGTCGATATATGGTAAAGTTTGCAAGTGGATTACTGTAAGATATGTGATAAATTTGAATGCAATAATTTATCATTGTACATGAAACACCATTCTGAGAGAAGATAAGTGTGTGTGTGACCGCCTAGGGTTAAATACCCCATAATAGAACTGTTCAAAATAATAAGTAGATAGACTTCATTTTCAAAAAAAACATCGAATTTGCATACTTATTATCCTAATATTAAAGATCGTTTTTAGTAACTATATGAAATATAAAATACATTCAAGGATCCTTGCATTACGTTTAATTAAATGTAAAAGCCTTTGCTATAAAAATTGGATATCAATATAAATTTTTTTAAGTACGATTTTGATATTTTTAGGTAAGTAAGAAACTTATGCGTAACCTTTTTTAACATTTCAAAACTTGATAACAAATCAAATACATTTTTATCGACATTCATAGAAATAAAACTAAAAAAATTAAAAGTTCAAAATTAAAAAATGCCTCGGTATGTATTATAAAACAATATCATAGACAGAAATATTGCAAATTTAAAAGTTCAATTTCATATATCTATAAGGCTACTCTTCAAAAATATGTATATTTTATTAGGACTATATATTATAATATATTGTCTAGAACTGGTTTTGAGAAAAAATCCAAGAATTAAAATTATTAAATAAAACACTAAAATATTTTACTTTTACCCTCAAAGTGTCAATTATATCCAATCTATCAAAATTCTATATCCTGTTTTAAAATCTGAGCATTTTTCCTGCTCCAAAATGTGTTAATAGACACAAAAAAACAACAAAAATCACTATAAAATCTATACTTACATCCTCATGATTAGAATTATAGAACCTTACCCAATGAATTATCGGTACAAAACTTATCAAAAGTCAGAAACCTTAGAAATCCGTCTGAATGTAATTTTCGACAAGTAGTAGAGCCGATATATTGAAATAATTTTGCAAATAAAACAGGACCTTCTGTGCCGTTTTTCGAGCCCCTAACAACAACCTGTAAAAGTATGAAAACATTTTAAAATGTATAATATTAATATCTCTTATGTAAGTGTCAGTAATTAATTCAATTGCATATTTGTATTTTTAAATAAAGCTGATTTATCAATAATTTTAATTTTGTAGATGGATCAAATATGAAATAAGAATAGCTTTTAGGGATTTTACAAAAAAAAATTTTATTTTGGAGCCAATTTAATTCCTAGTACTTGCGATCACAAAATATGTACGAGTTAATGGAAATTTGCAAATAGGCAATGTAGATCACTTTGTTCATACTAATACATTATAACGGACACATTGTTAATATTGCAGATCTCTTTCTGAAAGTAAATTTAAGTTTATTTTTTAACTTGTACGTTCCTCAGAGCAAAGTTGTGACGTAAATTAACTTAAAGGGTCTATATTCGCACAACTTTATCATTTTGACTCAAACATTCTTGGTGAGTTGTACGTTTCTGAACGTAATTTGTAACTTATTAACAGTATGTTTTCGAAATGTATCAACGATTTGAAGCTATCACCAAAATGTTTTAACTTTCGAGGAAAACATAGCCATAAGCTCTCACCACTATGGAGAAATTAAACCAAATTTCATATTATATTTTGTGTATATAATAAAACTACAAACTTAATTATAGCATATTTACCTTTCCTTGATCTCCTATCTTCACATTATATATATTATTCCAATCGACACAAACGGGTACTACACCATTACTAAACGAAATATTCTTCGTTAATACAATTACAGCAATATCTTCAGCAAATAAACCAGTAAATCCATTATAACCTTCATTCATGAAAACATTTTCCACCTATATAATTGTATTAATTTACATTTTACATTTCATACAAATTACTTGCACACTTTAAATTATAAATAACTTACATTCATTATTTGAACTAAGTCATTGTCAACAACACTGTTATTAATCACTGTTACATTTGTATCAAATTTTCCAACAACAACTATGTATTGTCTATTTTTTGCTAATAATTCCTCAGGTGACACATTTCTTTCCCAAAAACATTGAGCCGCTAAAAACGTCATTTAATTAATTATCATTCCTTCTTAAATGCATTGTACAAGGATTTTACCAGAAATTACTACATTTGAAGCAATAATTGATCCTCCGCAAAACATATGATATTGAGAATCTGCATTTTCATACAATCCAACCTTCCAAGGTAACGTTCCGACAGTTAATTGTTCACCATTGCCGATCAATTCATCATTATTGACATACACTTTACCACAACCTACAACAATATTAGATCCATTAGATGTAATATTAAAAGGTAAATCTATGTTTAGATTAATATACGTAACTCTGGCATCTATTTAAACAAACATATAAATATATAAGTAATATTAAATGGCATATTATAGCTATTATTTTTTACTTGTGGTCATATTTGTTCCATATTCATATCGAGCACACAACTCTTTGGTCTCGTCCGAACCATCTGAACAATCATTACGACCATCACAAACCCACGACCATTCGATACACAGTCCATTTGAACAATAAAACTTATCCTCAGTGTCTCTATAATGTATTTGAATGTGCAACAAATTATTATACAACACAATTAATAAAATTAATTTATACAATTAAAATTAATATGTAAGAAAAGAAATGGTTTTGAACTTCCTGGTTATGATGTGTAATTAGTACTTAGAATACCTAAATTTAAGTATAGATAATATATTGATTGATGGTTCTTATCAAGACTTTAGGACTCTTAGCCTTAAACCACCACGATTTTTCTCAACTTAAAATAACATATTTTAATATTTATTTATATTACAGTCACCAACACTGAGCAAGAAGATACAGCTTGTCGTTTTTCGATTTTTCTGTCACACAAAATGGCGGATCCTAAAATAATGAATCCTTATTCATTAAATATGTAAAGAATGTTTATTGAATTGAGATTATTATTATTGATTATACTGCTTTTGCAGTATTGAATAGAACAATATGTTGATTTCATATATTAGGTAATATTTTTTACGAACTAGGACAAATGGACGTAGCCGTTTGGACGTGGGGAAATTGGACGTAAAAAAATATAATCGAAATGTTAAATCAGTAAATAAAATTAATAAGTTATTTATATTTATTTTAATATTTATGCGTCATACAAAAACGAATATATAAATTATTAAAATTAAAAATGAATTCAAAACAATTTTTTATTACAATTATAGGTACACCAGCAATTAAAATACGATGTAAAAAAAAGTTATTTATAATAATTATTATAATACGTCAAAAATATAGTATATAAAATATCTAAAAAAAATTTTATTTGTATTTATGCAGAGAAATATTTTGAGTGATTCCGTGTAAAAATTATATTTTAGTTCTAGTTTCATAACTTTGAACAATTCTTAAAATGCGTTTATCCGCATCAATAAATTTCTTTAATTTTTTTTGGGGGGGACTCTTCCCTGCTTCAAGTTGGCAGTAAAATGCATCTCGCCAAAAAAACTTCACCATTGCGATTTAAGTTAATTAACGAAATTTTACATGTATATGTACACTTGTACGCAATTTGTACACGACTAACATGATAAGTGTGTATTGTCGTGTATCGCAGTGTGTCGATAAAGTATGATAAATAAAAAAAAATAATAACAAAAATACCTAATACCTATTGCCAAAACGATAAAATTCAGTCTATGGGTAATACCTAGGTAAAATACAATAATTATATCGATAAGGTTCGATATTATACGATACCATTAGTTATATTATGAACATATAATATCAATGGTTTTATAATTTATAAGCATAAACCAGAACTATTTATTTTCATTTTTTTTAAATATATTTTGATGATGATCTATTATAATAATATTATTTATTCAATTTATATATATTTTTTTTTTTTACTTCCAATTGTTCTCGCGTCCAACTGCCACGTCCAAACGGCTACATCCATTTGTCCCTCTTCGTATTTTTTAATCTTATACATCGTGAATTAGTGAGTAATAATATGTGAGGAGACAGTATTTCAGTTAATAATAGTAGACGAGATAAAAAACGTTTTGACCAGACTTACAATTTATTTTATATTATAAATTTTTTAACATAAAAACAAATTTATTTACAACTGCTTTGTATGTAGTTATTGACAAATATATATTAAGAAGCGGTTGGCCACTATTTATTTTCAGAATTTTTATTTTGTTAGTTGATAATTAATGCAATAATCTTAGCTTATACATTTTATTCACATATCAAATTACCAATGCATTATAATTTATAATTGAACTTATATTAACTTTAAATAAGTTTTAATTTTAATTTTGATGATTGTTTCCCCGTACCTATATATACAATTGAATTGTCTACCTTCAAAATTATAAAAACAGTTGATAACATTCCTTAACATTAACTAGCTTTCTTGATTGCTTTTAAAGACATATATATGCCTACCTAGCCACCGCTCCTCTCATGACTATAGAAGTCCCTGAATGTTATGAGGCGTTGATGTTTATAAAGTTTTGTTCTAGATAAACAGACAGTGATGTGTTCAGTAGAAAAATTTTTCATTAAGCTTTTATTTAATATATTAAAGGGATTCCACTCGGCAATTTTCAGTATTTGTCTAACACACATTCATTCGATATATGAATTTAGAAATGTTATTTGAAAAACTTACCAATTGATATAGTAAAGTGATAATGATTCTAAAAACAAATTTGAATTTGTCGTGATGTCTACTTGAGATCAACTTTCCCTTTTGTTATATTACCTCCCAAATTCCTAAAAACGTTATAAGTACTTACTAAAAAATAATAGTTAAAAAATTGTTATATTTCAGTTTTTGGAGAAGTTGAAATGAAAAAATAAAAAATGTGGGAATGACGATCACAAGTAGTCTTGACGTCAAATTTCGAATTTATTTTATTTAATTCTGTATTTAGAATTGTTATCGTTTCATTATATCAAACGCTACGTTTGGAAAAGAACACGTAAAGTTCGTGAGTTAGACAAGGACAGAAAATCACCAGGTGGAATCACTTTAACTATAAAATGAAGCCTTATTATCGAGTAGCTTTTTTCTTCACTTTACCTATGCTATGATGCACCTACAAATTACAATTATTTTATTATTTCATATTTTGGTACTAATTATTAATTAATATTTATGCCATATGAAGACACGAAATGCGATTGTATGTATTATTTTTTAAAAGAAAAATGCTGTATTTAATAAAGAGATATTATACCATTAAATTGCACTAAAACATAATGTTCTAAATATTATTATATTATTAACAGTGATATTACGTACCGAAAATTAAACACGAGTATATTAACCAGGTATACGTCGCCTTCATTGCCAATGGTGAGCTGAGACTAAGCCAATTATATTTTAAAATATACATTCACTACATCAAATTAACGTCACTACACACTAAACAGTATTTTTCTAAAATGTTCTAATATGTGGGTGTAATGGTGTATAACCGTTAACCAATATTTACTATAACGATAATATAATATATTATATTAAATACTAACAGACTGACAGCATTTTCATTGGATTAACTAATTTTTAACTTCATAAGTTAACTACCTACATAAGAGACAATAACAACAATACAACTTTACAACACCAATGTTCTATACACATCACATCGGGTCTTCTGAAATTCTATACTACTGTAGTAGTATGTAGTCGGCCCCATATTATGAACCTTCCACCAACTATATGTGATCACTTTATCGACCGAAGGACAAACCACGTATAAATAGGTGGCAATGATCAAATAATTAAGTTGCTCACTTGTTTTAAAATTTATTATTTAGGTCCTACTACTACGCATCTACGTCATATAGGTACACCTAAGACTGGATAGACCTGTTAGGTATCTGGTTTATGTAGATATAGGTATATCAAGTCATAGTCCCAGCTAAGCAAAAAAAAAATAGGGGCGGTGCGGCAGTATATATTTAATATTATATCAAAGCAAGAGTTGTTTATTTAAATCGTATAAATTAATTCATAGCGTTTATGTCTCTGGATAAGTTTCCTTACACTCTCAATTCAGACAGCCGTATCTTATGGTTTCCAAGAAAAATTTCCTTCCATCATGACACTTCTTGGAAGAAAATTTCAAATTTTTCAAAAGCTAATGAATGAACCGAATAGAACTTTCCCAACTGCAATTCTTCTTAACTTCCGTTAAAATAGTAAGAGCTTCTGGGTACTCACCTCTATCGTAAAACTCATGCACTGTTCTGCGTACTATATCTGCATCAAAATCGTCTAATTTAGTCAACGATTTTGCACATTTATACGTTTTACACGGCGCGGAGACTTGAACAAAACAACTTGTTGTTCTAGATCCAAACTATCTTTACCCTCTTTTCATACGTGCCCACGGACTAAGATAGAGATAGATAACCTAACCTATCTTAGTCCGTGTACGTGCCTCATATTTTGTTTTGATAAGCCGGTTGATACCGAGTTGCGGTCGAGATTATAACAGGTAAAAAAAAAATCCGAGTTGCGGTCGGGATCAAAACAGGTAAAATATCAAAATAAGTAAAAATCCTAGTTGCGGTAAAAAAATATGATTAATAATTATTATGTTATCATATTTATTATGACAAAGTTCCATATTATTATGCTAAATACAAAAATGAAACGGTCAAAATTTTGGCAACATATTCCATGCTCAATTGTGTTGCTAAAAAAGGATACTGATATAGGTACTAAATACTGCTTCACCGTTAGATCATGAAATTATTGACATGAAAATAGGATAAGAGCATCGGATAATCGATAACCGGATACTGACCGCAATTAAGACGTTAATTTTAGCTTCAATATTATTAAGACCGCAATTCGTCTATTGCGACCGCAACTTGGACAATACTGATAAGCCACTTGCTTCACCTGTTATCTAAAGTATTGAGTAAACACAGATGGAATAGTTTCATCTTGTTTAGATAGTTCTCTTATAAATTTGTGCACCGAGAAAATTATTTTTTTGGTCTGACTACGAGTATAGGTTAGGTTATAACTACACGGAAAAAAATATTACCAAACAGTTGGTCAATAGTGGTAATGAGCATGTATCGACAAATGGAAAAATTATTAAACCAAAAGAAATAAACGTTAAAAATATACCTATGTAAGGAAAATTGCACCAACATTTTTGGCAGAAACCCAAGAGGTACATATTCATTGTAGGGAATATTTTTTTATAACCCTTAATTTATGCCATAAAGCCTGTAAAAATCAAATTGTTAAAAAGAGAAATTTAATTAAAATAAATGTATATATTCTTCCAAAAGTAAATCAGTTGTAAACTAGAAGTTGCCATTAACAAAACCAAGACAATATAATACTTTAAAATTTAAATTGGTAGATATAAAGCAATAAAAAGACTAGAAGTCATTAAAAGAGTACAATAATGGTCATCATGAAACAATTAATTGTATAATACAAAATTAGTTTCTGCTAAAAATTATTCAAACTTAATAAGTGTAAATTAAATATAATATTATAATGGTACCAATAATAAATGTAATTTTAAGTTTCATTTAGATGAACAATTGTGTTAACTGTTAAAAATTGTTACAAATAAGTTGAACACTATGCATGCAAGTAATGATTGCAATTACAATTAGAATAAATTATTTATGTAACTACCATCCTAATAGACTTCGATATATTGTCACTTGCATAAGAAGTATGTTTATTATACAGTTCACGAATCCATTGAATGTGGTGCTTAACATCTGTAAAAACTGCAATTGAATTATTTGTGTTTGGGTCCTTGACACTCACTACTCCGGTTAAATAATAAGAATTAGTATGCAAAAAAGTTAAGCCTGCACCACTATCGCCTTCACGAACTCCTTGTCCTGAAATTAAAGATATTTTATTCATACAACAAAAACTAATCATACTTCCACTATTTGGCAGTAGGCAAAATATAAATTAACATTTATAAATAATTAATAATAATATAAAATAATATACATAATATATAATTATTAATAATGATACATCGGTGTGTTGTCAATTGTATAGGTATACATTTGAGTACCTCAAATCTCAAGGAAAGTGAATAAATCTAACTTCTGTATTTTTCAAGTAATATATATCTAATACACAACTTATAAACACTAGTATTTTTAAATTTTTTGAAATCATACACTTTTAACGGTAAGACACATTTTGGAAAAAATTCAAATTTTGGTGACCCTCAACCAGTGCATCCTCAACCCAGTATTTTTCAATGAGAGTGCCTAAGTAATGTAAATTAGAATTTGATATCCACTACCTTATACTAGGTCGTTATAACGTATCCCTATCCCATAAGGTACACCTCCACTAATAATTGTTTTTCTAACCTCCCTAATTGAATAAAAAAAATCTAATTAAATTAAAAAATATTAATTCAATAAAAATTTTAATTCAATAAAAAAAAAAGCGGGTAAGTGGAGGTCACTCTGCTGTACATTAGGTGTTTAAAGAGATCGCTGCAATGGATGGCATAAATTTGAATTCAGTTATATCAAATCATTGTATACGAAAAACGATTCTTAGCGGAGACCGTATAGAATATTTTATATTGTTATTACTTATAAGTTATTAATATTGTAGCCGGTAAGTTGAATTAATATTTTTTTTTTAATTATCAGTGATGCTGGAAAAATATTAAATATACCTATGTCAAATTTGGCTGTTTTGAAACAGAATTACAACAAAATTATAAACGTTATTCTTTGTGTTAATATGCAATTTTGTAAGAATTTGAACTTAAAATGTCTGTAAAAAATAACTATATTCATATAGTTTTTAGATTTCTTAGTTATGGAAAAAACTTCTTAAGTGGAGCCTTGCTTTAAATTTCCAATCCTTAGCTATAAAAATTGAATACTTTATACATTTTTCACTACAAAATCATTTTCAATTTTCTTAGACATTTCATAACCTTCAACTTGATTAATATTGTCAAAATTCGAACTTTAAATGCTTATAAAAAAAATCGTGCATATGTATAATTAATAATTAAAATAATTAAATTGCATATTTAATATTTTTCAACTGCTATTGTAACAAGTTATCAAGAGTCTTGTATTAAATGTTCATGCTTTTTGACCCAACTAATACAATTTCATTGACATTTAAAGGAAAAAAATGAAAAAAATGAAAATTTAACATGTCCGTCAACATCTGAAAACGAGTTAAAATATCTTGAAAAATGTATCAAGTATATGAATTAATGAAATAAACATAAGTGTTAATTCTACGTGTCCACAGTAATTTGTTTTTGAATTACAACAAAATAAAAAAATCGCTACAATAGAAATCGGGTGAATAGGCAATGTTTTAAAAAGCTTCAAAGGATCATAAACATTTAATTTGACTTTCAGTAGAAAATTTTCTTTTGATCAAGGTGGACAGACTTATAAGGAATCTTGTATTAAATTTGCTAATTTTTGTAATTTTTACGAATTTTGTAAAAATTCTAAGTTTAAATACTCATAAAAATTATTGCGGATTTACGCTCAACTTTTTTTTAATTTTCACTTACAACAACTTACGAAGAACCTTGTATTATATTTACAGGTTTTTTGACAGAAAAATTTTTTATCGACATTAATTTAAAAGAAACCAATAATAATCGAAAATTTTATATGCCTATATAAATGGTTCAACACAAACTAAAATATTTTGAAAATGTTATGCTGCATAGAAAATGGTAACGCAATTAATATTCAGTGAAAATGTCATGTATCTGTATTCAATTTTCTAGAGTTAACTAAAAACCAAAATCGATTTTTTCGAAAACTGGTTTTTGCGTAAAAATTCCAGTTTTTTCTTACTTTTTTGTTTGATTTTCCTGTCGTTTTTGAAAACTATAGGGAATTTTATATTTTGACTCCCCAAATACACCAACTAGATTCACTTTAATGCCAGAAAAATTGCTGTTGAAGAAAATCAAAGCACTTTTATGTTTTACTTTACTGCAAGAAACCGTGATGACAGTCACAAAAAAAAAATAATAAATAAATAAATATAAAAACACACATCATTGTAAAATCGATACATTCATCTCTCCGCTCAGAATCTAAAATATATTTTATAATTTTATATTCTTATATTTAGTTGTAAAATATGATTTAATGGCTAAATACATTTAAGTTAATCTTCATATTTAAAAGAAATGTTTGCTTTAAATATTAAAAGTTAAATAAATTTAAACTAAATGAATTGTTAAAAGTATTGATAGGTAGTTAAATATTTTATTACCCAATGCAGAACCGGCGCAAAACTTATCAACAGTCACAAATGTTTCAAATCCGTTTGAATACATACTTCGACAAGAACTATGGTCGATGTAGGGTAAAGATGCTTCTAATAAAATGGGACTTGATATGCCCTTTTCAGTTTTTCCCCAACCAACAATCTGTAAAATTGTAAAATAGTTTTATAATATACGATTACAATCAACGTATATAGTAATAAACTCTTTTTATTTAAATGTTGCAGTGTTAGTAATAACTTATTAGTATAATTAGTTAAATTAAGTCTGACTGATCGAAGATCTTTAATTTTGGAATTCGATTGAATATAAAATAAGAATATTGAATAATTTTCAATGGTTTTACATACAATTTTGATATTGAATTATAAGATTTTTCAGGTAGATAACATTTCAACATTTATCTACATATATATATATATTCATATATCAGGGATGGCTTCATATGCAAGAAGTGGCACATTTGCCAAATTTCAATGGCACGTCAAAATAAATTAAAATATTTTTCTTGACATATTTTGAAAAATAATTGTATAAGTTATTAAAAATAGGAAAAAAAACAACTAAGCGAAAAGATAATTCAGAAATCACATTAAAAATGTAGTTTTATAAGTTATAACTTATAACTGTTTGTAAAATAATATTTAATACCTAATGATAATTTATTTATAAAAAAATTTCATAAAATAAAAGTTAACAAATAAAGGCGAAATGTGTTATGTTGTATAATATATGTATAATAATTTTATTATTGCTTACTTTTTTTATCCTTTGTAAAAATACCTTTTTATGGTGAAGGGTACGCAATCATATTTTAAAAATGTTATTTGTAAATGTTGGCACTTGCCCCTAAAAATGTCACTATCCCTGACCGATACTATAGCAGAGTATCCTACAATATTCACCTTTACTTACAAATCGACAGTTGTAATGATGATATTATATTACTTAACTGTAATTAACTCACAATTTAAGAGGGCATTATGCCCGCATGTTTTGTCGCCGTCTTACAAGTGCGTAACATACAAAATGTTACGCTCAGCAGATCCCGTTTAGCTCTGTTAATTTAAAAACTAGAGTGAATTGACCTCTTATTAAAATTAAAGGTAAGATTATCATCGAGATTATCTTACGGGCTTTTTATTATATTTTAATTTTTAAAGGGAGTTATGAGTATTTTAAAATTGTAAATCGTTGGTACATTTTAAAATTCTCTTAACTTTAAAATTAAAATATAATAAAAACCACATGAGATGCCCTAGATAATAATTTTACCTTTAATTTTCATACGAGGTCAATTCACTCTAGTGTTTAAAATAATGATGCTAAACGTAATATGCTGAAAGTAAAATGTAATATTTTACGCACTTGTAAGGCGGAGACAACACATGCGGGTATAACGTCTTCTTAATAAATAATAATATTTAAAACTAACCTTTCCTTGAGCTCCATTTGGTATAGTATATTTACTATTCCAATCGACACAGACAGGTGAGACACCGTTACTAATAGAAACTCGGTTTGGTAACACAATTACAGCTATATCTTCTGCATGGAACCCATTAGGTCCATAATAAGCATCATTTAGGTAAATGATTTCTACCTATACATTTTTTTTAATTTATATTATAAATACATATCACACTCATTATTATTATTTATTAAATTCTATGATTCTACTTTTAAATTAATAGGTAACTTACATTCAGTATTTGAGTAAAGTCATTGTCAATTATAGTAAAATCTCTAGCATATTTTCCAACAGCAATTTTGTACAGACCATCATTTACGGTTATTCTATTAGATATCATACCTTTCTGCCAAAAACAATGAGCCGCTGAAAATGTTAGATATTTAATTAATTATCATTCCGTTCTAGGTATATAGAACATAGACTTTACCAGAAACAACTAAATTTGGAGCAATTATTGACCCTCCACATATCAAGTCGTAATTGGAATTCTCTTTATTTAATTGATATACTCCAACATTCCAAGGTGCTGTCCCAATGAGTGCTTTCTTACCATTATCAATCAATACTTGGTTTTTGATATACACTTTACCGCAATCTAAAATAATAATTGAATACACATATTGATAATAATAATGCAAAAGTAATAATATCTGTATAATATCTAGACCATTTAAAAGTTAAAAATATACATTAAACAATAATTATACCTTACCTAACCTAGCCTAGCCTAATTATTATTTGTTCATTTTTAACTATAACTTTTATAACACAAACAAAAGCATTTGGTAATAGTCATACTGCAATAGTTTAGTAAATTATTAAAATATGTATAAATTAGAGACTTATGTTCATATAATAAAAAAATGCAGTTACATGGAATGCATCTATATAGTTGATTATTCCACATTCCGTTAGACTGACAATGTAATTCAAGTGGAGTCTCTTCTTGTCCATTTGGCACAGTATGTGTAGACTTACATGATGGTGTTGCTATTGTGTCAGGTATCGATAGATTTGAGCAATTAGCATACTTACCATTAAGAGTACATTTAATATCTAAACTATCTGATAGTAAAGGTGGACACATTTCTAAAAACATAAACAAATTATAATCAAACTTCAAACTTATAATATTTAAATAGGTAAGTAATTACATATTACAAGTTTACGACACACAAATTGCAATGCAAAACTTACTGAAACACAATTTATCAGAAACCGTTATCCATTTTCCATTTCTCTGACAAACCCTAAAACCATTGGGATAAGCTTTATGATATCCAACTTCACAGTTCTCAATTACAGTAAGGTGATGATTAATTAATGTCCCGTGAGGTATAATTTCTGTTGAACCTTCATAAGAATATATAACTCCATCGACGGTTGGTAAAACGCATAAATTCCTAGAATTACAAAATACTAACAATTAACACCATATCAACTAGGTATATCTTGTACATCAAAATTATAACATTAAATAAATTAAATAATCAGGATTAATTGGTCCTTATGCAATCCATGTTCAATGATATCTTACATATAACTATGAATAGAAAAACAGAACAAATTTACTGATTACTATAGTGTAATGGAGTCATAATTAATAAATTGTTCAATATAATTTTTTAAAAATACATTATTTTCCCTGTTGAAAAATCCCCAAATATTATGTAAGGTAGGTTACAGTTAAAATAAAATGATAAATACATTGTATTAGACTGTGTTGTTGGTTTTGTTATAATATCCACCGGTCTTGCTGTTGTTATTGGTTTTGAAGATGGACTATTACTATTACTTTCACATCTCTCTTCATCAGATCCATCAATACACTGTCTTATGCCATCACATTTACTCTCTTTACTGACACAAGCCCCATATTTACACTGGAATGTGTACTTTTGGCACCTAGAATTTAAAATTTTTATTTGAATATAAAGGTTATTTTTAAAAATCGAAGTCAACTCACCGGACTGTTTTACATAACGCCAAAGTTTCATCAGACCCATCCTTACAATCTCGAGTTCCATCACACGTTGATGTTCCATCAATACATTGGCCAGATGTACATTTGTATTGGTCTTCGCTTTAAAATGAAATAACTTAAAGGTAAGTATATTGAATTTTAAAATTAACAATTACCTACGTGCTACATTAGTACATTGCTAAAGAACAAGGTTAGGGACTTATAGCAATTGCATACTTTTTTATTTATTTTAAAATGTAGCAGAGTGCGAAATAAATTTATTTCCCAATGCCGTGGTACCAAATCTAAAATTTGAATGTGCATATTTTTGCATATTTCATACATTTTGCCGGAAAATGCTTATTTTTACGTTATTGTGCATAATTTGCATATTTTAGAAAAATTTTCGAAATTTCAACTTCACAAATTTCACCCGACCTAAAAAAAACATAATAATGCAGCTTACTCACAGTCTTATGTACTTATTTGCTATATACTACTTACAACTCCTTATAATTTTCGTGGTTTAAAAATATTATGATGGCCTGATTGACCGTATCGTTGCATTTTATATAATATGTTACGATACGAGGGATACCATAATTTTAATATATTGCAGTTATTCAACGTTCTTTGAAACTACTACTAACCTTCCCGGTACATGTAAGATTATTTATTTAATGATTTAAATGAAAAATTTAATTTTTAATTTTTCCCATCATTATATAGTTGACGAATAAAATTTAAAAAAACTCGGAAATTTAAGAAACAAGTTAACAATCAGTAGATTTTTTTAAAAATTTTTTATATAAGTACACTAAATGTAATTAATAATTATTAATAAAATAATAAATAATAATAGATATATTAAATGCATTTTTCAAAATTTTGTATGCATATTTTGCGATTTTTAAGTGCATATTTTAGCGCTTATTATTGTGTTTTTAAGCGCTATAAGTCCCGAACCCTGCTAAATAATATAATATATTTAATACGTAATAATAAATTCTTCACTTCTACAAAAAATTAAGGCTTATGCGCCTACAATAAATAGTGTTGCTAAGATTAAATAACATTAATATATAAATTAGATATAAATATGTCCCTATGTATATTATACGAATATGCATTATACAATGTTTAACCTTAAAAGTAACACAAAATATTTCGAACGCATGATAGTAAATTTCATTCAGGTTTTTTTTTCTACTGCAAAAAAGACATAATAATTAATAATACACCTATTTTTTAACAATTTTAATTTTTAAAAAAAGTTTCCAAGAGTACGAGACAAAACAATTTTTTTGATTGTATTTTCCCCTCCCTCTTTTATTAGTTTGAATTTGAATCTCTTTAAATTTTTAAGAAAATTTGGCTAATAAAGTTTTTAGATCTTAAAATTTTAATTATTGAGAGTGAGCCAAAGTTTTGATTTGGGCATGTTTATATGTAGTATTGATCATATACGTTTAACAGCCCATCTACAAAATAACTTTAGAAGTCAAAGTTGATAAAAATATTAAAGTAATTCAAATTCAAACTAAAAAAACGGGGAATACAATTCAAAAAATTTGTTTTGTTGTGCATATACGAAAATAAATATGCTAACATTTTTAAATTACAACAAAATAGCTTAAGTCGTTATTCTTGTATAAATGTGTAAGTTAGTCCAAATTTGAACTATTAAACTATTTTTATATATTTATTTAAATTTTTTGGTTACAGAAATATTTACAGGCATCCTTCATTTATATTTTCAACTATTAGCTATAAAAGTTGAACATTTTATAATTTTTTTACTGGTAAATAGTGTTTGTACATTTTCAATTTGATAAATTTTGTCAAAATTTGAACTCGAAATAACAATAAAAAAAATTGTGAGTATATGTATTTTTAATATTTTTCAACAATTGCCTGTTGTAAAAATATATCAGAAACATTGTATTACCCTTTCAAGCTTTTTAACCCCTCTTTTCGACTACTATAGCGTCCACAGACACAAATAAAAAAGCACACATCATAGTTATAACACTATAAGATTGATACATTCATCGCTCCGCTCAGAATCTAAAATAAGTACTAAGTAGATATGTTTATAAACCGCTTACAGGCATTTTGATGATCCACTGGAATGTTGAGTACTGTTTATAGAATTTTGTCTACATTCAGCTAAATTTTCGTCAGAGCCATCGACACAATCGTTTTTTCCATTACACTTGGCATTTTTATCCACACAAGCTCCATATTTACATCGATATGCATAACTCGGACATCTATATAAAACAAACATATTATACATAAATACATAATATAAAATTGCATTAATCATTATAATTTATAACTATTATCTTGTACATATTTATTAGACTATAGTTAAATAGTGTATAAAAAGTTCATGAAATATACAATTTTGAAATGTTTTATGAAATATTGGAAAAAACTCGTGAATATTATTAGCTTTGGAATATAATTGGTGAAATAATTACCTACTAAAAACAATAAAAATAATAAACCAATTTCACAAATGATCTTTGAAAAAAAAAATAATTAATGTTAATAAAGACACACTAAAATAGTAAAATGTGCAAATATATTCAATGTCTATTTTGCAGTTGTGGGTGAAAATATCGCGACTTAAATACAAAACGATAATAGAATGAATAATGCTGTTAATGTTACTGAAAACGATAATAATAATAATATAATTGGATCTGATTTAGGATATGTACAGTGTACATATTAATGTTAACGAAGTACTTCAAATGATTCAATCACTAAAAAAGGTACTTCGCCAGATTTTGATTCTATATCTTCAAATATACTATTACAATTTACAAGTATCTGATTATATCATAAAGCCTCTTACTTGTCTAATTAATTTAAGTTTATCAAAAGGCATATTTCCACAAGTTTATAAAAACACAATAATAAGTATTATTCTTAAGGCAGGAGACATAAAAGAGTTGTCCAATTATAGACCTATTGGCTTAATATCTGCAATAGCTAAAATTTTAGAAAAATATGATAAACTTCCTACTACAGAAATTCAATAGGTATAAAAATGCCCTTAGCGACAATTTTATTTTAGAGAAACAATGGGTTGCCAAGAGGCAATCTCACATCTTTATAATTTAATATACGATGCTCTAGACCAAAATGAAAACTGTTCAGTGATATTTCAGGGTATAGCTAAAGCATTTAACTCAGTAATCCTACTAATCCACGATCTACTTTTAATTAAATTATAACCAATGATAGACCTTAATACACTTTGGTACTGGCTTAAATCATATCTAACTCACAGATCCCAATCAGTTAAAATTAACGGAACAATTAGCGCCCTGTCCATTATTAAGTATGGTGTTCCGCAAGGAATAGTATTAGGTCCATTACTTTTTTCTATTTACTATATACGTAAATGATTTGTTAAATTTAGACATAGAAGGTGACATATTGGCTTTTGCTAGGCAACCATACGATATTATTTTTCAAGGGGGATAATTATAATTTGATAGAAAAAAAGGCTAATTTTGGACTTTCAATAGTGAATGATTAGTATAGTAAAAATAGTTTTTCGTTGGATAAAAATAAATCTACTTTTATTCCATTTACCTTGTCCAAAATTAATTTGTTTGACCAAATACTAAGAAAATCCTATTGTAATGATTGTAAAGGGAATAAATTAACAAGTATATGTTGTAAGAACTGTAGTTTTATAAAGAGAATTAGATCAGTATGATATCTAGGGGTAATTTTTGATGAGCATTTAAAATGGAAGCCTCACGTCGATATGCTTTAATATTGCGCTTACGGAAATGTTTTCAAGCTACGAACATCCTTGACATACAATGTCTAAAAATGATATATTTTGGTATAGTTCAATCCTTATTATTATATGATATAATAGTATGGGGCTCAGCATATCAAAATGCATTAAGACCTTTAAATACAACCCATAGAATACTCATTAGAATAATGATGAAAAATGATTTTAATAATCATAATTTAACACTTCTGATTTATTTAAAAAACTAAAAATATTAACGTTAAAAGAATTAGGTATATAATAAAACATCAATAATAACAAAAAAGACTTTAAAACGTCTATAACACTAAAAATTGTATAGCACGAGTGGTGGAGATAATTGTAATTTACTTATAAATAAACCTAATACAACATTAATGCAGAATTATTATACAACTAGAGGTACAACATTGTTTAACCAACTTCCCTCAGATATTAAATTATATAATAGAGAATACCTCTCATTTTTAATTAATACTCCGTTCTCTTTATAAGGGATCATTTGACTAATGTCCTTATTATTTTATGTTATTACTATTACTATTGTTTATATTACGCTGTTGCCATTGTATTGTTTATCACTATTATGAGTATTATGCTATAAGACTAGTCTATTATTATTATTATTATTAAAAATATGATTGTAATTAATTAATTATTATATTATATTTAGTATTATAGGAAGGTCAGTTACTAAATGTAAAAATTAAATACATTTTTGTTTTTCAGTTACTTGAACTCCCTACTCACAACACAAGCTTGCCTTTAGAGAGTAGTTATCAACTTACAACCCATGTAATTGCATTGCACATATATATTATACATAAATATATATTTATTTATATATATATTATATGTTATTACTATATTATTATATATATATATTTATATTTAATTTGTTTGTATAATTGATATTAATAATAAATAATACTTCAAATGCGTGAAATATTTGAATATTTTAATACAATTTCCATTGGTCATTAGTTATTGTTTTTTTTATATAATAAAGGTATTATATTGTTTTTTTTATATAATAAAGGTATTATATTGTTTTTTCTTTATTCAATTCTAGAAACACTGTGAATTTTTGCCTTAAATTTACCCGTATTGTTTATACACAAATGATTACTGAACCATGATATTACATTTCGATAAATATTAAATTTGTATACACTACACAGTACACACTAATACAACATAAAATGAATAATTTTATGATTAATGAAGATAAATCATGTTTAAAATTAAAATTCAGAAAAGAAAAAATTAACCATCATCTATAGTGTTACAAACAAACTTGCAATAATAATTAATTATATAATTATATTAGCTTAGGTATATTTAGTTACATAAAAAGTATCATTATTGCATCGTCGCAAGATGAGCCGAATCCTTAGAAAAGTTTCGCTATAAATAGTCGAAAACAAGGCCGTAGGTAATATACTCGTAGTATTATCATTTATCAGTTATCACTAATAGGTATGTCGACCACAATGCTCAATGCATTAATATCTTCAATGTTTTGCGTTTTTGTGAAATAGTTCAGACTTCATACACTAGCTATAGTTATACTCAATAGTCATATTTATTCCATACCTTTGTCTAGCACACAAATCTTTGGTCTCGTCTGAACTATCTGAACAATCCGCATGGCCGTCGCAAACCGCTGACGATTCTATACATAGTCCATTTGAACAATTAAACGTATCCTCGGGATTTCTGTAATTTTATTCAAATTTGCAACACATATTATAATGATTAAATATTAGTTACGCTATAGTAAACAATTACAATTTAAAAATGGCAATTAATTATATTACAATATTGCTCATTGGCTCACGAAGCCTTCTTGTTGCATACATTTTTTCGAAGTCAGATGACTTTTAAAATGGCCTATACGGCCATATGGTGATATTATATTATCGATATGCGCCTAGTTTAACGACCAACGTAGGTAAACATGATATTTAAAACTAATATTGAAATGCATTTTTAGAAAAAAAAATGGTTAATATTAGGTAGGTACTTCTCAGAGATGATAGGTAAGTATATATAATATAAATAATACTATATAGTAATTCATATATCATTGATAAGCAATAAGCATTTTTCAACAGATAAAATTGGACAATAACCCTCTTCCTAGTTGCGACTATGGTTAGTGAGTAGTCAGATAAAGACTAGAGAGTGATAGAATATGTTAAAAATAGCTATATACAATATAGATGCCAATATTAATGATTACACAGATTTGAATTAATTTTGTATGGTCAAATAGGGGTTAGGTTAACTTGTATATTTAATAATATTATAGTTACCAACACTGAGCAAGATGATACAGTTTGTCGTTTTTCTAGTTTTCTGTCACAAAAAATTCCTGTTCCTGAAATAATTAATTCGTAAACAATGTTAAGTGATGTAATATTATAATCAACATTTTGTGTATTATCTTAATGTATGGTCCTATAACGTGAATAATATTATAAATTAAGAGCCATATAATTATAATAGGTACTATTGTTTTAAATAAAATAATATAAACACCTAAGTCCTACAATAACTACTAGGTATAATATACCAACTCAAAATAGAAAGAGTCATCTTTGATTGGCTTTTTCTTCACTTTAATTTTCATTTTAGTACATTTTTTTCATTTCACATATTATTAAAGTAATACCTACTACTATAATTATGTTATACGATAAAGATCGTACATAGGCAAATAGTCACCTACTCTTTAAATAAAAAAATGTGAGTATGCCTAAGTCTAATAAAGAGCTTCAACTGCACAATATTATGTTCGTTATTGACTATAGTTCTGAGTTCCAAAATCATTTTTACATATAATACACACACGCGCATACCTATTGGCTTTTACCATTCATTAAATAATAGTTAATAAAAGTATACTTAAAATCAATAGCATACTATCAGAGTATTTATATTGTATACCTACGTTTTCAAAATTGACGAAATTGTTATCGCAATTAACTTTTGTTAAATAATTATAGTTTAATATGACATATTATTGTTTTCTAAAAATGTACAACTATTATTTATGCCTTTATTAATATTTAAAAACACTTCGCTATAGATAAATATTTGTATAACTATTAATTAATTATACTAAATTAATGGTATTACAAATTTACACCATAGCTTCATTATTTTCATATAATAATAATTTAATATTATATTAAAATGTGTCTCCGTTATTTATTACAGTTAAATTGTGATATTACGTACCGAAAATTAAACATGAATATATTAACCAGGAACAAGTCAACTTCATGGCCAATGACGAAATAATGTTGAAGCAAATTCTTATAATATCAACAATAAATATTAATGATAAATCAAATGAACGTCACTAAACACTAAAAAATATTTTACTGTAAATTGACAAATATATAGGTAAAATCTGACTGTAACATCATTTTAAAACGATCTCTATAGATAATATTAAGTACCTACAATATAATATAAACTGTTATAATATCAATACAACTGTACAACATATAATGTTGAGCCTTCTAAATAAATTAGTATTGCAGAATGCAGGTATTTAGTCGGTGTTGATGTTATTATGTACCACCTATACGAGCTACGTTCGTATTGTGGACCAAAGGACAGACTATGTACTACGTAGGTATGTAATGAAAATATGAGTGAGTAAGCAAACGTGTTTTAAAATTGATTGCACAGGTCCTACCTCCTACTACTACTTGTTCTATGCGTCCAGCAGCTATAATGATTTTTCTACTTAAATGTACATTATTAATATGTGTAAAACTGGTTATTCTACCTAATATGAAGGTATCTTTACATAAATCCATAGATATCACTATAAACAATAATGGATGTATGAATAAGTAAATTTATAGTAATTCTATGTAGTATAGTTTAAAATTTATATAGTATAATAAAGTATTTGTAATATTATAGTATCATTATTATTTATTTATATATTTTATATTCATTATATTTTATTATATTATAGATCAGCAGATAACATCTGAGTAATATTATAAGACGAATACCGTATACCATTAAACTATAATATATAGGTAGGAGGTAACTACTACAATAAAGCATATCGTATGCGCAATGATATCGACCGTTACAAACACCCTATCTATATATTTTTATACGGCTGTTGTGTGTATGTTAATATTATACTCTAATTAATTACTCATACCTACATAATATCGTGGATAAAAAATAATTAGGCATTCGTGTTGGAAAATACCAATGAACAATCCCCAGAAGTTTGCGTCACAGGTCAAGACCCAAAATAAACGCATTATAGACTTATATAGTAGATTAAATATATCATTGTTAATTCTTTTTGTCTTAAAGTTAACAGTATAATTAATTATAGGGCATTATATATTTATAAAGTTGGTAAAAAAAAAATAAGTAAAACAATTCATCAAAAAAATGTATTTATTTTTATTTTTTATACTTCCGAAAGACCTAAACAATAATTAATGATTTTAATAATAAAATTAAATATACATATATGCATAGAGATCGATAAAAGTTTTATTATTAAGTATTTAGGTACCTAATATACCACTAGGCACACTGTTTTTTTAAAATTCTGAGTGGAGTGATAAATGTATTGATTTTACAATGATGTGTTTTTTTTTTCATGGCTTTGCGCCAGAATTAACTGGAACCCCAAATACCCCTAAAAACCCTTAAAAAATCGGCTGTACTCTATTTTCGCCCTAGAGTAGCCCATTTGCAAACCGAAGATTATGGACATTTATGCCCGAAATAAAAAACTTAACACCCTGATTTATAGCCCAGATGCGCCCATGTTGCATGCAATGTTGCCGTCAGTTACCTTTAAGATCGTTTAAAAAAGTAAAATTTTAAGTAAAATCAAAATTAATAATCATTAAAAATAATTATAAATACTACACAGTATATACATATTACATATCTAAATATTATTTATATTGCATTAAATTATAAATTTCAAATATTTCAATTTTTAAGTAAAATCAAAATAATTAATAAATACAATTACAATATTACACATATATGTATATCCCAACAAAAACACTTCGTCGAACTCCGGATAAAAGATTGTTAAGTAAAAAAAAAAAATGGTCATTTATAAAACGTAAGCATTATAAAAATTTTATATCATTAATAAATGCTAAGTAAATTAAATTTAAAATACATTTATTCTATCTCAATAACTAATTTACTTTGAGAGAATTTATTTTCTTTATAATATAATAATTAAGACCTTTTTACAAAACAAATTTAGTAACATTTGTAATGGAAATTGGAAGTTGTGAACTGACATGTTTATTTGTCGAAATAAATTCTAGCAAAGTAAATTAGTTATTGAGATAGAATAAATGTATTTTAAATTTAATTTACTTAGCAATTATTAATGATATCAAATCTTTATAACGCTTAAGTTTTCTAAATGACTATTTTTTCTTTACTTATTTATCTTTTACACGAAATTCGACGAAGTGTTTTTGTTGGGATGTATCAGTAGTTTTTTTGTAACATATTTTTATGTGCCGGCATGAAATATGATTTGCAGGTTTTTCATGTTTTTATTTATTTATAATATTTTTATATTTTGCTCATTCAATATATTCAATTTTTGTTGAGCTGGATCTAAATTTATAATACACACTAGTCAATAATAAGAATGCCAATAATACACAAATTAAGTGAATTTAAACTTTCTTCAGTTTCCGTATCATGGATATGACTGCCTTTAATTTCGGTTAACTTTTTGAATGATTGGTTTTGACATATGCACTACAGGTTTTTTTTACACAATGCCAACTTATATGTCCAGAAAAAAGATTTCTACTCACGTGATATTTAAAATAACAAAAAACTAAACAGAGTTTTGAATTAACATGGGAAACGATAAAATATTATTTTAGATTTTAGAGTTACACGCCAATACACTCAATAAATGACAACGTTGCACGATTTTCACCCGATCTGAATCGGGCGCATATGGGCTATAATTTGGGGAGCAAATGGGCTACGATAATTGGGTTCGGGCGCAAATGGGTTGCGCCGAAAAAATCCAACACCCGAAACCCATATATAACCCGAATAATTTTGTTTTTTACAATCTTCATGTGATATATCATTTTGTATGTATTTCTTATGATTAGTTCGATTTTGTAGTTAATTTTTTGATAATTACAATAGTAGGGATTAACAAGAAGAATTTTACAATCAATTATTGGTAAATTTAATAAATATTTTCTTAAAAATAAAATCCAATAAAATCATTAATAATTGATTCTGATTAAGCCAAATCACCTGATACTAAATTATTTCTTATTATATATTATACATAATTTACTTTATTAGTATACATACAATATACATTATATATAAAATAAATCCAAATATAGGCTTTTATATAGCCCATATAGAAATATATTATACTACCTAATATAGTTGTTGTTTCAACAGAACAACGTATTCATAGTCGTGATTAAATAGTTATAACTAATAAGTAATAATACCTATAGTTTATTAATTCTTGATATTATTTGTCAATCAACTTCCCTAGTGGTATTATTATAATTTAGTATCGATTATCGTGGTTCATGATGGCTATATTTGTATTCATTATTTAAAATAGACTGTATTAAAGTAAAAGTATTATTCAAAAATAATTTATTACTGGAATGTAAATTTGGCTGTTTAGATCTATACTTACAACTATGTTTAAAATTGTGAACAAATAAATAAATGGAAACTTATACAATGTGTGATAAGAACTTAAGGTTCGTAGTTAGATTTACATAAATGACAAGGCCTCTAATGACTTCAATAAAATAAATAGGTACCTAAGTTATTTTGTTGAAATTTAAAAATAATATTCGTGGGTAATTGAAACTTTAGACTCTAAAGTTAAGACTCCTAATTTAGAGTATATTATAATTATATTTTACACACACAATGACTTTTCAAATGTATTTTTTTTTTCTGGCAAAATTGGATTTAATATTTTAATTTACTGTAGCACTGATGTTTATTAGTAAAATAAATCACTTTAACACAATAGTATCATCAAATATACTAAATTACTAAATAATATTATAGATTTACAGACCATCTTCGCTCAGAATCGTTTTTCGTATACAATAATTGTATATAATTGAATTCAAATTTAACATCATCCATCACAGTGACCCACTTGTAACCTACTGTACAACAGAGCGACATGCCGACATCCACTTATCCGCTTTGTATTTGTTAACTCCATAATGTATAAATGTAATTACTTGAATTTTTCAAATACATTTAAGACCTTAATATTTTTATTAATTAAGTAATAGCCTACCCACTTAGTTATTTATTGTTTATTTATTTTACTCATGGGTGAAATTGATGAAACTAACGTAAAAAAAGTTATATAAGATACAAAAATTTACTTCATAGTTTGAAGTGTTTGAACTATTGTTATTTGTTAGCACGGTTTAAGATAAATAGATTAGATAAATAGATGTCTATATTAAACCGAGCTTGTTTGTAAGTTGGCTTATTAATGTAAAATGTTACTCCTTCGGCTTTCTGCAATAACTCAATAGGTAAGTATGTGGCCGGATATGAGCACGTATGAGCCATGTGGTAAGACGGTACGTAGGTGGAGCTACTCCATGTTTTTCATTTACCTACCTACATATATTAGGTGCAACTTACTAATTATATCAGTATTTTGACGCGCCATAACTTTTTTTTCTAAGACCGTAATCTGCGAAAAGTGATAGTTTCGGGATAATCTTTTTCTACAATCTAATTACTTGGTTCTCAAATCTCAAAAAAAACATAGCTACCTAGTAAGTTACGTGCAGCTACTCTAGTGATATATCTATATCTTAGTTCGTGATTTTGGCCGATAATCACCGTACACTTCAACATGTCCTCTTCCATGCAAAGTTCCTTATCGTTTTTATCAGCCCCGACATGATAACGAATACAAAATATGTGGAAATTTATATTATGTTGAGTCGGTGCAATGACGTTTTGTTCTAAACCTGCAATAATCGTTAGCTAGTGCGTTTCAAAGTGTACGATGGGCTTCAAATTGAAAGCTCTAGTTGTAGTTTCGTCGGGACTTGTTTTAGGTGTGTGTACGTATGCCGCATACCGAACATGGAAGAAGCGACAGAGCAGTGCCGATGACGAAGGTTTCGAAGACGTTTCGAAGGCAAGTATTTACTTAAATATCTGAAATAGTTGCTCCAATAAAACAGACTCTAGATTTTGGCTTTACTTTGAATTGATTGATCATGTCTGTTTAGTTAGAAGAATCGTTGGAAAAGAAAGTATTGGTATTGGGTTTGGAAGGATCTGGTAAGTCAACATTAGTCTCACAAATTGTTAAGGAAGTCGGACAAAAAAGTATCGCATCAAATACTATGTACAAACCAACCGAAGGATTTAATGTTACGTCTTTATCTGATGGAGGTTCTCCTACAGTCAATATATGGGAAAGTAAGTAAATATTTTATTTATTATTACTCAGTCATGGTTACATTACAAGAAACATTAAAGTACCACACGACATATAACATATTAGCATAAAATAAAAGTTATAATAATTATCACGAAACAAAAAACAACAAAAAAAATATATATATAATAAAAATAGGTGAATTAATTAGAAGAGTTCGGTGGTTCAGTATTGGCAATCCTCATCATTCTTACAAGTGGCTCATTAGCAACATAATTTGTGGCCAAAGTAGGGATTTTTAAATTAATGCAAGAAAGAAGATTAGGATAGTCAATTTTACCTGAAAGTAAATTAGAAAGAAAAGTTAAATTAGATTGTACTCTCCTGTTAGCCAATGAAAATAATTGTAGAGTAAAAAGTACTGGAGAATAATCATGCTGCTGGCTCTGAATTTAAAAATACATACTCAGAAAAGTACAAACACTTACGCTGTACACACTTCAACAGATAACTATGACTAATTACATGATGATCCTACAATATAGATCTGTATTTAAGCACAGAGCAAACCAAGACACTGTATAATAATTTAATTAGGGTAACCAATTTGAACTGAGTATGTTTGACATACCCAAGAATTTTTAGTGCTTTGCAACTAGAAGATTCCATATGAGGAAAAAATGTTAATTTTGTGTCAACATCTTTATCCAAGTCTTTGACTGTTTCCTACTCTTATTACATTATATCCATTGATATTATAATTAAAGACAATCGAAGAACGTGATCAATAAAACAACATAGATCTGATTTTTAGAAATCATATTAATTTGTTAGATTTTGATATAGTCTACTGATTTTAAATATCTATATTATTTAGTTTGAAAAATGATAGGTTGCAGAAAGCAGTTCACAATTAAGCGACTATTACAATTTTTCATGGAAAAAATTTAAATTGTTATGATTGTATACACTTTAACAATTATTAGAAAATTAATTTACAATAATTTTTAGTTCTGTTATAATTAATTGATTTATTTTAGGTACTTAAAATTGTTATTTTTCTTTTTAGTTGGTGGCAAAGAAAGTGTACGAAGATATTGGCCAAAGTTTTTCCAGGATACAGATATCTTAGTGTTTGTTGTTGATGCCAGCAATAATTCAAATCAATCAGTTGTTGTGAGCGAGATAAAATCATTACTTGGCGATGCCCGTTTGACTTCTGTTCCCATTTTAGTCCTCGCCAATAAACAAGTAATGTTAACATTGATATTTGAAGTTGTTACTAATGATAAATTGCCATATTTTATAAACCATATTGTTTGGAAAATAGTAAAAAATAATTATCATCAGAGTGTGTGAAATCTATAATTTAATATGCATATACAATATAATCATATCTTGATTTGAAATCTGAGATAAATACATTCTTCTTTTTGATTGCAATGTTGAATATAATGTAATATACCTAGAATCTGTATCTGTTATATTTAGGATATGGCTGGAGCACTTAACGCAGAACAGATCTCAAATGTCCTCGATTTGAAAAGCATTCCATCTAGATCACATCAAGTTAAAGTGTTAGAAACTCAAACAAGACCAGAAACAAATGAAATTCATCAAACAGTATTAGAAGTTCGGAAAGTGCTCTTAAAATTAAGTTCCCATATGTAACAATATGTAACATGAAAGTATTTTTTTTTGTTCAGTTGAAACAGTGGCGTGTATGTATATAATATATTGTATACACTTACAAACTACAAAATAATATTATTTAAGATAACTCAATATCTCAATTTAAATAAATTTTTTATAGTATTTTCATATTTAAATACTTAAAGTTCTATGTTTCTTTTTAAAAATTATTATTTCATTTATTGGATATGATTTTTTAATCCCAAATGAGGATTATATTTTTTGTTTCAAATTAAAATACAGGATTATTTTCAAAAAAATATTGATTATGGAATCAATGTCTAATATCATTAGTCAGAATGGTCAAGTGTGAAGTAATTATAAACAAAGTTTAAAATAACATCAAAGAGAGAACAATGATTTTTTTATGAACAAACATAATAACTGTTCATTAGATTTGGGGATTAAATTTATAACTTAAATATTTCTCGTAATTTAATTAATGTCAATTAGATATTACAAGTTTAATTTTGATATATCAAAAATATAGAACTTAAAGCATTTAAAAATATATATAAAAACAAATTTTATTTACTGGAATAATTGGTGTCATGTTAAAAATCAACTTGTGTATACTTTTTTTTAACAAATAATTTTAAAAGATTCCAAATGGCTTATTTTTTTTTTTATTAAGATAATAACTAAAAACTAAATTATAAATCAGCTATTGGCTGTGGCATTAAATGCTCATAAGCCTTGATGCTTTTGAATGTTAAAATTTTTGCACGTATTTGTTTCCATGTCATTTGGTAAACATTTTTCGGATCCTTTGTCATCTCCTGTAATATATAATATTCAATATTTATAAACGCAACTTACTAGAAGCAGGATTTTAAATTAAAATTAAAATTCTAATATTTATTATTTATTGCAAAGACTATGTTTAACTCTTATCATAGTATTATAATATTTATATAGGTGCTATGACAAAGAATGTGTTTTATTTGCATAATTTTGGTATAATTTCATAGAGATGTTAAAAATGTTTTATGATGTTATGAAGTAGAATAAGAATAATATAATATTTTCAATACATTATTAATATTTAATAATATTTATCATATAAAATAATACAACAAAGAGAAGTTTGGAAATGCATTTTTTTTTTTATTGATCAATATTGTATTGATAAACTGTTTCAACAGTTATTAGACAATTTTAGGGACGCCATTTATACGGTTGAATGTCAAATAGTTGAACGTCAATATATTTAACGATAAAATCTTGAACATTCAAAACCTTGAACGTTACAACCTTGAATTTCAAAATCTTGAACACAAAAGTATAATTCGAAAATTCTTGCAAATCATTATTTTGGAAGTTATACCAAAAAAACTATAAAATAGTAATTTTTTCAAAAATACGTGATATCTACGATAAAAACATAAAAAAACTACATTTTGATTTTTTTTTAATTGTATGTTTTTATGATGGATAGAAGTATGCATAAAGATTCTAATTATCATACTTGCTGTTTAAAAATTCAAAAAATTGAAATCAAAATTGTTAAAAAAAATTAAAAAACAACTCGATATCACAATATCCCTTGGCAGTACTTGTCAGTTATCTCGACTACCGTAAAAATTATAAAAAAACTGTTTTAAAAACTAGCAATAATTAATAATTTACTATAGGAGGGAAATGCTCAGACATGCAATTTAAAATATCAATTCTTTGATGAAGTGTCTCAGTGATGCTATGCTAGCGGCACTCGTCGCTACGCTCCGCTCCACTAATCGAAAATATCCCCAGACTTGCTGTGCAAACCCACCTCATATAGGTCACAGGGTAAAAACTAGTATTAAAGTATTTATACCTTCCAACAATCGCTGATAATCTTAATAATAACAAAATAAAAAGTTCAAAGTTTTGACGGAAACTATTTGTTCAAGATTTTGACGTTCAAAGGTTTGACGAAAACTATTTTTTTGTTCAAGGTTTTGATGTTCAAGATTTTATGGTTCAATTGTTTGACATTCAATGTTTTGAAGGCCTCCCAATTTTAGTAATTACTTATTAGTTAACCTTATAATTGTCTCCATATTTCTCCATAAGACCAGTGATGAACTTAATCGTGCCAGGAGGCAATGTGATCTGTTTAATTCCTGTAGGTTTATTTGCTTGCTCTTCCAACATTTTGACAACTTGTGGTTGCTTTGGCTCTCTTTTACGCTAAAAGAAAAATATCTCATATTATGTTCTATAACAGAGGTTCTCAAACTGTGATACTTGTACCCTTTGGGGGTACTCAACATTTTCTAGGGTGTACGATTCTGGCCAACAAACCTTTAAATTTAAAGAGAAAAGATTTTTTTATATATTTTAGTAACCTAGAAGGGGTACTAAAAAATTGTACTGGTAAAAAGGGGTAGTGTCTATATAAGTTTGAGAACCCCTGTTCTATAAGAATGAATTCACTGACAGTAGTTTATTTGTATTAATCACTTAGTACAGTGTTACTATAGTCTATAATTGTTTCACTGACCTTTCTATTCTGTTCTTTTATTTCTTCGCCTTGTACTTGTGGTTGAGAATTGATGAAACCAGTTAAAATGGATTTGCTAGGATTATTTGTTAGTCCAAAGTTACTTAAGTTCTTAGCAACTGATACTTTGTCATTCCAATGATCTTTTATGAGTGGACTAAATTAGAAAAATTCCATTTTAATTATAAAATAAATATTGGAAGATGCTAAAATAGCATCACAAAAATCTTACAATTAAAACAATAGTTAACTAAACAGTAAAAGAAAATGATTATGCATTATAAATTATAATATTCGATTTATAAACAAAACTTAAAAGGTTGGCCATGGTGCAACATCGAAAGCAAGCAATTGTTCCAATAATAGAGAACTACCAATTACATACATATTATATTATGAAACTGATAAGACACACATAAACATTGCTTTGAGTCTTTGTATATTGTAATGTTTGACAGTTACAACATTTGCAAGCATATTTCTTTAAGATAGGTTTGTTAAAACGATACAATATTTTAAATTCTAAGCCAAATAAATAATTGTTTATAGTTTTATCGCCTAATAGTAATTATAATTATAGCATAGAGTATCTTACTCTAGTAATTGTTTATCGTTTCTAATAATTTGTGACGATACAATGCCCAATTTTGTGATTATTTTTGGGCGCACAATTATATTCACATATATGTAATAGTACTATATTATTCAGTTAAAGACAATTTTCTATACAACTTACCATGTAACGCTAGGCGTCTTCTTCATCTTTTTACCCAACTTTTTTTTATTATAGTTCACAGGCATTTTGTATTCAGTAATTCGTAACTTCGTAAGTAAAATAATTGTGGGAGATGTGGACCGTGGATGATGTTTTTTATTTTACTAAATCACTGCAGTTGTGGTACAGTCACTTACATTACACACGTGGTATACAGATATGAGATATCGTGGTCGAACTCGAACAATAATAAAACACTGATTAACATCAACAGCTGATAACGGCACAAACCAAACACAAACGGATCACTGCTGCAGGTCACGGTCTAAGATATAATGGACTGGTATCGACTATCGACTCATCAGTGGCCGTCAAAATGTCGGTAAAGCCGTCGTAAGATACAACTATGGGTAAAAGCGCCATCTATACATGTGTTATAAAAACACAATAATCAAAATAACTAATAAAAAACTCACAGATATATAAAAATAATGTATTATCTATATTAGTTCATGCTAAGCAAAGCATCTTACTCGTATATACAAATTATATTATTTTTATATATCTGTGGTGTCCATAAATGTGTTCCTCACAATAATATCGGAAAATACTGTTTATTTATTTTTCCTTGATTGTACAATATTGACAAATTTAGTAATACATTATTACCTATGTATTTAATACAAATAATAAACAAAATTGGGTCCAACACAATATAAATTTTAAAATAAAATAATAGATATATAATATCTATAGTCAACAATTTATTGGGTTTATCATTAAAAAAATACTGTTACATTTTTTTTGAAAATGAAACAGTAATTTAATAGTTTACACATTTCAACAAAGATACAAATATAACTTAAAAATAATCAACAATAAATATTAAATATATTTCATATTATAATAAATCAAATGGGTAACGGTTAACATGAAAAATATATCACAGGCAATATAATCATAAGAATAAATTGTATCAATTAGTTGTAACATTTAGTATACAAATAATTATGTCTTAATTATAGATAATAGTATGGTCAAGCTTTGGTTAACATCAAATCTCAATTCATTTTCAGACCTATAATAATTAATAAGAGTACTAAATTTGTTTTAAATAAAATTATTTTTTTTGTATGTACAATAAATATTTATTATAAATTCTAAGATGAATAAATTGTAAGTAAGAATGTTATATTATAATTAATAATCTTATTATATATCGGTAAATTAGTCAATATAAAATTATTTTATCAATCATTGTTTATAAATTAAAATTATAATTTCAATAATATCTCATAGAAACAATGTTTATTTATATTATTTTCTTATAAAATATAATGATAAACCATTGATTTTGTTTCTTCTTAAAGCACACTTTTTGGCTGATACATTTAAAATTTGAGATATTATTAAGATTCATTTATAATAATATTATCATAGTCTAATTCTGGAATGTCTGTTGAAAATTCTGTTGTAGTGGATGATAAAAATTGATTTAATGTTCTTTCAGTACATTCAGCAATGAACCTCAAAAATGGTCTGATATCTCCTTTATTGGCAAATTCCAAAGTTCGATAATACCTATTAGAAGAATTAATTTAAAATTACTATGGAAATATTTAATAAAACGTGCATAATAAAATATTAAATTTACTTATGTCTTTCTCCTTTTGGTATAATAACTGGTGGATAGCCAGCTTGCATTAGAATCATATTCATGAGCAGACGTGAAGTTCGTCCGTTACCATCAGTAAATGGATGTATATGTACTAATTTGTAATGCGCTAGAGCTGCAAATCTTACAGGATGTAGTCTAAGAGTAGATTCAGCATTAAGCCATATAGAAAAATTTTCCATTAAAGTTCCAATATGAGATGGACCTGGAGGAACATGACCACCAACAAATACCTAAGGAAATAAATACCAAAAAAAATAATTTCAAAAAATGTATTCATAGAATGCTATAATTGTTATACATACTTGTGTTTGACGAAAAACTCCACTTTCTAATGGATCAACAAATCCCATTACTCTTTTATGAATTTCCAAAATATCATCAACAGATATACTACCAAGTCGATTGATTAATGTTGCATTTATATATTTGAGAGCTGCTTCTAAACCTATTATCTCATTGTGCTCAGCAATACTTCTACCACCAATAGCCATTCTAGTTTCTAAAATAGATCTAGTTTCCGATAAAGACATTCTATTTCCTTCAATACCAACTGTATGGTAAATGTGCTAAAGAAAAAAAAACATTAATGATTCCAGTAAACAAAAAAAAAGTATGTAATCACTCTTATAAAAGAATGAACCATTTTTTTTTATAAATATTTTTATACAGTATTGTCTTCTAAAACTATTGACACTGACAAATTTTTGTAATATACCTATACATTTTTTTAAAGGATAACTACATTAACTTGTTTGAATTTAATATAATAAATAAACAGGGTGATTTTTTTAAGCATGATCACTCCACTATTATGTTTAAATTGAGATTATAGAAATGTCAGAAACTTTTTGTTCACATTTAGATTACAGCACAACATTTTTGGAAAAAAACATCTGACTCACGATTTGCATTAAAACATGTAGGTTCTAATTTTGGGGAACCAAAGTTGGTAATATTTAGAGATACTTCTTAAACACTGTGAAAAGTCTTCTAAAATATTGTCTATAACTACATATAAAAATGTAAAAATCAGAATTTTAATATATTATGCATAATTTAAACATGGCAATGGGGTGTTAAAAAAATTATCCTATGTACAAACAATATATTATTTTATATTGAAAAATTAAACAAAATTAAAAGTCATTTAAATCATTTCCATGTGGTTAAGTACCTGAAAATATGCTTCTTTTTTTGCTCTTCTAAGAGCCATATTAGAATCTGATATTAAAGCCATTTTATCTCTTTTCTCGTCAATACGCTTGAGCTGTTGCCAATCCAAATCATCAACAATAATTTGAGTTCTTTTACGATTGATCAATGCCTCTTTATGTTTTGGACTATGTATAAGTGCCTGTTGTTAAAAATACTTTAAATAAATTAAAAGGTCTAAGATTATTTTTATTAACTAACCTTATAATACATCTGATCAGCAGTTAAAATGTCGTCTCGAAGTGTTTCAATAAGTTCACCATAACCATTTAATAAGTCAGGATTTTTTGGAGCAAGTGCAATACCGTGTTCAATAAGTTTCAAAGCTTTTTCACCTTTACCCATCGATTTCATTTCGTTTGCAGCAACCAATGACATTAGAGCTTCTAAATTATCTTGATCAGCTATATAAATTAAATTATATCAAAGTATACATAAAAAAAATATTGAATAATTATTTCAACTTACACACAACATCCACATCTGTTTCTCTGATGATTAGTTCATGAGCATCTTGATTCGAATCAACGTATTCATGATCATCGAAATCAATAATGGAAAACGGGCGACGTACAATCAGATGCCTAGTTTTATCGTCAACATATGGTGTGTAGTTCCAGTATTTATTTAATAATATACTAGACAGTGCTCCGAACAAAAATATAAAGATCACGGAATAATATTTGTACATTATCCCATTGGTTTGGTATAACTTCAGAGCTAAACACCGCATGGTTAGAACCTTATATCAACAATACTTATAATATAATAATATATAACACTTCACGATGGCCCGGCAATGTACACAACAGGCTTTGTTCTAATCACGATCTTCATGCTGGTTATTGATCCAAAAACGACTCCGTCCATAGTTCAAAGCCCTCAATATTGGTGTTGAGTAATAAACATATTGTTAAAACGGTGGACTAGGTAAGATACGACATAAGATCATCTTCAATGTTGCAGTGGCACAACTAACAGTAAACAAGTAAATCGACTACAATATTGCATGTCCAGTAGACATGTTCACATGTACATATTACATACTACGGTGTACACTGTACACTACTCTTAAAAGGTTTTAATTTTTATAATATTAAACTATACATACTCGTCAGCCGTCTCTCGTCAAGCGACAGTCATCTGCTGCAGTCATCACCGGTATATCTTCATTCTTCATTCTTCATTCTTTAATCTTTTCTATGGGTATCGTCACTTGTCAGTATTGTTGTTGTCAGTGTTGTCGCTCGTCAGCACGATAACCTGATAAGTGATAACACCGTTTATAAAAGATAAAAAATAAATACAGGAGTTTAAAAATTATATCTTTTATTTATCTGTCCTCACATGCTTGGATCCATGATTCATAACATTACAGTAGGTAATATGAATAATGGAATGTAATGTTATATTATAATATAGTGGTAGCACAGAATGACATAATTTTTTTATTTTATTGTACATTATAATATTTAATATTTATTCTGTGGTAAGATGTCAGTAGTCAGTACTCACTAAAATTACAGATCACTCAAGCATTGATATTTGATAATTATGAATAATTATTAATTCCCAAAACTAAATTGGTTTAACTTGTTTCTGTGTTCGAATAGTTTCGAAATCCTTTTTAAGAATTTTAAATTTCTGGTCTCGTTTGAAGAACATTTTATGAATACAATGGTGTCCTTTGGAAAGTGTCAGCAGTGGTACAGCTGCTTTCAAAAAACGTCCACTAAAAGTTTAATAAATACCTTATACAATGTTTCTTCAAAATCGAAATATTTAAATCACAGTATACAACGTAGACACATGTCAACCGTCGACGATTCAAAAAACATAAATGAAACAGACTTAAAAAAGTTGTTGGAAGATGCAACAGTTCCAGAAGAGTCATCCGTTGTTGGAGACACTGAAAACTGGACAACATCTCCATACCCAAAAGGTTAGAATTACATATTCAGAACAGTATTTATTTTAATTGATCTATCGTTTATAATTAGGTTCATATGTACCTCATAAAAACCAGTCTCAAGCGCAGCATGCTCTACGACCAAAAGTGGACCCTAAGGAAACGTCAATACTGGTGTTTCCTGGCCAAGGTACCCAGTTTGTGGGCATGGGAAAAATTCTGTTAGTGTTTCCTCAGGTTGTAGATATGTTCAATGCGGCCAGTGAAATACTGAAGTATAATCTATTGAAACTTTGTTTGGAAGGACCAAAATCTAAACTGGATCAGACCATATATAGTCAACCAGCAATTCTTGTGTGTTCTTTGGGCGCCATTGAGAAACTAAAAGAAGAGCAACCTAGTGCCATTGAAAATTGTATGGCTGTTGCTGGTTACAGTATTGGAGAATTTGCCGCTCTTACATTTGCAGGATGTTTTTCATTTGAACAAGGTAATAAATAACTAGGTTTTATGATCATAGCCCATAGTTATCATTTTTCTATAAAATTCTTTGACCTTTTCAGCTGTCAGTTTAGTTAAAGTACGCGCTGAAGCAATGCATTATGCTTCAGAAATTGAACCAGGTGGAATGGCTAACATTTACTTAAGACCTGATTCTAAATTAAATTATGCTATGAAAATGGCCAGAGATTGGTGTCTGGATAAAGGAATCGAAAAACCTGTTTGCTCCATATCAAACTATTTGAATCCTGATTGTAAAGTGGTTGCTGGACATTTAGAAGTAAGGAATATTTGAACTGGTATTTAGTTAAAAATCCTTAGCATGAAAAAACAATCCATTTTTAAATTTTTATACTTCTTGAATGATAATTATTATTTAAATAATAAAATATATAGGTATAATTTGTATTATACATAAAATTACTCGAGGTTGGTACACAATTGGGTACCTATTCGTTTAGTGTGGAACCTAGTGGACCGATAAATAATTTAAAAACAGACAAATTAAAATTATAAATTTATGTTAGTTATAATTAATTAGTAATATAAGTATATAATAATTCAGGATTACCATTTAATAATGTTAAAATCAGTCAAATAAAATACCAGTAAAAAAAAAAAAATGTATAAATATTGAATTCTTTGCAGCAATATGTCAAAATTATTCAACAAAATTATTTCATTAAAAAAAAATCTCTGTATCAATTACAAAAACAAAATATGATTGCTTTTTATTGGTTGGCATAAACATTTTATTATAAAGGTATTTTTAAAATAGAATTACACACATTTGGCTCTAACTTGTTTATGGTTCTCAGAACTATTTTGTTGAAATGGAAGTTTCACTGTATTTTAAGAGTTTTTTCCTCAATAATATAGAACATTCCTGTAATATGTTGTAACTTATAACTTCTAAGCTTTATTGATATTTTATTGATCATTTAAATTATTATTAGTTAACACGAAAGCCACAGATAAATAGTATTAAAATAGTTTTTATACTGGGAATTTTTTTCCTCAATAATTCACTTAAATTACAATATTATAATATTGGGACTGAAAATGATTATAACATCACGTATTAAAAATATTTATTGCTTTTTTTTTATTTTTTTTAGGCATTAAAATATTTGGAATCCAATCTAAAACAATATAATCTTAGAAAGATGCAAAGGTTAAATGTTTCTGGTGCGTTTCATACAGACCTCATGCTCCCTGCTGTTGAACCATTTGCAGCTGCACTTCATAAAATAAAAATAGCAGAACCTCTGATAGCTGTCCACTCAAATATTGATGGAAAACGATATCAGAACAGCGCTCAAGTGTTTAGAAATTTACCCAAACAAATATACAAACCTGTGAAGTGGGAACAGACATTACACATACTGTACGAACGTCCAGTTGGATCAAATTTTCCCGATACCTTTGAGTGTGGACCTGGCTCAACCCTTAGAAATCTATTAAAAACAGTTAATTCTAAAGCACATTCTACGTGTCGGACTATTGATATTTAATATACATATAGAGTAGGTAGATTTTAATTAAAAATATATTTGTAATGTAACACCAGTTAATTGTTATAGACTTATAGATAAATTCTCTCAATAGCTAATTCTATTCCCTGAGATTTATATACAAATAAACTACATCTGGTTTATATTAAGATACATAATAACATAAAATTCTATAATTTAAAACACAAATACCATTGTATCAGAAATAAATTATCATTAAACGTATTAATATAATTCTTATTTAGCTCCCTGACAATTTTTATATTTATTAATTATTCCTGTGTAGCTTTTGATGAAACAAAGTAATGTGACATTAGTAAATTCTAATGTTGATAGAACTTTCAAAGTTATAGCTATTCAAAATATGTTATTCTACGGCACGGCTTAAAAAGCTAACTTTGGAATAATTCTCAATATATTATGGTGAAAATGATAAGGCAGACTACTGATGGTTTTAAGTTTAAGGTCTGAGTTCTTTATACATTTATATCCTAACTCAACTTATCAAACGTTTAGCACTTTTTTCTTATGAATTTTAAACTCGTGAATTAACATTGTCAATTGTTATAGAATTTTGTTATTTTTACATATTAATAAATTCAACATAAATTATTAATATATATATAGTGTATATTATATTTTATACTAATCATTATGAGTGTTAATTTAATTTTTTTAAACACTTAATAATAATTTTAAATTGTAAAAATGCAAAATTGCACTATTAACACGACCAGCTGACCTGTTTTAACTGAGGGTCACTGACTGCCACTGGTTCGATAGGCAACCTGCAATTGACCTACAAGCTTGTTGTGTAGTGCTGTTTTATTGAAAATGCAGTACTGCACTACATCTCTGTATAATAATAATAGGTACACCAATTATGTGGTGTTTAGAATTTGAGGAAATTCATTTATGGGTAAATCAATGTTATTACTTATTAGCTCTTTTGAACATGAGCTAGAAAGTATATCATAAATTTTTAAACTCCTCATGAAAAAGGTGTAAAACGAATATTTTTTTTTTAAATGTTTAAATATAAAATTTAAAAATGATATGTGATTGAATATTATTTTTATTGTACATGCCTGCTTACAAATCTGTAAATGTGTCCTGTATCATATCCGAATTCCTAGTCTCTATATTTGTTCTACATAATAAAAAGAATAAACAGTAAGAGCTTGCACTTGAAAATACATATATAAGTAAATAATAATAATTTATATTATGTTCCTTCTCACACCACTAACGTACACATTATTATGCACGCCCAGGCATCTATTTATGCCAACTAAAAAACTATTTGGATAATGTAAATAGTATAAAAAGTATATTTTATTAATTATTATTGAGAAAATAATTTCCCAGTATCCACCTACACAATATAATATTTCCTCAAAATTTTAAAAATAGCCGTTTTTCCTCCAACAATCGTCCCGTCCGTATTTGACTGACATTAAAGGCAAACGCCAAACAGGGTCCTGCATAAAAATTTGAGTATTAAAAATAATTGAAATGACGCCACTGGATATGAATAATCATTAATCTTGGAGTCGTATAGACAATATGGTGCCTATTTTAATATTATCATATGTTAGGTAATAATATGTATACCTTCTATTATCTAATATAAAAAAAAAAATAATCTATAATTTGCTGTGTTGTAAATAATTTAATTATATAGATTGTTGGCAGTGCTCAAATAAACTCAGTTTGTATTTTCTGGGTTTATAATCAACGTAACGTAATAGGTAAATACATATATAGTATTTTATACTCCGAAGTTTATTTATTAAATAATTGTTTATTTAACATTAGAAACATGTTACCTATAGAAAAGTCAGTTTTCGTCGGTCATGTTAATTATTTTCTTTGCAATAAACGGACTACAGCAACAGCACCCACTTGAAACCAGCTCTGAAGTGCAATGCTGTTTAGTCTCGGGCAGCAGAGTATTAAGCGGGCAGTGCGCCAATAATATTACATATTATTACCGACCTATTTTGCGAATAAAAATCAAATGTTTAAAAATACTTTTGATTGATGTACAACACTGTCTATATTATGTATTATGTATAGGTACTGTACACCTTTAATCTATTAAATAATCGTAGTATTTAAGTAGGTATTTAATAGTAGGTACAATATAAATTATAATATATTTATATATGTGTTACACATATAATAATAATATAATATACGTATTGTAATATAACCTATGCGTCTAAAGCCCATTTATATAATATCTACCCATGCATATAGTATAACAATATAAACATATTATTATAACATCATATCAATACATATTTATGTATATTGTTTAATGTATAAATATTAACTAGGTAACTGTTTAGTAAAATACGTGGTATTTATACAGGTATTACTATACTAGGTAGTAGGTAGGTACCTAACACCTATACCAAATAAGGGTCTGTACTTGAGTACTCGAAAATAATTAATTTGTATTGAACTTCATTACATTTCCATCATAGGTCCACTGAATGTGATGATTGATGCAGCAATATTTAAATCTCGTAAACCACTTTGAGCTACAGAATAATCTATTTGTCTGTAGAAGCTAAAAATATGATTTCAATTCTCAAAATATTATTCAATATTTCAGTGTAAGCAGTTGTATAATTAACCCCTACTTACATGGCTACATATTGAATATGTATATTATAGTATAATATGATATACCTATTTTATGTATGTTTATTTATTATAAGTAAACCGAACAGAATTTAGGAAAATATATCCTACTGGCTACTTGTAACAATAAGCTTAATTTTATTAAATTAATTGTCCAATCATTAATTTAATGGATCATTGAATACATAGTATTATATTCATTAATCAAGAATCAAATAATGAATATACTTTGACCTAATTCTATGGAATAAAATAAATATTGTTATTGTGTAGTTTTTCGTGTAGAATATTTTGAGTTTTGAGAATTATTCGGATTTCAATGGAGTAACTGACGTCATCGTGTATTTTATTATGCGGTTCGGACTGATGGAAGCTACGTACAACGACGAACCGTCTTTCGAAATAGCTATGTCGTGCGGCACATTGATAGCCTGAAAAACAAGAGGCAATACAATTTTAATAATTTATCGAAAAATGATACGTAGTAGGTACTACTCGTGTTTAAATGTTCTCTAAATATTATAATACAAAAGCAGCGTTTACTACCCGTACTTATGCCAAATTACTAAAATATATACATAATACATACATTATTATATACAATATACATGTATGTTATAAAACGTAATCTTAGATCGCTAAAATGTATAATATCAAGTCATAAACGGCCGATATTATAACATGATAGGTAGGTATAACAGTGCCATGACACCGAACTCTTAAAGGTATCATGTATAGTGCAGCGATCGTTTCACTTCTGTAATTTTGGCGACTGGGAAGTTGTTGCGGGTGGGTGGATGGTTGGAAAAAAATTTTAGATTTCGCTTCATAAAAAAAGGTCGAGTTCGGTGCCACCGGAGTATAATATAGATACATATATTTATATGTTATTATTTATTACATGTTATTATAGAATATTATATAAACTCACTGCATTTTTGGATAGTGTCCAATGATCGACAATGTTCTCGGTCATAGGGTTTATGGTAAATCCTCGTACCGGTATCAGGGGTGATGTAGGTCCGTTGACGGCATAAAGCAAACCGCCTTAAAAAAAAAAATCGAAAACGTTGGTCGTTAAGTCAAACCACGAAATGTCGTATTATTCAATAACTCCCTCCCCCCCCCCCCTTTGTCCTCACACCTTCTTGCAACTCCTCAAGACATACCGTGATTGGTTATCGCGTACACCCGTCCCAAGTCTGGCTGTTGAATCGTTAACGGGGCTTGTTCTTTGCTTTCTGTCGAAAGCTCTGCACCCCTACACACGACTCTCATATCTTCACGGTCAGCAATGCAGACGAGGTCGTGTTGTTCGAGCAACGCTAGGCTGTGAGGTACTTGAAGGCTCAGAAATTCTAAGAACACAATAATTTATAACACGGTCGAATTAAAAACACGGTACGCAAAGTAGGTATACGCAGTACGTCGTATTCTAAAATATATTCTTATAACAATCTTAAATCTACAACTACAAACATCGTCTTTCAAACTATAATATACTATGTCTATAATCTGTGTGAATAATATAATAATATAGGTGCAATAATATATGGTCTGCAGTTAACAGTTTATACGAATAAGTTGAAAGTAAAATATTGGTAATAATGCAAGCAAAATCATTTCAAAAATCGTTTTGCGTTCACATTTTTCACTTTACTGAAATGCATAGTAATATCGAGACACCTATATAGTTGGCCCATTGGTTTTGTTTCTACATTCTACATAATTCTATGTAGATATCTAAATCTTATTCTCAAATTTAGCGAATAAAATATGTTAACCATACTATTGCAGTATTGTCTATTTGCATAATATCATAATATTAAATAGACAGTAGACACAAACATATAGCTATAATCTACCTACGTAGCTCATTATTTACATATATTATACAATAATATACATATCAAATACTTATGAACAAAACAAATGTTATATATGTAAGTGCCGTAGGCCAGAAAAGGATTTCTAGCTGCCAAATGAAAAGTTAAAGGAAAGACGGCAAATTATATTAAACGTTTTCGGTCTAAATGATGGAAGTGTTCAAATGTATAATGCATTTTAAATTCAATTGTTCAGCCCCTCCCCCACGAGAACAAAATTGAAATTGCACCTATATAGATTGAATTGGCGTTGAAACTTTTGAACTCGATGCCTTAGAGTTTAGAGTTTAGCCTTAGACAATATATTATACTTATAATATAAAAATATGTACCTATAATGTGCTTTCTATTATATATTATTATATCCATTTTGCTATATTATATAGTCTGTATACATGTAGTAATCAATTTATTATCTCGTTTTTAAATGTATTGCATAATATTTGCATTACCTATGTCAAACATCATCTGTTTTCTAATTAAATTAATAATTTTTGATAAGCAGTATAGGTAACTAAATACTTTTAGCTTACAATTGTTTTTTAAACTTTTTGGCCACCTATCTTAATTAATAATTTTGTCCATAGTTAGGTATAGGTATAGGTCTAACGTGCAATTAAAATATATTACATTTTTTTATTTACAATTTCCAATATATGAATTGTATATATATATGTACCATTACCTATACGGCTATACTATAGACTATAGGCACCCAAATGCCTGATAGAATATTAAATCATTATCAACATTCTTGAAAATCAAATCACCCAATTTCCCGATCTCATCATAGTCTGATGTCATCTGCATTCGCTAGGACATCCATGTCCCATATTATTATATGACTTCTTAGTTCTTATGAGGTATATATAGCTACTATAGTTACCTACTGTACAGTATGATATCAAATGAATATGAGTTATGACTCAAAATTATAATACATTTTATATTTTATTCTAATTTAAATATATAGTTGAATAGGTTTACCGTTGGCGTGAGGAAAAACTCGTAGCAACTCTCCTCTGCTTGTGAACTTTAAAACTCTAGAGTTGCAGTATCCGTCAGCAATGAAAATGTCACCGGTCGAAGCGATGGCCACAGAAGTAGGTTGGCACAATGTCCTGTATCCTTTGCCGTTCTCGAATCTCTTGCCAAAGGTTAATGACGCTCTGGGCGCTCCGGGCGAAAACTGTTTATTTTTTTTATCACCATTATTCCGTTATATGTCAACATGCGTTGTGGATGGGTTTAAATGTGTTTGAGCGGAAAATTATAATATATTATAAAAGCGGTGTTTTTTAACCTTAAACACTTGATGCATGGCCACATCGGTGACCCATACGTTCCCCTGGTGATCTATTGTGATGCCGTGGGGCATGTAGAAGAACCCTGCTCCCCAGCTAGATAAAACCTCGCCGGTTTTCGGACTCAGAGTGACGATGGCGTTTGTTAAAATGGGGCCTTCTTCTATGTGTTGGTAATGGAACGTTTCGTTGAATGAACTAAACAAATTTGATGACCATTTATTATATTTTATGAACTTTCTGTAAAGCAGTAAAACAGTGTATAAAACGATTTAACTCACTTTTCGTCCCAGACACGGCTTCCCCGGTGAAAAATCACAGGCTGCCCAACCGTGTTTATTGCCACCCCGCTCACTTGCCCGAGGCGAGGTATCGGGCTCCTCGGCCATCCTTCTACTTCCACGGGCCTGTTTATGTCCTGTTCATAAATCAATAAGACTATTTAGAGCCATTTTAAATGTAAAAAATATTAATATAAACAATATTAATTAAAACACTATTTGACAATACCTATTGTACTGTACAGTTGTGTGTATATGTACCCTAAGTAAATTGGAGCAGCTAACTCTCTACTTCCAACACAAGCTCTTGCTTATAGAAAGAAGATAACTCATTGTTGTGTATGTATTATAAATATACCTGCGAGTGTTCAAATAAATGTATAAAAATAAAAAATGTAAAAAACAATACAAGTTATACCTCTGGTAAATGTATTATAGACAATAGTATTATATACTTATATACATACATATTTATTTTGATCCTATTTTTAACGTATATTACTCTCAGTATAGTAGTACATTTACATAGTTCTATTAGTTATATTTACCATATCTTATATTTAAACATTTACTGGTGAGAATTACCATTGCGTTCATCGCACTTCTTTCTAACGTAATATATAACGTAGGTCGCTATTCGAATATAATTAACTGTAACCTGAAGAGATTTGATAATTTCGACAAACATTCATACTAAAATTTTTGAATATTTTAGCACTTTGTAAGCCATTTATGAACATTGAAAAATTTCTATTATTTAAGTTTGTATTCGATTCGTGTATAGGTCCGAAAAAAAAATAAAAATAAAAATCACTTTTATATAAGCATTGAATGATTAATTTTCAACAAAATATTCGTTAAAATCTTGAAACTAGGTATGTAAATTATTTTTTAGTTCAAAATGTATACAATTTTTAATTTTAATACCTAGGCTTGAAATTTAAAACAATATCCCTTAATTTTTACTGGAATCAAGAAAAAAGTTTAGCGTAAAGCCACATCATTTTGTATGAGCGATTGAAGGTTAAATTTCGACGAAATTGGATATAAAATATGTAGGTTTAATGATTTATGTTATTTTGTTAAAATTAAATAAATATTAATCGCAGAAACTTGAAATGGTTTTAAAACTTCTACTATAATGTACAATTATAATTACTGACGAAATCTGATCGAAGCTTTAGCAATAATTAGCAATTAGTTTATGATACAGCTCGTGTAGTTATGTATTGTGACCCTAAATATGGTGTCCATATATTAGTATGATATATATTTATATACATCGCTTAATAGGTTATTGACAGGGTTACATAAGTTTTGATCCAATTTTATTGTTTATTCCAACAGTTGTTAAAAAAAACAAGTGGAAAATGTGAAAATTTGGATTATTTATGAACGATGGTGAAAAACTTGTGACTCACCCCATTACCCCAACCTATGTCATAAGACCATGCCTTATGATGGTTATGCATTTAAAGCAGGTGTCTTTGGTTAATGTTATTATATGCCATGTATATCCAATATAAATATTAATTATTATATACTCGCCTGTGACGACAACGGTAAAGACAGTGGTGGCAATGGTGTTGATTCAGTGGCGGCAGCAGAGTCGTCGACGTTTTCGTCACCACCGTACACCACGCGCTTGATCTCATTGTAAAAACTGCTATCGACCGGCCAACCGACGGCCAACGAGGGGCACGTGGCCAACAAAGTGACCAGGCAGACTGTGGTGGCCATCAGCGACAAGTACATCGGCTGACCCATAGCGCAGTAGTGACTGCAGGTGTGTGACGTGACGTGGGTGCGCGTGGGCGCTATATAGGTACCTACGTGTTTAAGCGTGTGAGCCGTGTAAGGAGTATCGTATGTCGGTGTATATATTATTATGTTATCTGTGCATTGACAACGACGTTTCACAATTTTGACCTTGGCAAAACCGCCGAGATCAATACCTTATGTATGCCACAGTGGTGGTGGCCGGTTGGTTTGATCGCCAGAGAGCGCAGTGTTACCCCCTCCACCCACCCTTAAATTACAAGCTTCCCCTACTCCCTCACCCCCAAAACAGCGATGCTGGGTCACCGTGAGGATGACCCCAGACCCACCCCAATGGTCAAACCAATCCCACCGCAAATTATGAAGCTGATCTTATATTCGTTACACATTTTCACTCGTTTTTCAATTTTTATCAAATAATATTGACGTATAACTGCACCGTGGGTACCCGATGCGGGTAGAGTCAGATCCAAGAATTATATCACTCGAAGATGATCATAAATTCATAAATTACACACTTTTTTATCAAAATACTTAACTGAAGACTGAAGTGTGACTCAAATATTTCGTTCTAATATTACATATCCTAAAGAAACCAAATCCAGATTTGCAGAATTATACGGATTATTTGGATTTATGGATTTCGTTTTTGATTTGACCTAGCACAAGACAACACTTAACCAGTCATAATGTGTCGGAAATAAGATATATGTAAACAAATTTTTGGAAACTAGAAATTAAATGTATTAGAATATAAAAATGGGTCATTGAACGCCAAAATTGAATAGGATATTCGAATTATTTGGATAATCCGTAAAATCCATCACTACCTATAATTACATTACCATTTCATATTACTACTTTCATACCACTTTTCTTGTGTTATCGCCACCGAGGCAAGTAGACTGCGTTATCAGCTGCATCGTTTATTGTACCTACTAACATTTAGTATTTACATATTGTATATACACAATAAAGTATCTATCAATTATTATTGTAAATATTTAAAAGGTCGAATGAAAGAGCGAGCTCTATATAGTCTACAAAGATCAATTTGATTGAGAGCTTAGTGGGCTAATGACTATCCGCCGCCCTCGAAGCCCTTGCAGGATCGGACGTGCCTTGATCCCACCTATTGAGCCATTCCTATAGGAGGAAGGATTAAGATATTTGTTTGGGGGCTCCAGTGCTCCGCCAATAGCATCGTTATAGTAATAGGTCTATCATCATCTAGGCCACCTCTCCACGAGTTGTCTCGCAGTCTTTCATCCTCCTTGATGGACAAAATGTCCTCTACCGACTTGCAGAACACTCCGGAAAATTCCTCAACCTCAGAATTTTTAACTGAAAATTAATTTGCACATTTTCGGGATTTTGATGATATATAAAATATATATATATTTATATAACAATATAATATATAATATCTTCGAACTTCTATCACAACGACACATGAGGAATCTTGCTTTCAATTTTCAAGCTTTTTTGCTTAGTGAAAAAGAATTTTTTTTGAAATTGGTCAACAATAATTTAATATTTTAATTGATATTAGCCATGAAAAATTGTTTAGCAATTTCATAAGACTTTTATTATTTTTTAATATTAGGATCTGAAAATTTAATAAAGGCTTTATCATACACTAGCTGCCCGACATCCTCCGGAAGAAATTATTTTTTTATAATTTAATTTAAAAACATAAGACTATTTTTTGGCTATACAAATAATACAACGATTATAAAATAAAAAAAAAGAAACAGACATATTTATCAGTGGATAAATAAAAATAATTGGTAATTAGTTAATTATTATTATTATTATAATGAGGGTTCAAAACCGGTTTCATTCGTCTCCAAAATCAAGTTAGATTCTTATATGTATAGATAGTTATATATTTATTAATCATTATAACATATTATACCTATACTATACTCATAGTTCAAAATATTTCTAAAAATATTGTAAACTTTGTTTTTATCAATAATCTGTGTCTATTATTTCATAACTAATTAGCATTTTGAGTTGACATTCATCTGAAATTAGTTTTTGCAATTTTTAATCTTGTTTTCAATAATGAAACTGATAAAATGTTTTTCGACTTGGTTTGCTATTTAACTGATCTCTCAAAAAAGTATAAACTATAAAAGAAAAATTCATATAAATACCTATACAATTTATGCATAAAATAATTAAGAAAATATTACGGTCGGCGATGCATCTTCGAGGTTTCCACGCCATAGATCCTGCACCGAGGTATCGTTGAGTATTTATAACCAAAACATTTATTTGTTATTATTTTAATGTTTACAAGTATAAAAAATGTTTAACTTAACCAAACCGATTTTAAAAACATTTGATTATCTATAAATACAACTACCTTATGTATAGTGATGTCTTATACAAATATGTATAAGCATGAGACTTAATAATGTAACAACACAATAAAAAAAAAATCGTATAGACTATAGGTAAATAATATAATATTATTCGGTATTGATATGATTCTCGGTGTACGGCGAGTCATAATATTCAGAGGCACAACCTTAAAAAAAAATTCCGAGATTTTAGAGCCTAGAACCCTCAATACAGCCTTTTGATGTTGGATTACGTAATAATCAACTTCGTCCATATCCACACCACTCTTCCCACAAAAGTCACATTGTATATTTGAATAATGGCATTGTATAGTAAGCATACGCATTTGTTTTAATTTCTACAATAGGTGGAAAAATTTCAAAAATAATTTGCCAACGTGGTTTTCAACACAACATGTGTTTTAGTTTTACAAAAAATGGACTCTTCATACTTCCTTTTAAGGACTCTATAAAATAACATTCGTTTGCTTCACACACTTCACTATTGTGTCAAAGATGACAGATATATCTATGATTATCATTAGTAACATAACCAGTCATAACATAAAATAGGAATACACAACAGAAAATGGGTGATAAAATAATTTGTACACTTTTTAGTTCTTGTATTGTTTCACTGAAATAAAATATCTGAATATTTATAATATCAAACTAGGTAGGTAGATAGGTACCCAATAAAACTTAAGGCTTTTGTTAGTTTAGTAAATTCGAACCAATAGAAGTTACTTGGGACAATTTATTTATATGTCACTACACTATGTAGTGTGTACAAAAAAAAAAAAAAAATACTACCTCATAATCAATAAATTTTTTATTACTAGAAAATATGTGGTCACCTATATTACATAATTTTAAATTGTGATAAAGAATAGAAAAACATATAATATACAACAAACATATTAATTGCATTTAAGTATTTATAACATATTATTATTATCATATAGTATTCAACAGTCACGATAAGTCGAAAGCTGTAGAATATTAAGTTATACACATTTAACAAAAATATTTTTATTTTTTCATCATATTTTTATTCAAAAATAAAAAATATCGATAAAACCGTTAAAAAAATTCGAACCACGTGGTTTATTTATTATAATATTAATATACATATATAATATGCATACAGACAATATTATCAGTAATTGGTAAATATACATAGGACACAAAAACGTTTATATAAATATTATAAATACGAAATATAATAAATAATAATAATACAAGAGATGAATAAATTTAAAAAATCTATTATATAAAAAAAACGATCCTTAATACGATTTTAGGTGGCGTTATTCCTTAAGTAATATACGACTGTTTCGAGGATAGTTATTTTTACAGACTGTACAATTGTTAATCCTAATATCACAGACTTGCCACTTAAGTGTCGCGTAGACATAGCTACGACATAAAATTAATAATAAATTAGAATTCCGCTTCCGCAGTCGTATACATAATAATTAATTAAGAATCAATTAAGTATAGTAATATAAAACTCAACCATCCGGAGTCGTGGTCTTTGGAAGATGAGACCTATAATATAATATATATTATAACTCACACCACCGCGGCGATCATGGGTGCCTCAGTTTCAGCATCGTCGACTTCTACGACTCGATTTTCTTCGGCATCCGCTTCATCTTTTTCCGGCGGTACAACCACCATTAACACTTGAATGAACTTCGTGAAGTTATCTGTACACACAAAACAAAAAGGTTAATGTAACGCCAGAAATGGCTAGTGGCTAATAAAAATATTTTAAAATATAGTAACAATGATTTATGATAAATGATAATACTACAATACTAGCTACTAGCAGTGTATACTACAATCAAACAACATTTATATATTATACAACAATTAACATGATTCTTAAGAATCGTATGATCATTCATATTAAAAAACATAAAACAATTTATTAAAAAAGGTAAGAAAAGCATACTTTAAAGCACAAACTTAAAAACCGAGACTTTTAGTATAGAATGCGAAATATTTGTTTTTTCGGTAACTCAACCGATGCATTTATACGAAATGCAAGTTTTAACGAGTTGTAATATTATAAATTATAATTATATATACGTACCGACTATCGATAACCTCTTTTTCTGGTACACGAATGGAATGTATATCAAAAACGCCGACAGAATGAACACAAGACCAATGAGGAACTGTGGCTTGGGATCGTTAAGAATGGGTGTGATGAACAAAACGGTGGACACGATGAGCACGAATATTGGAATGACGATTGGTACCTGCGTGAACGAACAAAAAACAAAATATACAGATTAAATACGACGAACTTTTCACCAACCCACGTAGCGTGCTCAAACGATACGTTTTTTTGTTGAAGCTACATACTTCTTGAGGGGTAGGTACGACAGCTATAAACATATATTCCTACACGCCATACATAACTTTTATACACTTATATATACAGTCTGTCGGTATATACCTATATATAGTATTTGCGAGTGTGTGTGTATGTGCAGAGCAGTATATATATAGGATTTCATTTCGTTACCATAAACATTGCCGTGCCATAGGTATATTATGAGGTCATCGTCGTGCAGGCGAACAAAGGTTATCCTAATCATTTGAAATATTCTATTACCTATAACTATAAATAATTGGACGCTATAGTGAAAGAAACACAATCACAGAAAATTAATACAATATAATATTATTATATACAGTTATACACCGCATCCGTTGTCGGACCCGGTGGGAATTTTAAGTCCTTTGAGGACTCGGAAATATCGATTTATTCGATCCAATACACATAAGATGAATATTTTCATCATATTATTTCGCAACATACGGCGTATGGAGTCATGTATAAAGCCCATAGTAGGACATCGAAGAAAACATTACTATATTTTATTATACGGACTGTACCACCACCATAAAGGTGACAAACGGAATATTATATAATGACTGCACTCGGAGCAACAATATAAGTGATTCATCGTATCGATGTAAGATGAATAATTTCATCACTTTATTTTCCCCCGATGTATAGAGTATCCTATAAGTCCATAGTAGGACACGGGAGAGACGTTATTTGGCACCACCATAGAGGTGATAGATAGCATTAATGTCGTTAGTACGACAATATAATGATGTGTTTACTTTGAATGGACGTTTAACGTCTCTCTTGGTATAACGCATCACTAACAATGCAGCCATGGAGATACCGTAGAACATCCACACTAAGAAGCTAGCGAACTCTATTAACACCACGATGTCTCCACACAACAGACAAATTAACGTGAGTAAGCCCTGAAAAAAAAAACATTGAATCGTTTTAAAATTGTAAAACACTTGTCAACAACACTTATTAAAATTAAAATTATATGTACATCGTCTTAATTATTGGCATACCTGTAAAACGACAGCAGGAGCCGGCGTCAGCTTTTTTACGCTCACGTAAGAGAAGACTTCCAACATTTGACCTTCTCTACTAGCGGCAAAGCACAATCTAAACAAACGACAAATCGCAAACAATGAGTCACAATAAAATTAATTAAAAACGTATAACGCGAAATTAAGTATTTCGAAGACCAATCCGACGACTGACCTGGTTATTCCAAATTGGACACTGAGCGCACAACCGAAAGTCGCTGTGGCTACGCCGAGCGGAATTATAAAACTAAAACTTCCCAGTGCTCGAGTTCCAAATTCCTAAAAATTAAAAAGGTCAAAAATGTTCGATGGAAATAAAAAGTAAATCAAGTATCGACTTCGCTATGCAGTATACTCACCACCGCTACCGCCTGGACTGAAGTCATTTCCGCGACCGACAGGACTGTCAAGTAGGACACGTTCATCAGAACATAAATCATGGTGACAAACGGCACCGCCAGAAGGATACTGAGCAGTATGTTCCTGTAACACGTACATTTCGTAGTTGTATAAAAGAAAAAACATAGCGAGCAGTGATGACAATAGAATGTGTCGTCAAACGACGAATTGTACGTACCTTTGAGGATTCTTGATTTCCTCGGACACCACGGTCGTAGCCGTCCTGCAACAAGCACACATTATATAATTAGCAATTAGCATAATACCATCAAAACTTATTATATTAGAGATACAAATGTGTAGCAAATACAACTATGTTTTTTGCAAGGTTATCATTGTAAATAATTTTGAGAAAAATATTCTCGTTTATAGTGTTCATCAAATTAAAATCCATGAAAAATGTTTGTGTGTACGATGTTAAATATTCCGTTAAAAGGTTAAGAGGCATCATCTACGGTTTTAGCTTCCTTAGATGTTTCCTGTTATAATATTAGAACTTGGGACTGATTTTAGACATTTTATACAAAATACATACATCATATTATACTACAAACAAACTAACTTAATTAAAATATTGAAAACAATACCTGTTTAAACTATAATGAAAGGGACACAAAGTGGGGGCAAGACACCCCTTGATTATAAAAATTAGTTAGACGCAAATTATTTGTGTAACAACTGGGTACCGCCACTATTCCTTTCCCTAGTTGTTGTATCACGCATAAATATACAATTTATTGATATTAAAAATATTAACTAGGTTAAGTAAACATGTATCATGTATGTAACAATACTTAGTATTAAGTCTTAGTCAGTAAGTTTTAGTAGATGTAGCAAAACAAAACTAGGTTAAGAGACAATATATAAGTTATAGTAGGAGACAAATGGGGGGTCAGTGGTAGTGATCGTGAGACTCGATTCTCACCAGACACCAGCGTTCATTAAATGTGCTTAAAATATTAATTGTTCGTTTATTGTCTACGTCGAAGTGATCGGCGTAAACGACAAGGTATGGCACCCAATGTGGGGCTCGAACACAAGACCCCGAGATCAAGTACTGATTATCCACTGTCACGAGACTTACCATCCATCGTACGCCCAAAGGCCGCTGTAAAAGGCTATCGGAAGTGTGTCTATGGATAATGTTGTGCCCTCGAATCCAGTCATTAAATTCTTAGTATTGCCTGTAACGATGAACAGAGATAAAATATGACGTCAATAAAGTCGAAGATGTTCGAAATCTATCGTTAAAGTATACAAATCACTCACCTTGGTAGAGTTGATATAGTCCACCACCTATGACAACTATGCAGGCGGTGACTTTACATATAGTGAATACGTTTTGGATTTTTATGAAACACTTGACACTAGTATAGTTGATGAAAGTTATGATACCTTAAAAAAATCCGATACAAATAACGTAATAAGGGCTCACTGTTCGTACTAATATAGGTTTATACATAACTTATACTATAATAACAACAATACAAAAAAGATTTTAGAGCTGCACTTACCGAGTGCGAGTATGCTGACGGTCTTCTTTACCGTATGTTCGGTTTCAGGCGTCATGGAAGTCCAAATGCTGAACGGCCGGATGAAGTATTCTGCGAATGTCAATATAATGATGGCCACCTCGGCTGGGCGAACGTACATGATACTCACCCAAGAGTATATGAAACTGGGCAGAGGTCCCCAGAACTTGTGCATGTCAGCGAATGCAGACTGATAGAAACTGAACTCGCCTCCCGATTTATTGACCACCGTGCCGAGTTCGGCGTACGACATGGCACCTGAACATGATTATTGCGGGTATAAAGCAATTGTAATGCTGCGAAACTATCTTGGTGCATATTATATTTATACAGATCTACCGCCTATTCAAGGGTTGATTTAAAAATATAGTTACCTAAAAGCGATAACAGTCCGCAAGACATCCAAATGACCAAACACATGCCCACAGATCCTGTGTTCTTTAACGCATTGGCCGGAGACACGAATATTCCCGATCCTACAGAGAAAAAAATCACACATTACTATAATTTCAAGTCGAAGTAAAGTCGTCTAATATTTAAACCTATTTGTATAATACCTAATAAATAACTACTTACCCAACATTACGCTGATAATGAGGCATACTGCGCTGAAAAGACCAAGTTCTCGGCGCAATTTTACGTTTTTTGGTATCGACGTCATTTTTATTTATTGGATTGTGTACGATTTTTGAACTAGAAAAAATAATATCATAAGTAAATATTATATTATTTGTCATTGCAGTTTGTTTAACAATTAATAGTATTATTCTATATTATAATGTGACGTATACTTTAATTTTTGAGATTTAACAGTTTTATCTCATCGGTTCATTGATGTGTTTAGATTTGGAGCGGAACGAGGAATTTGTAATGATGTTTTTTGTTTCTTATTAGGAAAACCGTAGTAGTTCCAGTACTTTTATTAATGTAATTGGAAAAAAAAGACGAAAAAAGCGAGAAATGGGAGTAGATATATTGCAACACCCCGCATTTTGACAAAATCGACTTTGTAGAAACTGTAGAGACTTGAAATATTCATCAAATATTCATACAGCCGACTCTCGAAAATTTAAATCTTCAGTAATTCAATGTAATTGCCTGTTCTCTAAAAAATCTCTCAATAATTCGAATAAGAACCATGCATTTAAGTACATTAGGTAATTCGTAGTCAAATTTAAGGGAAAATAATCTGTCAAGGCACGATAATTCGAAGTGTATTCACTGAAATATATTTTATACAATCTTATCGTAAATAATTTATCTTATAATTGCGTAGAATTGAAGCTTATTATTTCGGATAACTATCAAATTATTTTCATAACTCAGAAATTTAAATTGTTTTTTTGACCTCTTGTTTTGAACCATTCAGCAATTGGAACACTCGGTTATTAAACATTTTTCATAAGTAATACGTCCCACCAACTTTGAATTATCGAGAGTCAACTGTATTACCATTTAAGAATAAAATAATTTAAAAAACATGACAGGGATAAGGTTCTAGGGTTAAAACTCTTAAAATTCCTTCCTTCTACAAAAAAGTTTTATTTTCCTCAATACACAAAGTTGATAAATTGTATAGACAAAAAATAAATTGTAAAATGGCAAGCAATAACATTGAGAATTATAATAGTTCTACGTTTGAGACTAACTCTATAATTTGCATTGATAATGTATGTAAGATCGGTAACGTAAAAAATAATGTAATTGGGGATGAATCTCCCTCCCCGCAGGTCCATGATAAATCTTATGTAAGACCTTGACCAATGACCAGTTAAAATCCAGCTCATAAGTTAATATTTAAGCAATTAAAAAATATCAAAAATACAAAGGCTGTAGAATGTAGATATTGTAGATATATTATGCCTGATAGGCAATTTACTTTCAACTTAAAATAAAATACCGATACGTATTACATGTCACTACACGGCTATACACATATATATTATAAGTACAGTAAGTATACATCATACATTGTATACCTTTAAGGGTATTGGCAATTTATTTTCTTGTTGGCAAGTGGTATTTTCTCTTTTAAACTTAACTAAGTAATCTACTTCATCTCAAAAGTCAGTAAAAATTATCAATTTATAAGCTGGTTAAAGTGAAAATCTATTATATATTATGCTAATTATATTTCATATTTGTATTTGATATTTTAGAAATATAGGTTTAATATTGACAAAGTTCAGCTAAAATTGACTTATTTAATAATTCAAAATAATAATATATTATATACTTTTATTTTAGCATAATTATTCAATTATTTCCAAATATTATCTTTTGTGTATAATTTATAAGTACTCCTCTTGTTGTCTGGATGCCCAATCAGTCGGGTTAGTCTACAAAGCGAGATACATCGCCACCAACTTGACCATGAATAGAGTCATTGATTATACAAAATCTAGTTTTTGAATACAATGATTTATCATTGAATTCAAATTTAACAATAATAATTTACATCCATTAAGGCGACCTAAAGTCAATGACGAGATATAACCTATACAGCAGAGCAAATTCCAAGGCTTTTTATGTATAACATATTGTGTATAAATAATAATAATATAATATAGGTAAGTACTATAGTGAACACAATTTAAATTTATATAACAATGCATAAATGTACTAATTAGTAATTACTATCTAAAACTATACAGACCACAATACAACAACACCTATTATATTAACGGAATTCGTATGATTAATTATAGAAGAACGTTAGTTTCATTATAAAAAAAACAGATATATATGCAAAATGATATCAGTAGGTATTCGTTTAAAAGGAATTCTCGACCAATTACAAATGAAAACTGATAAAATAATACAACTCAAAATAAAATTTCGAGAAATACTTTCGTGTCATTGACCATTTGAAGATAAACGAATATTCATACAAATCATATTATGTATTGTGTCAACAATACTAAATGTTAATACTTTATTATTTGCGATTTGTACTTGCTTCGGCACTTCGGCAGTACACATACTATTATTTACAATATTTGTAAGTTGTAACCATTTTATTTATTGTCGGGTTTTAAAAATTTCACAATGTTTTTTTTAAATTTTATCATTGTTACCTGTTTATAAATTATTATGAATAGAGTATATTAATTGACCATTATTATCCACTCTTTTCTGATCGATAATAGATAGGTTTAAATCTATAACGATTAATTATGTTCAATAGATAATATTTACCAAGTATTAAACATAAGTTTTACTAATTAAGTGTAAGTTTTTCCTTTGTTAAGTATTTAAAAAATGTATAAAGGTAACACTCAGATATTAAATTCAATTAATATCAATCCTATACCGCGTGATTTCCGCTAAATAAACATCTCGATAACCTCGTCTCGGTAACCTATAGAATTATCTTTTTCACGAACTCATAAGGTGAAACTTAACTGTGTGTTAATTTGATTAGAGAGCCTATACCTGTGTACATGATTCACCTTGAACTTTGTACATACAATCAAATCAAAAAAATAGATAAGCTCAGAAAGTGACTTTCAATGTGAAATATATTTTACGTTTTAGATTCTGAGTGTATCGATTATTGATTTTACGATGGGTTATTGTTTTGTAAAAAATTTCACCAATCTTCTACTTCGAAGAAAGTTTCTGCAGGTAGCATATCTAGTATGTACTTTGGAGATAAAAATAAATGTAGAAAGAAATTGTTTAGCACTTTAATAGCTAATTAAAAAAAAAAAAATATGAAAAAAACGGAGGAAAGTAGGTAACCACTCAGTTGTACAGTAATTTTAGAGTATACCTCGCCTTGAGTAAGTCACTGTAATGTAAGACGCGTCTAACAGTTAGAAATGAGAATTGTTGTTTCGTTGTATAAACAAGCTGCAATAGCATAAACATTTAGATCTTAAGTTTAGATCCGAATTTGAATAAATTCATCTTTCTAAACAACAAACTAAAAAATAAGGGTGAGCATGCTTGGTGAATCACTCTGTGCATTGTTATTTGTTACCACTCACTATAAAATATACATAAGGTAGAATATGCATTATACGTAGGTCAAATTACAACAATCACAAGTGCACGAATATAAATGTATAATATAATAGTAAAATGTGGAGTTTTATACATCTAACTTTGACGAATTTTTTTGTTCAAAGTATATTTTTATAACGCATTACAATTCATCAGGCGCCAATGACTGCGGTATTATATTCAGTATACACAGTACACATTATACGAATACTTTTTTACCAACGTACTTTGTCTAGTAATACGTACATCAGCGATCAGCGGTTCGCAAACTGTGCTCATAACCTCGTGGGAATTTTGATTCGCTTGCCTACCTACTTAATTAAAAAAAATTAATAGAATAACCAATTATTTTAATGAAAATTATAACAAAACACACCAAAATAAAATAGGTAAATGAAAATTCAATTGTGAAATTCTTATGGTATGAAAATTGAATGTTGGTATTTATGGATGTGGCCGGTCACATCACATAATAAAGAAAAAAAAACTAACTGTGACCCAGCGCCGAAAATTGTTTTTTAACTGTGACACAACGTATCGTGACTTGAACGGGACTGAGATCTGTGAAACCCTACATTCACGTAAGCACAAAATATAATAATATTATGTTCATAGATTTGTAGTAGCAGCAAGTAGGACCATTCTATTACATAATGGTTGTTTTAATTTTATGCTGCAGTGATCGCGACTAAAACGAGCAGAGATATGTGCCAAGTGGTATATATATATTACAATATACAGTTATAGTCATGTAGTCTGCTACTTCTTATACCGGGTGTAGCATACAGCGTAACTAGTGTGTAGTAGGTATAGGCCCTTTTTTTCTTTGTTAATTCACTACATGGGAGCCGAACTGTTTTCACATTGCTTAGCCCCCAAAGTAGGTAGGTACCTAAATACTATAATTCAACTCCCCGCATGCGTAGGTGTGCCCTCATAAATCATAATACACACATACAAGAACCGCGAATAATTCATAAATTACATTCACCTAACTACAATATTTCGCATGATAAATATAACAAATAATAGGTACTTTATAGTTATAGGTACCTGCAAATACTCTCTTATAAAATTCAGCCAGAACTCATAAATAATATTTTCTGGAGGTTCCTAATTATTATGTAGTATTTCATGAAAATAATATACAAATTATATATATATATTACGATTAAATTGGTCTAATAATTTCTGTTTGATTCGAAAATACAAACAGAATATTATAATACCTACATTTTTTCCCTTTTTCTTTAAATGTTTGTAAAGTTATATGTGTAATAAGTGACTAATAACTAACATTCGTCGTGTTATGGCTGGTGTAATAAATACATAATATTCCTAAAATATTGTTAAAAGTATTCATTATATAAATAGAAATATTTAAAATTCTTTTGATCGCCCAAAGTACCAACTAAACCCAACTTACCACATTTAAAGTTGAAAATTGAATCATTTTTTACTTGCTAATCTCGTGTAGGAACTTATACGATTCATATTTCCTATTCTAATTAATGGCCTCATTAATTTCTCGTTCCATTCAGAATCTAAAATTCAAGGATCCTTGGTCTTACAAATTTGATTTGGATCAATATATTCCTTCATAAGTTTAGATTTTAATAATCCATACAATTAAACGCTAACAATTCAATAATTATCCAATATATTATTCATGTATTGTCTATCGATACAACAAATTTGGCATAATAATCATAATTATAATCTGGTAGTTACTTATAGATAATATGGTCTTATAATAAGGATAGGCGTCGGCAGAGCTGAGGACAGCTGTACTTATTGCCTACTTTTCTATGGTTCAATCAATGTTGTACATTTGTACCTTCACGCTATTAAAAGTTCAACTGCTTATCTATAGTCTTCACTTTCAAATTGTAACATTTTAATACTATCGAATGAAAGAAATGTCTATCGTAAATGTTGATGAACACAAAAGAAGAATATTCGTGGTAATAATAGGTTTTGTGAATTCAAGACCTAATGCAATTAAGCATACAAAAATGATCGAAATACTTTCTCGACATTGTAGCTATGCGATTAAAATACTAAAATTCCAAAATATAAAAAATCAATTCATAATAATTACCTATGTTTAAGATTTGAAAAGTATTTCTCAATAAATAATATTGTATATTGTTAAATTGTATCTAGCAAAACAAATTAATTAGGTACCTTCGTAAGAACCGAATTCGTAAACAGGAAATCATTTAATCCATGCATAATAAATGAGAAGTGATTAATTAAAAAATAAATGTTGTAATTAATGACACGGAATAAATCATTGAAAAAAATACGATTATCTATTTATGGATCATTTTATCATACATGCATGATGCATATTATCACATAAAATATGATTATAATACATATAACAGAAATGCATATTATGCATATACTATTATAATATTTTACTAACCTACCAAAGCAATAATTACCATACAAAATATAGTGCATAAAATCTGTGTGACTATACATAGAATATATAGGTATGTACTACATACATCTACCTTCAATTTGAAAATAGGTAAATTTGTAAGTACTTACAAATACTTTTACGAATAAAGACAGTAGGTAATATACCTGACAGTAATTGCATACAAACATTAAAACATTTTTAACACTGCAATTACTATCTCCTTCCCGAAACTAAAATGGTAATAATTTATGAATTTTTCATTTTAAAAACGGTTTGTAATTGTTTGTTCATACATATAATGTTGGAATGGTATTGACTATTGATAAAAAAAATGTATTTATTTCGTTGATTGTTTTAAATGTAGCGGTCTTAGTAAGATAATTGGTTGGTACGTTTGTTGTTCAAATATATGTATATTACATTTTGGCATTACACCACTAGATAACGTAAATGGTAGCAACGAAATGTCGAAATCGTCAGTGAACACTGAACACGGGCTAGAGAATTATCTCCAGAATATTCTTATCAAAAATCAAAATATCGGGGTAAAATAAAACCAGTGAATTAATGACAATGAAATAAAATGAAACGTAAATACAAAATATATACAATAATAACGAAAAGCAAATGAAGATGGTGTGTAGAAATCGCAACCATGGTTGATACACTATCGTCGTGACGTCGTCTATCGTAAACACTCTGCGATCGTACGTAGGTAGGTAATAGGTATCTCTAACACAAACGATAACACACGAAACGTCAAACGACCACATAATTTCGATTAATAGCGTCACAAACTATAACTCATTGAGACTCGGGCAAAATACTATAATATTAATCGAAAGTCACACACATACACACAATATATTATTAAATTACGACGATCACGTCGTTTTTTCAAGTGTAGACATTACAAGGAAATCAGAAAATAAAAATCTTACCTGTCTGAGAAAAGACTGTCGTATTATTATTATCTATGCAAAATTGCAAATCTCGTTTGCGTCCGTAGAGTGAAGACAACGATTTGAAAAATAAAATAATATTGAAACGCACGATCGATGGTAGGTATCTCAGCTAGGAACCTTACGGCACGCGTACAAGTGTACGACTACCTGACAAAGTGACAACTGACTATTACGAGGTACTGTACGTCTGTATAGTAGTCGTATACTATGAGTGTTGAGCCTCAAACCGTCTATTCGTGTGTTTCGTATTTCGCTCACACTCTACCACACAGTGCAGTGCGTGGCGTACAGTGACTCGTGGGACGTGCATGGTGCGTTAGAGTAGGCATGCTTGCGCGGGTTGCGACGACTCGCAGCGATCCCGGTGAGCAGGTTTCGTCGTAACCGCAGAAGGCAGAACACGCTACATATAGCTGCTATAATAATATTGTATTGTATAAATGAATATAGGTTATGGCCCTTACAAATCGTCAACCTGTATTGTGTGATATACCGGCATGGCGGTACGCACGAAGCACATAGTGTTATATACGTAGTTGAATACGATATAATATTAATCGGCATTTGCGTTTCGTCGGAAGTTATTGCAGTGTTTTAATGGTCCTATAAAACATACACGAATAAGGCATTGGCATATTTGATTTCCGTCGATATTCGATGTGCCGAAAAATTGTTTAATTCAAATGATTGAAATTTGAAAGACGTGTTCATTTTTTTTAAACATACCTACGAATCTTAATACATGTATACTCGGTATAGGTATAATCAATAAAATATTAAAAAACATGCTTATAAATTGTTTTTTGTCAAACGAATATTTCTCCTTCTTATGCTATTATATATACGATGTACCCACATAGCACCTAACTACATGAAAACATTTAGTCAGGTACAAATAAGTATGCACGTATCTACATTTTTAATGTAGATGCTAAGGACAACGTTTCTTAATTCATTGTCAGCTAGGTACCTAGACATTTTTTTTTTTTGATGAATACTTTATTAATATACTTACATACAATAAACCATATTATAACCTATAGGTGTCTATTATTTTAAGTTATAATAGAAATCTGTGTAAACAACTGAAAATTCCATATAGGTACATGACTAAACATAGTTTATGATACCTACAAAATATTAATATGCCTGTAAAATATACCAGGTGATCCATTTAATAGTGTCTAACTCATTCTTTCGAAAAGTTTTAACTATTCTTGTAACTAATTTTTATACAATTCGATGTAACGTCAAAAGAATATTTCTTAAAAAAAAATTTTTTTTTTACTATATTTTGTATTGTTAAATTTTTTAAGTTACTTACTTTTTTGAAAACACCATTCATTTTTAATTTCATATTCCAAAACTGGATGTTAATCTGAGTAGGTATTTCAATCTATAAAATATACCAAATTTCAGACAATTATTAGTGTTCATATTGTTCATATTAGTAAGTTATAACTTATTATAGGCGTAACCTATATAGTTATAATTTTAAGTTCTTATAACCAGGGCTCGAAAGTTCGTGCGCTTAACATTAGTAAAACATGCACTAAAAAGTTTGGAAATTTGCATTTATATGAATTATTATTTTTAAATTGTGTACTCAAAATATGCACAATGTAAAAATATCATAAGTAAATTTTTAAAAAATAAGATAAGATCCATTCAGTTAAAAAATATTTAATTTCTTTTAATTTTCATGGTTTTTATAACAATCAATAAAATGAATACATCTTGTGAAGTTCAAGGCTTTGTCATCTGTATCAATCTTAATTAATGTAATTCTCTGACCTTTGTCTGATTTTTGTACACCCTTCGTTATAACTAACTACTAGCTTGTTCGAATTGTGCAGATCTTCATAGATTGAAAGACTTCGAATAATATGCTGCTTCAGAATATGAAATTAAAAATGTATAGTATTATTAAAATAAGTAAAAAACATAAAAAAAAACTATAACGATAAAAAAAGGAAAAACATTTTTTTTTAGAAATGTTATTTTGAAATGAATCATATTATATCATATAAAAAAAACATACCAAGTTACCAGATATTTTTCTTCTACAAGGAAAATCTATAAATCATAAATATATTTTTTTAAGTAATCATGACAAAGGAAACCTTACGTAAAATCGGTCAGAAACAAAAAATATGTATTCAACCCAAAAAAATATATTTATATTAAAAAAATATTTTCAAAGAGTTAAGACTTCAAAAGAATGAGAGTAGACACTTAAATGGATCACACTGTATAATATAATTCGATGTTCATATTAAATATTAAACTAAAATAAATACAATAAATCGTGCTAGGTATAGTGAATCAGTAGTGAATAATGATATTATTGGTTCATTAGTTGTACATTTGTATTTATATTTTATTTTAATTAAAGTATAAATAATTTTAATAAACTATTAGGTATTACTTATGAATGTACGATATAGGTACTTATGAGTTTATAAAAGGTGTATTATGCAATTGTAATTTGTAATATCAGACTTTATTAGAAGCTAAAAAAATCTGTCAAATTAAAATGTTTTTTATTAGAATTTCAAACTTATATAAATGTACAAGTTTGTATACGAGCAGTTACACTTATGTATGTCGCATATGTATGGTGTATAACAAGTCTATAATCATTATTTATTAACACCAATTAGTAATTACATTAGTTACTAATTTTTATTTTATTATTTTATCAAAGCATTGTTTGTCTTTTAAACGTGTAAATGAATAACTAAAAATGCCTTAATTGGTTAGTTTAATAATTAAGTCATTAAGGACTAAAATGATGTATCTGTAATCGTTATAACAACAAAAACAAATAGTGTAAACAAAAATGTAATGTTCAAAAAATTAATTATACATTTATTCATGCTGTGAGTTACATATTAGTTATGTTTGTCATAATTTCGTCGCTCCATATCACGCATATTATAAAATATGATGTTTAACTACAGAAAAAAAAATATATGTATATATAAGTACAGATATTTTATCGCCAAATAACAAGAGCAGGTACAGGTAGGTAGTACAACAGGCCATAATGTTGACAGTATACTTGATTATATTATACTGATGCAATAGCGAACGTAAATGAAAGCATGTAGGTATCTGTATTACAGAGTAATTATCTGTATTAAAGAATTTTAAACCACAATATTATAATGCTATCTCAAGTATTTAGGTGTAAAGGAAATTTAACTAACATATTATATAGAAATAAATTGATTTAAACCAGAAACACTGCATAAGATACATTTTACTAATTCCTAATTAATAATTATTAACGAAAATGTGACAGTATAAAATATTGAAATAAACAACATATGAATAAATAAAATTATAAAATATCCTTTACGTACCTACAAACATAGTTTAAACTCATAATAATAACTCTCTAATAACCTTTAATAATCACAATCCTGAACTTTTCCCAATCCGTCACTTCAAGTATTTCTAAGTCTTTCTTTATGCCATCCATTCATCGTCGCTTTCTAGGCCTTCTTCTTGGCTTTTTCCCCGTCGGTTGCCATTCGATACTGCTCTTGTACAAGTAGTTTCTGTTTTCCGCATAGTACCTACCAAACTATGACCAAACCATTTGACTTTTGAGTCTTTGACACTTAGTGTGGCTTGTTAACAATGGAAATTCAGTGATTGCTTTTAGTTCTGTATATTTTCTTCTACCCCATCTATTTAGCTCACTATATCAAACACTGGATCACAAATCTTCCTCAGTATTTTATTTTTAAAAACTAACAGCTTTTTTTCTAATCGTATAGTAGTGGGCCATATTTCACATCCATAAGTTACCATTGATCTTATTATGGTCATGTACAGTCTGATCTTGGTTCTTCTGGAAAATAGTTTGAATTTAAAAAATGTATAGGTATGCAACGCGAAATAAGCCCTATCCGCCTTACGTGTACGACTAATGATTTCGAGACTCCAATCATTGCTGTTGTAATGGTGTGGAACACCATTACAGATTTCATATTTTTATAATTATAATATTACGTATAGTATTATATACTATACATCAAGGGTGGGCAACTGGCGGCCCGCGCTACATTTTCAAATTGCATTAGGTCTAGGTATACAATTTTAAACTTTATCGTCTATACTCTATAATCTATAATGTAATAGTCTATACTCTATCTTAACGATATAATAATTGTTATCTGGTATTGAACATCGTTAAATATATATTAAATCAAAACATAGAAATCGACTTACAGATGAAACATTAAGTCACCTACTTCGTGTTTCTTCGTCCGAAATAGAAGTCGATTTTGCCGCGTTGTCATTAGAAGCCACACATCCTCAAAACTCTCACTAAACTGCAAATACCTAACTATTTATATTTAAATATTTAATTAAATTATTTTCAATACGCATTTTGTATTACTATTTCATTATAAACAAAATAAATGCTAATTAAAATGTATATTTTGAATGACCTTTTTTTTTTTTGCTTTCTATGCTCTGGCCCGCTAGATTTTAAATTTCTAAAAATTGGCCCTCCAGTAACTTTGAGTTGCCCATCCCTGCTATACATATATCATAAATGCACGTGCCATCTTTCATCATTCTGGAATATCACGGAGTAAGAGTAAAGCTATATATATATATATATATATATATATAACTATTTTTAGTAAACAAAATTTATAATAATCGTTCGGCCTGCTACTTAGACATTCGTCAGCCGAACTAGTCTCGTTTCAGCACTTGCTCCGTGTTGCTACCAGGTCATCGGTAAAGTAAAATATTTTATACGTTAAATTATACTCGGTATAACTATAGTTGTCTTATCGAGTATGCAAATCCTCTCACATTCCCCCGTTTGGTGCAGATCTATCACTACGGATACACAATTACGCACAGTATACCGGTAGTGATAGACAATAATTTAATTGTTACCACGTAACACTGTTATAATATATAATTATAAACTTAATTTATATAATATACCCAATAATGTATACTAGGTACGAATAAAGTAAATAAACAGTGGATAGGTAGATATTTGATACAGCTCTATTAGGCAGTTATAGTGTAGGTAATATATTATATTATATTGTTGTTGTAAACATCCGTTAACCGGCAGAAGTTAACATTATAAACATAATATTATATGACAAGAATATTGTGTATTAAAATAATTGTCTACAAATACTTAATATAGTATTCGTATAAAATAAAACCAATGAATAGTGTTACAATATTTAATATTATCCAGAAAAGGTTACTGCGTACCTAACACATACGAAAGAATTGAACATATTTACGAGTAAAATAATATTCTAAGATAGAGTCTTTCAAGGATAAATGTATTTGATTAATACTGTTGATATACTTGTGTTTTTAACGTCTTACAATAGTTAATAATGTAAGAACAAAGTAAAGTCGGCTAATTAATTGTAGCAATTGAACAACGTATAAGTCAATGTACTCTTTAAATTATTTATGTAAGTTATTAACCATCACGCATCTACGTTTTAAAATTATAATTAGGTACCTACCTAAAGGTAAAAAATGCAGACCACGGATGTAACTGATGTCTGATATAGTTATTTATCAATACAATCGATATAGGTATATAAACAGTGAAAAATATTAAGCCCATGGTTAAATACTTAGCCTCACGGTCTTATATATAAGACCGTGCTCATTTATCTACGATTAAACCTGCTGTCAAAAATATAAAATAACAATTAATTAAGTATAATTATTACATAAAAATAAAATTTATGGCTATCAAAATAAATGTCAATGTATTGGAGGATACAACAGGAAATTATCCTTAAACTGGCTTTAAGACTTACATTATCATATATTTTCGTTTTTTTTTTATTCAAATATTATAATTCGTAGAACGTAATAAGGTCGTTTAAGTACAATGCATATTAATGAGAACCATAATTAACATATCATATTCTAATTTGCAACTTACAATAAAAGGGAACAACTGGGTATAAGCGCTGAGGAAATATTTAATAATTAAACTATCTAGTGCACATACCTAATCATTATCGATACAAATATCGTAAATATAAATCGGGAGGTTAATGCAGTTAAAACTTAAAATCCGAGGAACTATAATAGCTATTAGCTATTGCTCCTCTAGTCCGCTGCATACTCATCGAGAGTATACCTCGCCATTAAGTTGGCTATAGATATCAGCTGTTACCTGTTGTGCTAAATCGATAGATTTCGATCAGTCGAATTCAAAGATAAATATACTTATAGTTTATACGAAAAAAGTTAAAAATCGGAGACGGTCTGTCAACATATCAAATATCAATGCTGTCAATTTTAACTATTAGTTGTTATTAGCACGATTTAAGATAGACTACCTATCTTATATCGTGGTTATTACTATTACCTAGTTATTATTTAGGAGTTGGGATATGTTATTATGTTCATTTTTTTTTCAAAAACATCGCCTTTATAAGTTTTATTGTGCATTTGTATGACGTAGGTAAAGGTAAATTGTATGACGTCTATGTAGACAATCAATTATATAGTATTCAAATATGATAATAATTTGAGCATCAAAAATTCAAAACCTAATACGTAGTTTAATCCTAATTAATAAATAGGAATACATAAACATAATTAAATATTATCAGAGATTTTTATCATTTTTCCCACATACTTAACAATTTTTGACATTTACAAATTACGTGAATGAACCAGGACACTTCGCAACGGTGGATTTGGTGGTATACAACCGCTCTGATGCAGATACATTAGGTGTCGTGTTGGTCACTGTAATGGATGGCGTTAAATTTGAATTAAATTGTGTAATTTCATTGTGTACAAAAACGATTCTGATCGGTTTACGAAGACAAACTGTTTTTATAATTTATTTAGATTTCCGATGACAAAATACAAATTAGGTAATTATAAAAAAACGGTGTTTTAAATTTTCAATCCTCAGCAATAAGAACTGAACATTTTATAAATTTTTAACTACAAAATATTATCAATTTTTTATTCTTTTCACATTTTTGTAAAATCCCTGTTTTCCCTAAATTTTTTTTTGGTTTTGCATTGAGCTTATGCTTATGAAAACTTCTATAAATTTTTTACTTTTGACCCCCCAAAGAACCAATTAGATTTACTTTTCTAATCTGGAATAATGCTAAAATAGAAAGTCGAAACATTTTCACTGCTTGGAAAGATAATGATAGGCACAAGAAAACACATCATTGTAAAAAAGGGATCATGCACGTACTATGAATGTAGCCATCAAGTTAATTCTTGATACGATATTCTCTATTGAATACACGATCTATGAACAAACCTAGAACCCTGACTGTTTGATCTGAGGTATAATCAATAGAATAGATTCATCACTTCACAAAAAATCTAAAACAAATAACCAAACATCATGCTTCATTGCCAATAGGTAAGAAGAACTAATAATGTCTTATTTGCGTGTAGGTGAAAAGCATAGAACTTAAAGGCGCCAGTAGTATATGATCTATGATGAAGAGTCTAGGTATTTTATGATTATAAATTATAATTAATATTAATATATTATTCTTGATAATGACTGGAAGTCTGGAAATAATACAAATTGAAGAGGAACAAACATGCCGTTTTAAACCAAAACAGCTAAATATAAATTGTGATAAAATTGTTTTAACTAATTTGAATTTTCAGAAATACTGATAAATAACAAAATAAGTTGAGAAGAGTAGGTAACCCAAGAACATACAATACAAATGTACTCAATTTATTAATGTATAAACAATTGATGCAGACATGATTATAACAATTAATTAGAATTTGTATTTATTGTTTTGTTAATACTTCACGAATGTCCTTGAAAAATTAATTAAAGTAATGTAGATTGTGTCTGAAAAATAATAATAATAAATTTATAATGTAATTTAAATTGATATTGATATTTTTTCAATATACTTACATTGTCAATAAAATAGAACCTAGGAGTTCATTTGAGACCAGTAGATGATGAATGTAAGACCTAGTATGTTTTTTACAGGTCAAACACGAACATGAATCTTTTATTGGCACAAATTTCTCAAAATGACTATATTAATTTTAATTCAAATCACACAAATAAATAAATTTTATGTCATATTATTTTACTACAAAATTGAAAAAAATAGTACATTACCTTGGGTCTGTCAAACATATTTCATAGTCATTCAAAATGTCTTCATTTTTATCAGTTTTACATTGAGAAATGTCCATAATAATACTTTCATTTCTGGAAATTAAAGCAATACATTTGAGTATATTTAGTGAAATTAATAAATATAATTAAAACCAAATCAAATCAAATAAATCTCACTTATATTTTAAATTGTAATCAAATATTAATGCCGAATTGCGTTCAGTTGTGATGAATGGAAAAGATGAGTCAAACATATCCACTCCACTGTTTATAAGATCAATTATTAAACTAGGAGTCCAGGCACCGAATATAATTTTCATTTTATCATATGGGAGATATTCCTTTGTTGAATAAAACATTTTTAATTATGTAAGTACATATTATACAACTTAAATATTTGAATAAAGAAGTGTTTTTTTTTTTAAGTACCATTGTTTTATCGATAATGGGTAGAATAAGATCACTAGGGATTTCTTCAACAATGGCTCCATCAGTAAAAAATCCATCAAATAGAAATCCTAATATATCGTTATGATATTCTGATAAAAATGTTGCTGATCGAATTCGTTCTTGTACATTATAACCACCTTCAATTGGAGCAATCACACAACTTTGTTTTAATGCCTAAAAACAGACAGGATAATAGGATGTACATTTTTTAAATATATTTGTTATTCTATTTTCCCATAATAGGGCACTAAGCATGTTCATCTCCGCTTTTTCTTTGATAATGAATTGATTCAAATCCTGATTCAAGTACTAAGACCATATTTTTTTAAATAATTAGATTTTGTCATTCCATTTAAATAGTGCACCGTGTTATTGCAAAAACAAACTATGATGATTTGCACTATAATAATATATTAGTATTTTATAATATTGTTGAAATTGTTTGCATACTAAACTAAATATTGTACCTATTTTATATTTTATATAAAACTATTTTTCAAGATATTGTTATTTTCACAGTTAAATTACTCAGGCACTACTCATTCAAATTGTGATTTGGATACATTAATATGATCAAAAATATATTCTACCTAACAATACACAGCAAATATGGGTGTTTCTCATTTGAAAAAGGTAAATTTATATCGCCTTAAAATATTCTTTAAATGGTATAAAAAATTAAGTATCTAAAAATTTGTTACTTAAGTAAACTTAAATATTAAAAATTTAAATTTAAATTAATAAATAGCTAACATTCAAAATATTTATAAATATAAATATTATACAATAAAACTATAATTTGGATAAATATATTTTAAATTAAGTAAAATCTGATGAGTAACTAATGTTTAATAACCCCAAAAAAGGGTAAATTTTATCTTTTTAAATTCCACAATCATATATTTTCCAGGCAAAAAAATGATTTTATTCCGCCATTGGTGCTATTCATGCGGGTGCTCGGGTGCTCGAACACCCATTGCAATTTATTAGGTGAGCTGAGCCTTCCTTAAAAATTGGGATCACACATTTTGTTAATTACTAATAATACTCTTTAAAAATAAAGTTTATTTGTTTAATGAATACATTTAATTAATCAATAGACAATACTATTATTACGGATGAAACTGAAACAACAGACTGATAGAACAAATGTGTTTGTAAGAATTTTATACTTTCATAAATCATTAGATAATATATTATTTACAAAATAAAAATTTTAGAATAGTTTTAGCAAAATATAATATACGTGATTAAAAAAGTATTGCTAAATAACTAACTAGTTAAACTTTATTATAGATAATTATTCCAACTGTTAAATGATAATACTGAGAAATATATTTGTAAGTAAACAAATTACAATTTCATAGTAATAACATATTAATATGATTTGTATTATTATCTTAGAAAATAAAAAGAAATAATATAAAATATTGTAATAGGTCATAAAACAATATTGTTTTGTAGTTATCTTTCTAAGAAATACAATATACTTGGTATATTCATTTTGTTTATCATCAAAATGATAAAAAATGTATATTCTTGAAATCAAATTATTTTATTCTGATTAGCATATATATTACTAGATTTTTCTATAATAAATCACTTTAATAGAAGATTGATTAATTTTTTGTTTTAATTACCTTTTAAAAATGTAATTAGTTTTGACAAAATAAACAGAATAGATGTTGGAAAAACAATGCTATTAATGTACCTGTAGACAATATATTGTACACGTATATTACAGTGAAATCCATACATAACGATTTTGGTTGATCTGCAGCTTTTGATGAACAGAGAATAGGTGTCCATTATATACAGGTTTAAGTATTTTTAGCAAAACACATAATACGTGTATCTATGAGAACAGTAATTTTTATGAAAAATGCCAATAGTAAATAGTATTAAGTAATACTATATATATATAAGCTATACTCATACATTCATATTTATAAATATAATCAATTGTTATTAGTGTCTTGATGTGAAATACACGCTGTGTCGTTGTATCTGGCGATGCTGTTGCAAAGTATGTACACATTTATGAAAATATATTTGAGTTTGAACTTTAATTGATGTCCATTATTATGGTATCGAGGAGAATGCCCGTGTCCATTATAATAATGATTACCTATATGGCAATATATTTAAATGATTCAACACATCTTAAGGATGGCTTAAGATGGCTCAAAGTGGGTTAAGCCCTCCCAAGCCTCCCTCTTTTTATGTTCATGACATCAGACCAAAACTTATTGAAGATTTTTCTTAAAACAGGGGAAAAGCATATGGGGCAAATACCTAATGCATTCATTGATATTCGATACTACAGATATAACATAATGATGTACAAGTTTGCCTCGTGTCATGCATTTATATCAACATAAAATTTATTCTGATTTGTTGTACAGATTATTACTTAGTACCTTATACAATTCAAGTTATTATTTTTTTTTTATTAAAATGTTTATTATTTGTTATTAGTTATAGTACTATGTGATCCAAGACTGAATGTATTGGGATAAATATAAGACTAGTCACTAGCACATACGCAAAGAAGCCACTATCAGATGACTCGTTCCTATCAAGTACATCAGAATATTGAGTCGTGGCTCCATCCATTGTATTCAGGGGTGTTTCTATAACCCATTGTGTATACTTCATGTAAGCTGTATACGCTCAAGATATTTTTACAAAATTAAGTGTAAATATAGCACTAAACAGTATTTTGGCTTGGTAATTTAGTATACTCTCAAAAAAATTAATAGGAACACCTCTGATTGTATATGGTCCATCGATCTAACATCTAAGGTTGTTTATCTGTGGTTGGTACAGTGTTTGCTGCCTTAATGTTATCACTTTGGTATTAGAAAAAACTGATAACATGAATATTGACCAATAAAAACTATACTCTGTCCAGTGAAAGAATACTCCTAGGCCCAGGCATCTTCTCTCGTTGGACAGGGTTTAGATGAAAATTAAAAATAATAGCAAAATGTATATCAAATTTTAATAATTTAATATTACATGTATTGTAGTTGGGTATTTAATTTAATACACAGTTATAAAAATTATTATGTAAAATAAATATGTAATGATTATTATTATGTTTCACTATTACAATATTCAAATACTTAAATTTTGTGAATCGCAAAAAAAAACCCAGAAAAATAAACACACCACGGAAAAAGAAGCCCATCAAAAAGAATTTAAATAGAAATATGAACATATATATATAATATATTGTGTTATAACTTATAACACATAACTTATAATTGTCAAAAAATATCAGTTTTAGGTATTTACTACACTAATTAAACAACTATAAATATAATAATATAATAAGTTAATACAAAATAGGCGGTGGTACCTATGATATTAGTTTGTTGCTCAAGTTTAATACAATCCATTTGGATGTACACCAATATACCAACTATTTTTTTTTAATTTTACATCTTAGTAACATCAGCAATTAAGTTGAATAGTGCTTATTAGCATAGTGTAACCATTAATTATTATTATGATTATTATCTGTTATTCATATCATGAACTATTAAGTATTATTGTATAATGCTTTTTCAAATAATAATCAACAAAATATTTAAGAAATATAAAATAGTACAATTAAATGGCACTCGCATGGACTTTTATTTCTGTGGGTTAATTTTAGGCTTACTCCTTTTTGTATACAATGCTCACATTTAATTACACAAAAAATAATGCAAATTCAAGAAAAACAGAACCTTACTAACTCTAGTTATTGTTATTTATATTCATAAATTGTAAATGAGATATAAGATACTTAAGTTTAATTAAAAATAATTATTTTTACAAATAAATAAATACTCACTTCTGATTTATGATGACGTTCCAAACAACTCTTAAATAGTCTATTTGAAATATTAACTGACTTTTCAATGGCTGAAGGTGAACTATCCAAATTAATGTCTGAAATGCTTAAGGTAACATACATAGTGGGTTTGAATACTTCCATGATATCCATATACCTAAATACAACATATTTAAATAAAATGTACAACATATTGTAAGTATTAATTAGAATTATTAGGTGGAAATGTTATAATTTTAGTTTGTGTCTTATTGTAACATAAATTATTTTCTGAAACATTGAACCTAAGAAAAAAATCAAAATAAGATGCAACTTATTTGTTTCTCTGATAATATAATAGATATAAATTAAATTTGTAGCAAAAATTAAATAAATATGTACTTATAACATTTATTAAATTTGACAAATAAATTAAAATAGAAACATTTTTAAATGACCATAATCCAATTTACTTTTCATGGTTAATTAATTGATTTCCACTTTTGGTTTTAATAGCAACACTATCTTTTTGATTGTAACCTTGTGGGGTATCCACTGCATAGTCAGTTATTGAACAGCATGACAAGTATTTCTGAAAAATGTAAATATTTGTCTTTTAAATAAATACTTAAAACACCAAACAATAAAAAAAAATTATGGAAGTAAATTATTAGATGCTAATGTAAATGCTTTTCTGTTTTTTATGAATGTTATAAACATTAATGAAATTAATAAAATACTATTGTTTTGATATTAAAAATATAACTTAATACAATTTAATAAAATTCTCGTATGGAGTAGGTAGTATTGAAAATATTTGAACATTTGTAATATTACTGTTGTTACTAATGCTGGGAGCGTCAAATCTGCATTTTATTTTTATTTTATTATAGCTTTTTTATACCGTCAATTGTTCTTATTGTTCTTTTTTTTTTATAACAGATTGAATTAAAAAAGTACAAAAATTGTTCAAATCAAGACTAATTATTTAATCAAAATTAAAATCATTAATTTTCAATCTCTAAACAACAATACATAAACGTAAAAATTATAATCGCAGTGCAATAAAATACCCTAGGTATTTCCATATGTTTTGAAAAGAATATTAGTGAGCAGTGTCTATAATTAAATTAATATATAGGTACCTCAAGACCAACAAACGAGTTAAGGCCGTGTTTAAACTCTTTCAATGGTTGGTAGAAACTCAGACAAGTCGGTAACGAGAAATTGAACAACGCCTGATCATCAGGCACAATTTTTTCAAATACTTCTCTCGATATGTATGGCACACTTCCACACTATAAAAATCAAACCAAAAATATATATTACATTATTTTAAGGAATTGGCCTTTTTTACTTTGGTGTAAAACATGAACGCAGGAGTGTTGACTTGAGAGTTTGAGTATTTCAGTGATCCTAGTCTTGGTCCATTCGTCGGTGGTATGTCATTGGGTCTGTCCGTGACAACCGAAAAATGTGCTTGCTCCATTGATGACGTTCGAAAGAAAATGACGACGGCAGGAAGAGAAAGGTTAGGTATAAAATATTTTAATGTTCTAAGTTTCTTTACAACTAACAACTGCCGAAGTTAGAACGTCCACAGAAATTGAATTATTCAAAATTCAAATAATTTCTAGCAATTCACATCATATTCAATTCAATCGTTATCAGTTTTCAGTAACGGTGTGGAACTTGATAGTACTATCTACAGCGTGAGCTACCTAAACTACGGCAAACTTTGAGCACCATGAAACGATATTTAGCCATGATAAAGTACCTACTCTAAAATTTACTTAATCATTAATTTAGCCATGTTTATTATTAAAACTTATAACTTATGAGTGTACTTACTATACCTGTTACTATTTGGTGCAGATAGATTGTTCATATATTTTTTATGTATAGGTCGGAACGCAGTGGCAGATGGGCTTATATTTTTTTACCGGGAAGAAATTTGAATAAGGACCCCCAAAAAATAAGAGCGAGCAACATATTAATTTGATATAACAATACAATACAAAACTAGGTATATAATCAATAATATAGGTACTCTTAGTACAGATTTGTTTATTTTTCATAGTTAATACATTAATATTTTTTCAAAGACTCACTGTTTAATGCAACCTTATCGATTACACTAGGTATCTGTAGTCTGTACTAATGGAAGTTGAAATATATTTTTCTACTCTTATGAGTAGAGCTATCTATATTATAGGATTTTAATGAACTAAAAAATACACAAAAATGCACTAAAAAAAAATGCAATAATGACCTAAAGATCCTAAGAAATGAACTTTAAAATGACCAAAAAATGTACTTAGATGAGTGAAAAAAAATTATTTTAAAAATAAATATTATTAATTATTAGCATAATAGACTTGTGAATGTAATCAACAAAAGCATAAATTAAAATAATTTAATGAAAAATATATCATTTTTTTTTCTCCTGTACACGTATTCTTGCACTGCACAATTAGATGATTCTTAAGATTTTCAAACAAGAAGTAGGCTGTAAGCGGTTCAGATAAAATATTTTTATATGAAGAAAAACTTCGTTCAACGTCCACAGAAGAATAGGGGCATTTTTGAAATGAAGTATGAACCATATCATTTAAAGTTAGATCTCCCGGAATACCATCTCTAAATGTTGTATTTTCATAGTCCAAAATAGAAGATATTTTTTAAAACTTTGAACCCATTATTTTTCATCAAAACATTTTTCAGTTTGTTTGATATTGTTTCTCCGATTACATTAGGAGCAAGGTACAATGTAGTCTCAATTTGTTTTATTTTATTAATAGATTCTGATAATAAAATTCCAGAAGCCTCCATATTTTTTATTTCTGAAGGAATGAAACTAAAATTAGATTTTATATAAATTAGATTTTCCTCTAAACTTGATTTAGACATAAGTTATTTTGCTTCTTTTATAGTAATCGAATCAACATGATTTAATTCAAGCAAACCCTTTTTTACATAAGAAAAATTCTGACAATAGTAATTTACAGCATTCAACCAGGTTCCCCATCGCGTGATTACGGGTTCGGGTGGCAATGAAATTTCTGGAGCATTTGTGTACGATATGGTGATTTTTAAAATATTTTTTTATGCAACTTATAAGTTTATTAACATTTTGAAAATTTGATCTTATTTCTTCCGCAACTCTATGAATTGCATGCACCACACAGGTAACATGCACCATTTTTGAATACAGAGTTCAAATGGCTCTTCCTGCTTTCACCATACATGGGGCGCATCAGATACAAAAATAAGGACATTATAGTGTTTTATTCCTTCAGGTCATAATGTTTTTTTTATCGAACGGTTTAGCAATGGTTGAATGATTTGTTTTTTTCCAAGACATTAGAATATAATAAAAATGTTTTTCCTAAATTTTCTGCTTCCAATGTACCAATAACAATATTTACTACATAGCGACCTTCAACATCTGTCCGTTCATCTACACTAACCCACATTTTTTTATCGCCTACATAGGGTCTAATATATCGTATTGTATTTAAATAGCATTTTTCAACATAATTTTTACGCAATGTAGACTCGTCTGAGATTTTAAATTTTATATTTTTTTCTAAAAAATTTCTAAAATGTGTGTCATTTAATTTAGTAAGTGAAATATTAGCTGCTAATAATGTTTCACAAAGCTCTCAATTTAAATGACGATTAATTACTATTATTTGTTAAATTAGATAATAATACTTGATTATTTTGTTTCACTTCATTTAGTTTTCGTTGAATTCCAAGAGCATGCTTATCTCGATTGATGTTTTGTTGAATTGTAAATTTCTTTTCGGAGGCAACTGCAATATTACAAACTTTACAAAAAACCACCATACGGTCCGTAGAAAAAATATCGGCACCAAACTCGCTCACAAAACTACGTAAACGGCTTCCTGCTGTTGACTTAATTTTTAGCATTTTTTTCAGTTAAGATCAGTAGAACCACATAGGTATAGGTACGTGTCGAATTCACTACTAAAGCTACTATTGTTGTATTGTATACCTAAATAGTTATGGGTTCATTCGATATTTAATCTTATCGGATAAATCGACAATTAATTATATTACTTTTTCAATAACAATGGACTGGAGTAGGTAATTGCCTATAGGTACTAAGGCGGGTAGAACACGATTGAGAACGGTCCTTATCGGCCGTACCTTTTTTAATAGCACGATTGAGAAAGTTCTTACCTGCTAACTTTTATGCAACGTTGCCACATTAATTAAAAATAAAAATAATAAAAAATACAATATACATAAGATATCAATCACTAGGTAATATACATAGGTATATATAACGGCAATAGTTTGAGCGTAAAAGCCTAGCTATGATAATTTATTATTAACAGTGTGCCAAATGTCTCTTGTTAATCGCATGAATTGTCGTACATTTTATAAACAAATTGTGAAAAATGCCCAAAAAAGCATTTTTTTTTTTTAAATACAAAAAAAATCAGTTTACACATTTTATACTTACAAAACAACGTTTCCAAACAACAAAAAAAGATGCCTTTGTATCAAAATCCCAGCCCTAAAAATTATTACTAAAAGTTAAGATAAATGGCAACGTCGCTAGAAATATCGTTCTCAATCGTGTGATTTTAAGGAACAAAATATTGTTTCTTTGATCTACCGACATCGTTCTCAATCGTGTTGCTAAAAAGATAAAATGTTCTATAAATCGTACAACACCGACTAAGGCTGCATACGAATTGCTTCCCAGAATACGAAATTAAAAATCGTGATATCCAAGTTGTTTCCACAATTTTCTCACGACATATACGAGTTGCGTCTCGGTTAATAATTGATTAATTGGATAATATTATACATAGTATGTTCCTTCCCATTATACAGATTGAGGACTGTCATTTGTACATAAATGATGTGGTTAAAAATTGTAATTGTACATTGTATAGAGTATATTATAATATTATATATTTTAAAATGTAATGTTGATTTCATAAAGTCCTACATTTTTGTTTGCCGATTTTAGAACAAAGTCAAGACGTTGTTTATAAACTGAGTCATAGTTTTTTTTAATAGATTTTGAAATATAATGCTGACTTTAAAAATTGTAATTGTATAGTGTAATTAATTTAAAAAAATTAATTTCCAACTGTATTTACAGATAAAATATCCATGACCGAAGTTATCTACGAGTTTATCACCAAACATTATACTTAGTCGCTGAAAAACCCATGGACACAATTCGTACATGTCACGAGAAAACTGCGGACGCAACTCGGATGTGTTGGGACAAAACCGCGGACGCAACTCGGATAAAATATAATTTAGGGACGCAATTCGAATGCGCCGAAGAAAACAACATTTGACTAATTTATTTTAATATAGTAACGACGTTGACCAGAGTACAAACTATCAGACACAAGTACACAACCGTTGCATCGTTCTATGGTTGTACTTATGAAAATCGGAAGACGATAATATAATAATCGGCGCATTCGAATTGCGTCCCTAAATTATTATCATTAACCTTGCAATGAGATAAATTGTAGTTATTGTCTTATTGACAATATTGAACACTTTGGAAATGTACCTATTTTGCCTATACAATTCGCCGTGCAACATATTTTGTTTGTGCGAGATTTTAAACAATTTTATTATTTATTACTAGCTAGCTGTTGCCTGTTACTCGGTGTTTCTGGTGGATAATTGGATAAATGAAACCAGGATGAGCAATCCCCCTCCAGCGGACCAATGATCAAAAGTAAAAAATTCTCGATAGTGTAAAAACAAAAAAAGAGATTTTTAGATAAAACCACTTTTCGAGAAAAATCGATTTTGTTTTTAAGTGTAACTTTAAAAAAATAACAGTAGATACCAGCGATTATCACTGAATATTAATATTAGCAATTTCTATGTACCATAAAATAATATGTTTTTTCAGCTGTTTATCAGCATGAGTAAATTCCGAGTTTAAAAATTTTTTCGGTCACCTCAATAGGTATAGATATTTGTATTAATGTATTCTGTGCTTTTACTCAAGGTCACCGCTCATTTTTCGTGTCGATTATAAATTGATATTTAATTTTAGAAACTTTATGAAAAATACAACAGACAAATAAATAATCAATATAAGACTAATACGTCTTCAAAATTTAAAAAATTTATGTTGCAAAAAATATTTGAAGAGTATATTTTAAATGCATGTGTATTGATTAAACTCTGTATTTAGTGACAATACTTGGCTTCTTTTTGCACAATGAATGCATAATTATGTACGACAATACATAATGTAAATTTGATAAAATTAATAAAATATATATTATACAGTGAAAAAATGGTCTTACATCAAGCATAATTGTATTATCTTTACCATTATGAACCTAAATAACAGTTAATTATGATACATATTTAGTATTTACATCATTTATATGGATAAACAGTAGAGTAAAATGTAAGTAATATAATACTTTTAACTTTTAGATGATAAAATAAGTTCTAGGTATGCAATTATAAACAATATGATTTTATTTTTATTTTTGCTATATAATACAATATAACATTGTTACCAAAAATATTTCGTTTAACGTTTGCAATTTACCCAATAGCTGCTGATATTACAACAGTTTTAATGATAAAATAACACAACTTTTTAAATTTGCAAATAATATTTAATTCATTTAAAAAAAAGCATGTATTATAATATGTTATATTGAACATTTTAATTATTTACTTAGTAATTACAATACAGATTTGTTATTTATTGCTGATTATTCTTCGGTGTACAACTATTAAACAGAGCTTCTTTAATTGTTTGAGACATCAATCCACATAATATTTCAATTGTAGCTTTATTACTATCTTTTGTAGCTTTTACCAATTTATTTTCTGTTTTAGTACGATCAACAGGCTCAAAAAATGTACGACTCAGGGAGGTGTCGGCTTGTTCTAGCTTATCGGAAAGATCATTTATTTGACCTGTTAGGTAATCAGCATTTGTTATTAAACTGGATGAGCTTAAAGTGTTCACCCAATATTTGTTCCATAATGAATCCAATAAACGTCGATCAAGGGAAGATTTGAAATAGTTTACTTCTAATGAATAGTATTGTTTACAGTGTACTCCAAAGTCTTCAATTTTATTTAATGGAATAGTTTGATACTCAGAAGGTTCTTCATTTGCAGGCTTATAGCCCTATAAAGTGTAATAGTTTTAAATAGTAATAATTTTAATATATTTGAATACTATTATAATTAAAATTGACATAAAAAGATTAAATATTAAAAAAGTACTTAAACTTGCCTTAGGATAAGTACGGAATGCCCCCAAGCAAACTTTACCAGCAGAAATTGTTCTAACTGGATCAATGACAATTGCTACAAACGGTTCTTGAAAATTTTGATTTAACATTTGTGTTGAAACATCGATACCAGATAACCAGCATCCATAACCCGGGTGACTATGATACCAACCAATCGCATTTTCTTGACGTCCCACCTAGAAAATTTTTTAATTATAATATAAGATAAATTCTATTACTTATGAACAACTGTTTATTACTGAATAATACATCAAAGAATATTTTTTTCAAATTATATTAATAAAATGCAAAAAATTCACATATTCTAAAAGTTAGAACACATCAAAAATATATTCAAAATTGCATTCTTAATTAATGAGCAAAGTTCATAACTTTATGAGTATAAAAGCAGTACTTAACACGACAATCTTACTGGAAAAGCAATACTAGGGGCCAACATTTGTATGTATTTTAAATTTTTATTGGTGGATCAAAAAAATAGCTAGTTTAAACAAAATTTGTTGTATAATCTAACAATTCTGTAAACAACATTTTATTTTGCATAATTTTGAAATTTTGTACTTTTTTAGAGCACATTTAGGATTTTGTTTTTAAGGTGTTTTCAACTCAACAAATTGAGAAACAAAAATAATTGCTAAAAGTTTTTGAATATTAGCATTCGGTAAGCTGTAACATAGTGTATGTGAACCAAACATTTTTCTTTCATTTTCAGAAGAAAAGACATTTCAATTCTGATATTCCACACCTTCTTTTATTTATCAATGATTTAAAATAATACATTAGAATATATTGCTTTTTTTTTCGCAAATTCACATTCTTGAATTCTAACCTTTAAAGAATAGGAATAACTTATATATTTCATCTTTTGAAAAATACATGCAAATTTTGAATCATTCAACCACAGTCTAAGATACATTTTATGGCATTCATTATAGAAAAATATATATATTACAAATTGTGATCAAAATAAGATGATAGTTTAGAAAGGGTTAATATGAACTGTAAAAATACTATGTAATTTCATTTGAAATATTTTACGTGATACTAAATAATATAGTAATGTGACATAACAATGAAAATAAATTATCATTTATAACAAAATATAGTCTTTAATTATTTCAGTAAGACTTAAATATGTTCCAAAACATGCATTTAAATTTATTTAATAATTCATTTGTATTAAACAATTCATACAATTTAATACAAGCAAACTATGTTTTAGTTAAGATTTTTGAAACTTGGTGACTTAAGTCGAAAAGTTGTTCACCGATGAGTGACAATACCAAGTATTTTAACAAACATCTCTGACTGATATGACAAAATATTATACTCAATATAAACTTACTACTTTAGCAGATTCTATGTATGCCGTCATGTATTCATATGCTTGTGCTTGGGCATTGACTCTTGTTTCTGTTCCTTCAACAGGTAAAGCAAAAGAATCCATGACAATCATAGTATTACCTTCTACTTTGCCAAGTAATAGACCCATTATTTCCAAAATACCACCAGATCGAGCATGCATCACCATTTTTAATAGTGCTAATGCAGATATTTTAATATCTTTAAAATAATGAGGACTGAAAAATGTAACAATATTTATATCAATACAAAATATAACACTAACTTTATAATATATTTGGTATAAGGGATGGTTATGAGAGCTGAAGCTTTTGACTTCAAAAATACTGCAGACATTTAGCCAGGTGTGAAATTGATAAAGACAAATTGGAAAATGTCATATCTAATTCTCAAAATTATTTGAATATATTTATAAATAAATATTATTGTGTACATTTATGTCAAAAACATGATTGATTCAAAATAATAACTAATAATTATAATAAATGTACAGAGATTCACCAAGCATGCTCACTATCTATTTTTTCTATGCAGCTATTCAAATTCTGACTTATTGAATTTTTAAACATACTTAAATACAATATTTTCAAAATATCAGAATACTCCTTTTCTACAATAAACTATTTAGAGGATAATTTGTTTGAAAATGTTGAAGTATCAAAACCAAATGATGACCAAAATATGAACAAATACTAAGTTTTTGACTTATTTAACTTTGTGAACTAAGGATAAAAGGTCCATGATAATGGTTTTGAAAGATATGGGAGATATAGGGGAAATAAAAATTAAATTGATTTAATGATATTTATTATTTGAAAAAAAGATCCAAATATAGTAAATAATAAATTCAAAATAACCTATATTTTATATGCATCGTAAAACTAGTTTCTTCTTTGTTTGAATTTTGAATTAGATACATCAACATTTTCAAAACAAATTATCCACTAAAAACAATTAACAGTAAAAAAGAGGATTAGCATTTGAGCATTGGAAAAACAGAAGTTTGTTTTACACAGTATTTTAAAACAAAAAATCTCAATTTTTAAAATATGTTCTTGATAAGTATATTTAAAAATGTTATACATCAGAATTTGAATAAATGTATTATTAAAGGAAAAAATTAGGTGAGCATGCTAGGTGAATCATACATTATATGTCAGAATATTATAAATTAATTATTATAGTTTATAAAAAATAAAATATGAACATACTCTTTCTCCCAAGGTTTGGCAGTCAAAATATCTTGTTGTTGTTGTTTGTCATATTTGAATATATCGTCGACTGTATTAACGGTTTGCACACTGTTTTCCAATTCCCATGTCTTTTTGGCAATGATTTCTTGGGAATCTCTTGATGTAGACGCCATACTACAGAACTACCTAAGCATGAGGATTAATTAAATCATACATTTTGCACATATTAAAAGATAAGATCATAACAAAGTTTTTACTTTTAAGATATCTGAATACCTAAAAATATCTAAAAATGTAGCAAATTGATTCAATTAGGTACTTTCACAGATATATAAAAATACTATTTTTATATATCTGTGGGTACTTTCTAAAAAGATGAATCTCTCCAGCCGGAAAATATTGATATCTTCTAAGTAATAACCAGCAAATTTTGTAAATAATGTTTTCGACTTTTCGTATACTCTCACCATCCAGCTCTTAACTCAAAGTTCAAACAAACTATCTTGAATCTAAAACTACTGAGTACTGCTGTTTTCTTTCTTCTTTGTTTAATATGATGATGAGTGGACTATCGGAGTACCTACTACGGTACAAGCTTACTAGTGTCACTACTTAGTTGATAAAGAACTCAAAATATCAACTATCACGACATAAGGTATAATAACAACATGAAGTTAATAGTTTAAAAATGTATTTATTCTGTGCTACCAATAACCATTTGTCATGCTCATAACACTGAAAAGGTTAAATTACAATGAAAATTAGGAAAGTGATAAGGCAAATGGAAATACATGGCCGGGCTCTCCAGTGGTCGACCATATTGAAAGAGCACATCAGTGTTGACCCAAAATGTAATATGAAATATTTTCATTGGAATAAAACACGATGGGGACACTATCAACCATGGACCGAATAGTTTCTTCCATGCTATCATCCATGCGGTGGCATGGAATCCAATAGAATCATGAGAAATATCATAATATTATTATGTTAAGCCGCTCGGCGCTCGGGAATCTACATTCAACTGTTACATATTTTGATAATGAAATATGGCGGTTTTTTCAGTGATGAAACTGTAAACAGTAGTATTCGATAATACATCAAGAATTAGACCAGAAGTACGTTTTTCAAAACAATTTTTTTGTTTTAATCAGATTAAAATCACACACAATGGCTCACAAAGAATTTTTTATTTATACTGATCGAAATAAATTGCTTACACCATCTACTATAGAGTATAGAGTTGAAAAGTTATTCAAACCCAAAGAATTGAAACCATATATAAAAGGTGAGCTACTTCACAGTAATACTTGGAATGTTAACGTATTTATTTAATTTTTTCAGCATGCTACGAAGAATTGAAATCAGAAGGTGCACACTCTGTATTTAAAAATTTTGATAAAATTTTTTCAATGATAGAGTTTATTGACCAGACTGACTACAAAGACTTACATTACGTTTATGAAAACATTCTCGTTAAGAGTAAGTTACACAGTACTTAATAGTATGTGTATTGATTTGATATTATTGTTTTATTTTGTGGAAACATTTTCCAAGCAAGTACCTATTACCTAGTTATTGTGATTATGTACATTTTTTTATCAAATATCACTTTTCAGATTTACTCTATTATAGAACATGTCATATAAATTATTATTTTATCAATATGATATTTATTGTGTTTTATGAATACTTATCATAATTGCTTAGTACATAGGTACTCTTAGGTATCTGGTTAATAGTTTGTTTGATAAAATTTGAATTATTATATTTAGGTAGTTATCATTATTTAAATTTTATTTGGTGGTCTTTAATGCTTTAAAAGTTATGAAATTTAAAATTGATCTATTTTAACACATTGTACCTTTAATAATTTTGGGGAAAAGCTTATATTTATCAGTGTTCCTAGGCGCGTAGCCAAGATTATTAAAAATATAAGTAATCTATAGAAGTTCCAGATAGACATTTTACAACTTTTATTTACTAGATTTAAATGTTTATTGTGTAAATCTGTAAATTGAATAATGACCGACAAAATAATATTAAATCCCACAGTGGTTATTATTAGTAAACCATTTGATGTCATATCGTTTTGATTATTAGTTTTTATAAAACCTATATTGTGTGATAAATATGAATTGTACTTACCTAAAGTAATCTTACATTTATCAGAAGACATTAAAATTATAAATGTGATTTATTTATTATTATGGGAGATAACCAATCTGGGTGGTATACATATAAATTTTAAATCAGCCATTGTTGGCCTATTAACTATACTCTGTTCAGCTAGAGAACTCGCCGGTTTTACACATCCCTCCGTGTCATCTCGCTCTTAAAAACGATTCATCTATGGTAGAGTGTCGAGTGAGGGAACCAGATTTGTCTTGCCAGACAGAGTATAGTAACTCAATTGCCACTAAGACAACCATTTTGCATACCTATTTTATAAGCAATCATATCAATGAATCTTTTCTGGATTTTGTAATTTTTGTTCATTAATCTCCCATCAATTATTCTATGAAGTCTATTCAAGCTACATAGATATAACATGGTTACTTTTATTTTATAACATCAAAATATACTTTTATAGATTAAACAAACAATATGTTATAAAATTGAAACATTGCTTAATTTTTAGACGTATAGCCATACAAATCTTCCTGTTTAAGAGTTTTTTGTTCGAAAGTATACATTAAAGAAAGATATTACATCCTGCTTTTTTAAAGCATATGATAAATTAAGATTCGTATTTACTTATATTTGAAATAAAAAATAATAATTTTTGTTTTAAATGCTATGACTTATTATTAAAAAAAAACATTTTATATTTTAGGTTTAAATATTATTGCATCATTTTTCTCAAGTTATGGTGAGATTGCAGATATATCACTAGAACTACGGCATCAATTTACAAATATCATAAAAATGAACGTTTATCTCTTTGTTGAGTTTGTTCATAGTTTTAACGCAAAATTCGAAACTGATTATAAACTTTTACTTCTTGAAACAAAAGTATTTTATTTTAACTAAATAATCTATACTTTATAAATTAATACTTTTATATAGCTTTTTTTTTTGTAATCGCTTTGCTATAATTATTTTTAAATAAAATGCAAATTTAAATTTAAAAAAAATATATATATATATATATATATATAGCTTTTAACTACATTGAATATTTATAGGGTCGAAATAAAAAGCAGGACATGATTCAAAAGCATACTGCTGATTATGATTGGAATTGGGAAGATAAATTGACTATTGGGTTAAATGCAATTAACAGTATTATTTCAAATAATATTACTCAATTATATGATCCTCCGTATATTGATCATACTTTTGTATCGTAAGGATAATACAATATTATAATTCTTCTCTGATTTAATAATTTTTTTTTCGTATTTTTAGGTATGTTGCTTCTTGTTGTTATACTCAGTTGGAAAATCCTAGTATTGCTTTTGTACGAACCAAATCACTTCGAGATAGTGTTATGCAAATTCTAGAAATACTTATTATTGACTATGATCATGCACATGATTTTAAAACCCAAGTAGTTCAAGTAAGTTTATTGATGTTAGAATCTTGAATGATTTTTGAATTGGTTTGCTTATTATCAATATGTGCATGGTATTATAAAATGAGTATCTATATTATAATTTTAAATTTTAACATAACTATCTAATGTGACAAAAATCCATAGTTTAATTAACTCAAACTATGGTAACACAACAAAACTAAATTCTCACATCCCATTAATGTGTTTTTATAAATCTTGACTAATTATAATAGTTTGTCTAATTTTTAAAAATAAAACTGAAATGTGTAATTTATTGTCAACAAATAATGTCCAGTATTAATAATATATTTAAACGTTTTTTAACCCTTCGTCAGTAAATACAATTTATGTTTACTTAGATGCTGAAATTATATGAACATTTGGCATTGCCTTTGGCTAAAACTGTTTTACAAGTAATTGAGTCTGGAAATAACCGATCTTCATTAATCGAACTAATTGTTAAAGAAATCGCAGAAACAGGAGGAGTGGAAGGTATCAAAGAAATAAATAATCAGGAAATAACTGGTGGTAAATCTTGCTGTGCTTTTCTTGTGGAAATTGCCAAGCATAGCCCTCAATTGTTATTGCCAAATATTGACCATTTGTTGCCATGCTTGGAATCTGATGTAAGTAATATATGTTGTTTATGATTTAGATAATATTTATTAATTATCAGGTCTACCTTTTTTTTTAATGATTATTTACATTCATATTTTAGCCATATACTATGAGAATTTGTGTCTTAAGTGTTCTGAAAGAATTAATTGTTCAAGTCTTAAATAATGATGAATTGGATGAACTTCAGAAGAAAACGAGAGACAGTTATTTAACTATTATGCAAGATCATCTAATAGATGTAAATGCATTTGTTCGATCTAAAGTAAGTACATCAAATATAAGTTATTTTAATTTATTCATTACTGAATTTAAATATGTTTAGGTATTACAATTGTTTACGGCCATAATAAATGAAGACTGTTTACCAAAACAGATGTATAGTTTAATATTAAATTGTGCTGAAGAAAAACTACGTGACAAAAGTTCATATGTTACAAAAAGTGCTATTCAATTAATCAAAACATTAATCAAATTAAACCCATATAGTTGTGATGTAAAAAATTATAGTAAATATTTTAATTAATTAATTTTTTAATAAGTTAATAATAGTTTACAGAAGAAAAACTACATGATAAATTAAAAGAAGAAAACTGCAGTTTAAAATGTATGAAAAGAGTGCTTAAAGTTAAAGTAGATTGTGAAATCAACAAAGAAGATATGTGGCCTTCAATTGAAGCACCTTTAAAATTGTTTTTAGAAGAAACTTTTGAAGGTAAGTTAATTTAGTTAATTTTGTTGGTGCATGTTGACTGACGGTAACAGCAGTGCTGAACTTCATTTTACCCGCATATAATGAGTCCAAAGCTAACCTTGCCTGACAGTCTTGTTCAAACTCACCCAGCCTGGTTAGGTTAGATTGGTTTGAGGAAGCAATACTTAGCTTAGTTAATGAAGTTCTGAATTGATGTCGGTTCAAAAAAAAAAATAAGTAGGTTAAATGCACAAATGAAACCAGATATTGTTGAAAATAGTATAGTTTAGTTACTTGTTTGGTTAATATTTTTATTTTTTCACTAATAGAGGTTTTGCTATACCCGGGTTGGAAGGGGGGCTGTGTCTTTCCAATTTTCATAGACAGTTGCCAACTCAGGGATGCCATCTGTACCTGTGTTCAAACTGGTGATGGTGTGCATTGAAATTGTGCCGCCTCAGTATACTCAATCCCTCTGTCCCCTATATATAGATTTAATATTCAGGTAGTACGATTCTTAGGAAATGAAATCTGAAACTTGATTTTTATGAAAAATAAATCAGAAAAGCATTCTCTTTCATTTCCTGTAATATAGGTTTCAGTTTCAACTCACTTGAATCATTTTTCAAATAGTCTTGTAACTAAGTAATATTAATAAAATGATGGAGGATAGAGTAATATTATACAAATTAATTTAAACCTAGTTTTAAGTGTTATACTATATTTAATTTTAATAAATTATAATATACTAACAACAAGCTTTTTTATCAGTCTTAAAGGAATACTTTTGAACATTAACCTTCTTTTTCATTGTTAGGTGGTGATTTCTAATTAAATTAAACATTTTAAAGAAATTAGGTACTATCATGTTTAAGTGTTATATTTTTCTGATTTGTATTTAAATAAAATTTAATATGGTTTTAGATTCAAACTTTGACATTTTTGATGAAGTCAATATATTAAAGGATATGGAGTTATCTGATGTTTTGATGAAGATAAAAAGTTATATTACTTCCAACAAATTTAAGTTGGCTTTAAAATATGTATTATGCGGAAGAGAGACATTCAAAGATGAATCACTATTTCAGTATGTAACATGCAGTATATGATAATATAGTACTATATTTTTGGTTTTTACATATATTATATTGATTTGAATTTCTTTTAAATTTCTTTTAATACCTTTTAAAGATCCAAAATGTTTTGACTTTTTTTTACCCACACATTTTTAAATATTTCGAAGAAATAAATTAAAATATTTGTCATTATGCATTACCATGAAAATAACACTCATAATTGTATTAATTTTTAATATTGTTCTGAAAATATTTAATTTCAGACTGGGAGATGAAAATAACTTGTCAGAACAATATTTTTTAATGTTAAAAAATATTTGGTACTGTGAAAATATAATGCTTTCAATGGAGTCAACTAACATAGACAATTTGAAACAGATGAATACAGAAGAAATACATTTTCTTATTTTCTCAACAGAATCTAAAATTGCATACCTTCAGGTATCTAATATAATTATTTATAATTTATATATTTTTCAAGAAAATAATGGGCAATTCAGCCCTACTGAAAAGTTTGTGTTCGGTCCCATGAATGACAGAAAAAAGTGAACAAGTAGATACTGTTAGTCTACACTACTATGTATATTGTATATTATTGATACTAAGTAATTTATTTTATTAGTAGTATCAGGTAGGTTGAATTAATTTTTGCCAAAAATTTTACACTTAAAGAGGCCTTTTGTGTAAAACATATACTTTAAATGTTTCAAGTTCCCATGAATAATATTTTTAAATTACCATAAAATAACTAAAATTGTTGGTCTGTTTAAATACCTAATTTCTTACAAATTTAAAATTAAAATATCTATAAACAAAACTGTGTTAATTATTTTTTTAGATTTTGTAGTTAAAGTTTTAAATACTTATTACTCATGAGAAACGTTGTTTAAATTTTCAATCCTTAGCTATACAAATTGAAATTTTATACATTTTTACTTCACAATTTTTTTTTAAATCCCATCCTTAATTGATTATAAAATGAAAAATCTTGCCTATGGATCTTAAATATTTTTTTACTCACCTTGTATTCAATTTCCAAGTTTTTTGATTTAGTGAACAATTTATTATTAATCAACAATAATTGAAAAATAATCATTAAACAACAATTTATTATAGCTATAAATAGTTTTAAAAGAGTTAAAATATTTTGGAATTTGCTAATATAAACACTTGGTAAAAATTACAAGTATCCACGGTCATTCTTTTTTGAGTTACACACTAAAAAAACTGAATTAATTTTGTGATCATTCACTCTACTTCAACGTTGATGTATTTTGTGTCTTGTTTTTTTTTTCTTCAAATAATAGAAACTGAATCAAGCGCTTATGAAATGGGGAATAATTAAGAATTATCTAGATAATTGTTTCTAATATATTATTTTACCTAAATTATAAAAAACTGTCTACTAAATAATAATTCAATTTTAGAATTGTGCTGACTATTTACATACTATTAAAAAAGCATTAAATACCATAAGTCTATTGATGTTTGGAGATACTGCATCAGAGTCATTAGAAGCTATTGACTTTTTTACAACTGCTCATAAATTTGGTGTACCTCACTCTCAGTCTGGTATTGATGCTATGCTAACATTGATATTTTCATCTGATTCTAATATTAAAGAAGCTATGATGAATTCTTATAAAACGATATATTTGAATATTGAAGAAAACAAGGACTCATCCACTACACGGCCAGTAACCGTAATAAAAAACATAATATCGTTTTTATTTTTGCAACAATAATGTACTATAATTATTTATTTTTTAGGTTATAACCAGACTTGTAAGTTTAATAAAAACTTTAACTGTAACTAAGAGAAGAGCATTTAAAGCATTATTAAATGAATGGATAAAAAATAAAACATTAGATGATGAATGTATTCTGGTGTTATGGGCATGGTTGACTAAACCTAAAGATATCTCTGAAGAAGATCGTAGAGCTGCTGCTCTTATTTTGTCATTGCTTGCCGGGTATTATTAATATAATTTAATTACATTTGTACATCGTAATTAGTGATCCAGTGTATCATCATTTTTATAACTAGTATATTTATGAAAGGGTGTCAAACAGATTAATATTGAATAGTTGATTAAAAGAATGTGGTATCTTGTTGGCTATAACCTTATATTCAATTAATTAAAAGATATTTGGTATATTTACATAATAGTACTAGTTGGAGCTAGAAAATCGTTGTGTTACTCATAAACAATTTATTATTATATTTTTTTGGTGGCTACGACGACACAACCATAACAAAAAGGAAATTCAAGTGTGACCCTCCCAATAGCAAATTAGATGGCTGTAAATGAGTTTGAATGGGTTGCAAAATATAGCAAAGAACACTCCCCAACACTCAATGATTTGTGCAAAAGTGGTGTTAATTTGTTCAGTAGTTTCTAAGTCTATAAGCCCTGTACAAATGTATTATTGGAATTATAATTGACCTGTCCGAAGTCAATATCCATTATAATACTTGTAAACTTAAATAAATCAAGGGTACATTTTGGCTATCAAGACTACCAAACTGCAGTGTATATACACAGTGGGGTCACTCGCTTGGACGATTTTAATCGAAAACATCCCTCAATTTTATTTTAATTTCCATTAACAACAGCTTACAAGGAACCGTGTATTACATTTTCAAGTTTTTTGATGGAGCAAAATTTTTTTTATCAACTTGGCTTAAAAAAAAACAAATAATAATCGGAAAATTTAATTTTCCTATAAATAATTCAACACAAATTGTATGGTGTATAGAAAATGCATACACAAATATTCAGTGAAAATTTCATATGATCTACGGTCATTTTTATTAGAGTTACATTAAAAACCAAAATCAATTTTTTCAAAAAATGGTTTTGAGTAAAAATTCTTGTTTTTCCTGTAGCTTTTGAAAACGATTAGGAGTTTAAAATGTTGACCTCCTGAATGCACCAACTAGATTCACTTTCCCACCCGAAAAGTTGCTGTTGAAGAAAATTGAAGCACATTTACTGCCTGAAATCATAATGACAGGCACTAAAAAAGAAAAAAAAGTATAAAAACGACACATATCATTGTAAAATCAATACATTCATCTCTCTGCTCAGAATCTAAAATATTTAGTTATTTTTGAAAAATAAAATTTAAGAAGGTGTTTTAATATTTGATATTACTATTAAGATATAACAAAGTTATCAGTGAAGAACAAATGTAACCAAAAATTAATCATATTTTTTAGTACTATTTATTTATTATGATTATGAATTAGTTTAATATTTTCTTTAATTATTCCAGATTTTGCCATCCTAAAATTAGCAATTGTTGTAATGATTATTTAAAATCATGATTGTTATTCATTTTTATTAAATATTAAAGTCTAAATGTTTAATTTAATTATTTTCAAACTATTTATATTTTTAATATTATTATTGCATTGTACATTTTAAAATACTTTTTTATGTTTTATTTCAGGGCACAACCTTCTATTGCAATGGGAAACATAGAAAGTATTCTCCATCATGGATTATGTGACGACTTTGAATTATTTATTTATTCTTGTCAAATATTGGAACCAATTGCTCACGAACATTTTACAAGGTAGTTAACTTTATAATTTTATTTTAATAAATATATTACATTTTGAATATATGTCTAGATTTCATGAAAATCACGAACTAGTTAAAAAAATATTTAATTTAATACAAAAAGGTTTTAATGAATGTGATGTTCAATCATTCAATGATATTGCTACATATGCTATTAACATAATTTATAAAGTAAGTTATGCATATTATGTATAAGAAATAAAAACAGAATGCTGTAATTGTGTTTATGTTTTAGTTGACAACTGAACCAGATGGTACTTGTCAGATATTGATGGTAAAATTGTATAAATCTATGTTGAATAACAAAAATGGTAAATAATAATGTATAATTTAAAATACTAACTTGTTCTTTTTACACATTTAAGAAAAAAACATTTTTGCCATTTACCCCTATTATTTATCACTAAAAAATTTAAAAAAATACTATTACTTAATTATATCAATAAATTATATTTTAGGTTCCTCTCAGCAGAATAATGTCCTTGTTCAATTTGATATTGATATGTTTGCCAAATATATTTTTGTCATTGGTCACGTAGCGTTACAGTAAAATTATTATTTTCTTATTATTTATATATGATATTTAAACTATATTAGTTATTTAAACATAAATTATTTTTTATTAGGCAGTATGAACATTTAGAAAATTATGTTTCAAAGGAGTTAATACAAAAAGTGAGAACTAAATACCAAACTAAAAAATTAAAAATGAACCAAGCTAAGGAAGATGAAGTATAAAACAAATAATTGTATTTTTACTTTTGCTCTACATACATTTTTTTTTTATAGAATGTACATGATTCTGAAGCTGCTGAAGTAGAGGCTTTAAGTGATCGGATCCGAAAAATTTGTGATAAACAACTTTTAAAGGGAAAGGGAGTTATTACTCATTTAACGTAAGAATTTAAAATGTTTATTATATTTAATTTATATTTTTAATTTTTAATTTTTCTCCAGAAAACATGTATTAAACGCATGTAATTCAAATAATTCAGTTTTGAGGGCAAATGGTATTATTACTTTTATGAAGTTTATGTTGATATCTACTTCATTTTGTCAAAATTATATACCGGTTTGTTTTTTTTTTTTTTAAATAAAGTATAGGTATAAACATAACATTAAATATATGTATAATTTTACCATAGATGTTTCTAAAACTAATTGAAAATGGTGATAACTTTGTAACAGTTGTCGATCTCGTATCTGGGTTTGGCTGGTTGGTTTACCGGCATCCAAATGTGTTAGAACCTTGTACTGATAAACTCTATGCAAGGTAAAATTAAATAATAAAACTTATGAAAATAACCAAATTTAATTATAAATATTTAAAAATTATTTTAATTTTCAACATGTTTAAGGTTACATGACAAATGTAATGAAGTTCGCTATAGTACTTTAGTCACTATAGTAGACCTTATACGTCAAGAAATGATTAAAGTCAGAAGACAAGTTGCTGGTATTGCCAAACTGCTTGTCGATAAAGACGTAAAAATTAATTGTATGTTTCTAAAATACTTAGATGTTTGACTATTATTTAAACTAATTATACTGATTACTTACACTTTACAGACCATGCAAAACAATTTTTCGGAGCTATTGCAGAAAAAGGAAACACTCTTTACAATGTCTTATCTGATATTATTTCAACCTTGTCAAACCCTGATGATTTGGTGCCAGAATCTGATTTTCAGTCAATCATGAAGTAAATATATTTATATAATATTATATACATATCCTTGAAACATATGGGTGTGTATATACACAAATCTACTAGTATTATGTTTTTATTTTTTTAGATTTTTACTTCCACTTATTAACAAAGAACGCCAAATTGAATCTTTAGTTGACAAATTATGTATAAGACTAAAAGAATCAAATAATCAAATTCAAGAATATTATATATCTTATTGCTTGACGCTTATTAAGTTTACAGACAAAAGCCTAACTAAGCTTTCAGACAATATATCTCATTATACTGACAAACTTAGGAACCCTAAAGTTTACAATAATTTTAATATACTTATAAGTTTAAATTCTAAAATGGCCAAACCAGCCACTAAAGAAATACTAAATGAATTGACTTGTAAGATTGAAAAAATTGTAAAAGATGAAGACTTTGCTGTTCTACTTTCACAAAAAACTCCTGGAAAACGTAAATATTACTTATATCTAAAATTATAAGCTTTAAACAGTTGTTTATTTACTATGTTTACATAAAGGTTTAAATACAGTAAAAAAGAAAGCACCTATAAGTGTTACCAATGGATCCTCAGAAGATGAAGTTGAGCCGTTACAGTTGGTAACAAAACGAAGTGCTAGATGTCGTAGCAAAGTTAAAAGGAGGCTTTTGGAAAACAATACCGAAGAAGAAGAAAACGATGAAGAAATTGCCCGTACGAGTGGTGTGAGTAATGTTCAAAAGATTCTTCGTATTAAGGTCAATGAAGATAGTGAATCTGACGATGAGAAAATTAATGTAATTAAACGAACTAAAAGACAGAACAAGTTTGGTAGTTTGAATAAAAAAAATCCACGGTATAAATCCTAAACGATGACAACAATGCATCATATTTATTATCTTTCATTCATGGGATTTGTTAGTGTTCAAATATATGTTAAATGAATTAATATTAATAATATGTTGACGGTTATTTGCATGTTCTTGTTGTACTTTATAGGTTAATAATTATATTAATATGACTATTTGCTGTTTTTTTTTTTTTACATATATTTTTATAGTTCATACAGATTTTTAATTTTTATAATGTATTCATCATGTGTACACCATATATACCTATATATAGGGATTTTAATAAACAAATTTAAAAAAAAAAATATTTTACGCATGATTTATTAGGTACCTATTAAAATATTAAATAATGTCCTGCATCTTAACATAGACTAGGGGTCATAACTTATGTTTACTTGAGTACATGGAACATACAAATTAATATATTACAATGATCGTTATGTTTCGCAATTAAAAACAATGTACAATATATCAATATATAAAATACAGTAAATCACCGCTTATTGGACTCACTTCGGGACCCGATTATACTAGTCCATTGACCAAATAAGTCAATTAGCGGCGACTATTGTGTACAAGTACATTATAAATATAGGTAACATACCTAGGTGTTACTGTTTTATAATAATTAGGTACTTACAAGTTACAACCTACCTTATCAAAATTACAATCGTCTATAATAATGAAGCCCTTTTAGGTGTTTGTGTATTGGTAATTTTGAAACGCAAATGTTTTATGTTATACACCACTGCAGGTGACTGGTATGTTAGGGATAATAATTTAAATATATGTCTTTTTTAACAAGACTAACAGCATAAAAAAAAAGGTGAGAAGGTGGCCAGTGGATCACTGTAATGGATGTGTTAAATTTGAATTCAATGATAAATCTTTGTAAACCGAAAACGATTCTGATTAAAGACCATCTGTTAGCCTATATTACCAAGTAGGAATATTTTATAATATTAATTATTAGTACAATAAAAGTGATTAATTCTACCACAAGTAATACAGTACCTAACTTTTACCAAAAACATTGCATTTGAAAATAACATTGTATATAAAATATAATATAGATACTTTAGAAGTTTCCAGTACATGAGTAATATTTTTAAATTACAACAAAGAAATAAAATTGTTCTTCGTTTAAATATCTATTTTAATCAAAATTTGAACTTAAACCATTTAAAAAATTAACAGTGTTTATTTATTTTTAGATTTTTTGGTTTCAGTTTGAATCACTTATGAGAACTTGTATACATTTTCAGTACTTGGCTATAAAAATTGAACATTTTATACTACCAAATGATTTGCAAATGTTGTCAAAATTTAAACTTCAAAAACTTTTTAAAAATTACCCATGTATCTTAATCTTAAACATTTTTTAATTGCTAATAACAATTTATGAGGAATATTATATACCTAGTTATATTAAATTAGCTTTTTGATCTAGCAAATCAAATTGTATCAACATTTAAAAAAAAAAAAAAAATTAAAATTAAAAATATTTATGAATAGCTTAAAAAACTAAACTAAATATCTTATCATGTAGGTATAGACATCTTTGAATATGAACATTTCAAGTATCTACAGCTATTCAATTTAGTGTTGTTATAAAAGAACAAAACCAATTTTGTCTAAAACTGGTTTCATATTGAAATTCCCATTTTTCATTAATTTTTTAAGTTTTTCTTGACGCGTTTATAACTACTGTGAACGACTAACTTTTGGCCCCCTTATGTGTTAACTAGTTCAACTATTTTTTTTATAACAATTTGGTGTATATAAAGTAACACTTGACATTTCTATTTGCTCAAATATAATATGTATTCCATGTTAATTCTAAAATTCTAAATGTATATTTTTTATATATTGTGCTGGTTTTCACTTAAAAAAATAGTTCTTATTTAAATAATTTCACTTTTAAGTATATTTAATAATCTTGTGTTTTTTTTTTGGGGGGGGGGCTAAATTCAAAAAATTTTAATATTAATAGGTAGTATTTATTTTGAAATATGTACAGAAATCTTAAAGCTTGTTAATTAACAATTAAAAACGAATAAATAAATAAATAAGCTCGCGAAAAACCAACGATGTCGATTTGAACAGTTGAACGACAATTCTAGTTAATCTACTAAATAAGTAATAAAATGAAAGTGGAATTTGTCGCAAAGATACCTGCGGTTTGAGATAAACTAAATTGTATCGATAAAGATGTATAATCTAGATGTTTCCAGTATCCTACACAGTACACAGTTTCAACTAATAACATCGCGACAATAATAATAAACAACAGAGGTCTCTCCCAGGGCCCGGAATGACAGGTATAAATATAATATAATATTATGTTATACCTAATGTTTAAATTTCGATAGTTGATATTTTTTTTTATAATAATTTAAAGTCAAATGTCAATTGTCAATAAATCTAATAAAATATGTTTTGGGGCTAGCCATTTGGGGGGGGGGCTAAAGCCCGTTAGCCACCCCCTTGGTATACACTATTACCTAATGGAAATTCAAAACACATTCGTTTCAATAAAATAAATTTTATTATTTTTTCAAATGAACTATTATTGTACTTAAGAACATGGAAATAATATAGAATGGTACTTCTATGAATTTTGTTGTGTTAATTCTGTCATATTTGTAAGACAACAACCGACATTGTTAAAACTTTGAATATATATTTCTATTGGACCAAAAAATTATTTGCTGGTAGAAATAATTTATTTGAAACGTATTGGATGGAATAAAAAGAGAATATACTTCTTGTGATATCTGTTTATTTCAAATGATTATTACATTTTACTTTATTTTAACCAATCAAAATACATCACGGGTGGCATATAATCAATATATGTTTGAATTGATTATAGAAAATAAATTTCCTTGGAAAGAGTGAAGAATGAATGTTGAATTTTAATTAAATATTTTAGATCAATTGAACACTACCATGTTTTACAAATTCGGCAACTGAACAATAAGGCATCAAATGCTGAGAACCGTCTTCCAATACAATTTCTTCTTCCTGGCCTTCTAATGTGTTTTTTATAATAACACTGTCTATATGCTTGTTACATTTTAAAAAAACAAAACTATTTAAATTGGGTTCGATAATTTTTTTATTTCTATCCAAGTTGTTGTATAGATGAGGCATATGCCGGAGTATAGTGTCAAAATGATTGTCGGCATTCAGAGCAAATTCTTTGGCAAATTTCAACTCTCCAGGTGATAAATATGCATCCTCTTCAGAACGAGAGGCTTCTTCTTCAAGCACACTCACACAAAAACTTTCTATCTTCTTCAACCTAGTTCGCAAGTAGCTAGTTATCACAAATTTAATACGTTCTAGTTCGAGTTTGTGCAAGTCCACTTTGGGATCAGTTTTTGATAATTTGGCAAGGTTTCCTTCCATCCCCTTAATTTGTTCTAACAAACAATCAACATAGTCTGTCTGATGCGGCAGTATTTCTGGACTAAATTTTTCATTTAGCCAAGCCCTTTCAACATTTTGTAATACCTTCTGTGCAGTCATTTCTTCTTGATTATCATCATCTTCTTCGTCTATCAAACCACGGATATCAATGTCCATAATAGTTCTAAAATAAAAACGGATATAAATCACTAGGTGAAAAACACTTAATGTATATAAACAAATAATAACTAATAATAATATGCTGTTTAATAGTTTGTATATTTATTCTAGTAGATTGAAACAAAGAAAACAACATTTTTTTATCTTTATAATTATTAAAGTACATTGACAATATAAAAAGTGTAAACATAAATTATGTTTTATAATTATTAATAATTATGAAGCTTTGATACTATCAATAAGTGGACCTTTAAGTTTTTTCATTTTGTGTACACCGTCTGGATCTAATTTAAATATACTATCGATGACAGAAATTTCTGTTGACGTAGTATCTGTACCGCAAACAGCACACCAATCATTTACAACCATACCAGCTCCTACAACGTCTGAACCACGGTTTACTGTTCCAGCTACAAGAGGAACTTGAATCAGACCAGACAATTCATCGAGATCTTCCACTGTGGTTTTAGGATGTACTAATCCTCCTTGATTAGATATAGCGCAGTATGAACCTACTAAGCAGTTAGAAGCCACAGTTTGTCAGTACACTTCAACATTTAAAGTATCTGAAAGTATCTCTTCTGTATCCTTGTCCAAATCAGGATGAACTAGTGCTACGTAATCATTGCACACCATTACATTTCCAAGAGCGGATAGACGTTCTTCGACACGCTGTACCTTGACATTGTCAGGCAATGAATTGCGTATGTGTTGTAATTCAGTGTCTGTAGTAGAATTAGGTAATAGTAACCCATTTTTGTTGCCAACGGTCATACGGCCAACAATGCGGCATCCAGCAACAGATGCATGGATAACAGGTATGATATCAGATAATTCTGATTCAAATACACTGTAAAATGTTTCCGAAGCACCAATTCCAACCAAACAATAGGAATTTGTCAGCTTGCTGAATACTCCTATTTCGTTGTTGTTTTCAAACTGTGCTCGGACTGCCATTATTGTATTATAATATATTCCCAAATAATCCTGTATACAAAAATTGGCATGTATCACAAATAAGAACGAATATTATAAAATTGCTTAACATTTTTAATCCTACCACAAGGTTTAAAGAATTTTCTAATGTAAATGAGACAAGATCTTGATAAAATTACATTAATACATAATTGCTTAACATTTAGACTAATTCACATGAAAACATTACTCTGTATATATATATTATGACTTATAAATCTATAATGTATATTTTATACTACCTAATCAATAATAATTACAATTTACACATAAAAACTACTTTAATTTAACATAAAATTACAAAATATGGCATCTTAATAAAATTTAACAAATTCATTTATTACAAAAATTGTATTACAAATACATGGCAATTATAAATAATATTGATTGTTGTGATGAGATAATAATCTTGAAAAATATAATTATTCCTCAATAAATTGAATAAGTTGAATAACAAAATTAAAAACAAAAAATTAAGTCCACTAAATTATGACTAACGTACTATACATTTAAGTTAAGACTTTAGAACAGATTTTTTTTAAAAACTTAACATTTTAAGATGTTTACAATTTATCATTTAAGAAATTACAATAATTAGTTTTAGAATATTCGGAACAAATGCACTTTACTAACCCCCTCATCACTTGGTTTTTCATGTTGAAAACGATGGTGTAAAATTTGTTTACCGAAGACTATTATTTTAGAAGTCTAGCCGTTTCAAATTTGTGGTTATACCTATGACAGATAGTACGTTTTGCGCGCTCAACGCATACAGCGCTGCTGTAAACTGTGTTAATTTTGGGAGCTTGAAATTTAAACTTTGCGACCTAACCTATAGAGATAAAGTTTAGCGCAAGCACTTTCTCCTTACCGACTCCGGTCGCAGTGAGGGGGTTTGTAAAGTGTATTTGAGCCCAACTCCAGAGCCAACAGCACGGAGGCACACTTATTTCACAAGACATCAAGAAGATAAGTAGACAATATATATTATAATAAACCTGAATATACTTACGTTTTTACTCAGTATACTTCTTCCAGACGCAGAGAATACGATTAAGTTCGACTTGAAACCAAAGGATAACCCACGATGGCACGATGTAGATGATACGATGAAGTCACAGGTGTAGTCACTATAATTATGAACAATTTATGGTCACCACGAGATATCTTTGATCATGCTGTTGTCACTCGGTGTCGTAATTTGACGAAATTTAACGCGAACAATGTCCGCTAGGAGCGCTGAGAAGGCCGATATTTAAAAAAAAATACTGTGAAGCCATAGAACAATAGTGAAGCGGTGTGCACATTTAAACTTGGAAATGAATATAGTTTATTCCCCGGACAATATGTTGGGATTTTTTATTTGGAAAAGTTAGTATTTTTATGCTCAACGAGTTGGTCAAATCAAAATTTACCCGTTTTACTTACTTTTTTTTTTATTGTTAATAAACCACGTGAAAGAAGAATTGAAGAATATCCCATCTTTATAGTAACTATGGTGACAATAGTAAAGGGTATCCTGATGTTATCACGTCTAGATGAGACGATGACAGCGCTGTGGCCATGTGCTTGACTGGAGCATAGTGCAGTTCTATCGAATCTAAAAGAGAAAGTTTTAACTCTAATAATAACACGGCCTGTTGGTCTAGGGGTATGATTTTCGCTTCGGGTGCGAGAGGTCCCGGGTTCAAATCCCGGACAGGCCCGTAAAATTTTTGCAAATTTTCCATCCAATCCTATTGCCGCGATGGACACGTCTTTTCATCACTCTGAGAACCTTCCACCTAGTTAATGTTCAATTACATATTTTCACAATAATTTAAAAAGCCACGTGTCCGATAATTCCTTAGAGGTCGTCTCGCGACATTCGCGATTAATAAATTTGTATTGTTGAACACTAGTTATTACTTAGTTATTATTAGTTAATATTAAGCTCGAATATAATATAAAGCACCGCGGATTACTCTACTTTGAATTGACAACGACAATGATAACTTATTCAAATTTTTGAATTTTTTTGCACTACTTAAGCAGTGTCCTGTGGTGATGCAAGCTTCTGATGTTTTTCAAATGAGGACCCCCTTTTTTACTGTAATTTATTTAGTGTACAATTTTTTTGAAAATGTTGATGTAGGTACCTGATTCAAAATATTCAAATGATAAGTTTCTTAGTTATTATCATAGTTGTAATAAGGATAACAATATACGATACTGTTGAAGTCTCCATCCGATGGTTGAGACGCTCCCACCTGCAGTCAGTGTATAATATACATATACAGTGAAGCCTCTAAATACCGGACACTCTTGGCCGCCGTAATTTTGTCTGTTATTTAGAGGTGTCAGCTATTCAGAGGGAAAAAAAATTTCGAAAATAGTTCGGAAAAAAAATAACTAGATAATATAATATACAACATTTATATGATATGCACATATATATAGTAATGATATATAGGTATTAGGTATGTATTTTATTTGTATTATTTTAATAATAAATAATAGTTGTACATATTATTTAAAATTATGATACACGTATTATTATTTATGTAAAAGTTAATGAAAATGTATACAAAAATAATTTAAAAACATACAGTATAAAAATTAACACGAATTGAAATAATCAGTTACTTTAGCTTTTAAGTAGTACAAGCAATTCACAATTTTTAAATACTCATAAAGTCATAACTCTCTTTAAAACTAAAATATAATAAAAAGCCCACGAGAAGCCCTCCATAATAATCTTACCTTTAATTTTAATAAGAGATCAATTCACTCTAATATTTAAGTTAACTGAGCTAAACGTGATCTGCTGAACGTTATTTTCATAATATAAATGGCATATACATTTTATAATATTTATAAATAGTATGGTTATTGGTTATAAATAATATACTTACTAACTTACTGATTAAAATATCAAATACTGTTATACTTGTACTATAATAAAATATGATGATATTAGTTATATTAGTTCACACTTGCAATGTATGTACCTACTTATTTTTTTTTTTAGCTTCTACTATGCCTCTCCATCGGTCTCTGTTGTCTGCATCCTCAATTATTGCAGTTTCATCTACTTGCATTAAGTCTTTCTTTACCCAGTCCATCCAACGCTGACGTGGTCTTCCTCTGGGGCGTGTTTTATTTGGTTTAGATATCATAACTTGTCTCATTTGGCTGTCCTTATCTCGCCATATGTGACCAGCCCATTCCAGTCTCTTTGAGGCAAGATATGTTTGGATATTTGGTCCATTAAAGATTCTTTCAATATTTGCATTTGTTCTCCTTTCGTACTCCCCTGTTTCCGTATTATACATGGGACCATATATTCTTCTGAGGATCTTTCTTTCAAATATTAAAAGCTTTGTCTCGTCCCCTTTAGTGGTGGACGACGTTTCGCACCCATACATTACTATGGGCCGTAAGTAGGAAATATAAAGCTTTTTCTTAGTTTCTCTGGAAAGAAGCTTAGATCTGAATAGTTTACTCATTGCTTATTATTTAGTTAATTTAATGTAGGTAATAACTAATAACGATAAAATAAATTAATGCAATAAGTAATTATTAATTGGTTATATATCTGCATAATTGAATCATATTTAAATTCAATAGGTACATATGTAAAAAATTATATAATACTGTTATGCTCGACGAAGTTTTTTAAATAAAATAATGATTAAATACAGAAGCACTGGATTCGACTCAGGAACGTGAAAAAGCCGTTCAAATATGACGAACGAATTTGGCTCAAATATTAATTAAATATCCTTTAAGCACGACATCGAGACCGAAAATCTTTGGCTCGCGGTTTTCGTGGCTCGCGAGCGAAAAAATTCAAACCGAGCCGCTCAGCTCACCAGGCGGTGACGAGACCGGATAGCGGCGGTGGCTAGAGGTACCGAGGTGGTCAACGAAGCCACCCCGTGGTACCTGTGACGACTGTAGTGCTACACGAAGACGACTAGTGGCGGAGCTCACAGTGAGTGGGTGATAGAAAACTATAATCAAAGCCTAAAGGGTATAGCTAGGAACAAGGACGTCAGCAGCGCCGGACTCGAGGGAACGAAAAGTGTCAGGGTTCGGTGGTGCGCGACTCGACGGCTGCAGGGCTATCGGGTGCGGCAGACACGGTGCCGATGGGACGCCAGGACGAAACCGCGGGAAGTATTAGAACAGCGGTGCTGTCCGCAGATTCTCTTCCAGTTTCACCCAGTGGTCTCATCCCGCAGGCCACCGATGACCGATCGTCGCCGATTCCGCAAGCACAGAGCTTAGGTCACCGTTTTTCGCCAACACAATAGTCAACGCCTTCAGCACCTACAGGAGCAGGACCGTCACGAGCACAACATCGCGCACTAGCCGCTCGTCGTCAACTGCCGTCGATCTCGCGGTCGCCGTGGCCGGGCTTCGTCCGCCGCTATGGTCGTCTTCGCGTCTCGAGCAAACGCGGCCGCGACCCTTGTCCGCCCCGCAGAACGGCCGTGAGAATGCTGTATTGGTGACCAATGGTGGCCACTTGCAGAAATCACTGCACCATCCATTCGCCATCACGTGCCCTCCACAGTCCACGTCGCCTCGCTTTCTATTGCATTTTTTATTCTTTCAGCATACAACTAATTCAAAATGTTTGATAGAGTTAAAATCATTTTTATACCTATGTTATTTGAACATACAATTGAGAATTGTTCGATTATGAAATAAAAATTTTGTTTGCAAAGTAAAATGTTGTTTTTTATTTTACGTAATACTAATACGATTTTAATTATTTCAACAGAATAATGGCTCATGAAGAATTTTAACCAACATTTTTTTTTATCTACGTACCAAATCTCAATAAAATATATCAAAGGTTTTGGCGACGTGAAAGTAGTTATAAGTTTACAGGTATGGTGAGATTTTTTCTGCTCTAAAACAAACAGATAAAATCAATACATTAATCGCTTGGCTCAGAATCTAAAACAAAAATAATAATGACTATTGATTTTATTGTTGTAGTATGAACACCACATTGTGTCTACACGTAAAACTGTAAAAGTATATTTACTGCGCCGATTCACAAGAGTCGGACGATTGAATCCACACACGCTGACGCTGTAGTTGATGAAGACGAAATACAGAAATAGAAAATTAAAAAAATTAAATTAAAAATACTTATTAAGGAAATGATCAATAAATAATATAAAAAAGTCCATAAACAGATCAATACGAGTCAAAATATTTTGAAAAATGTAAAAAGTATAGGAAAATGGTAAAATAAAAATTTGGTGTACATTTCAAGTATCTACTGTCATTCGTTTCTTGAATTGCAACAAAATAAAAAGAGAAATCGAGTGAATATCCAATTTTGTGAAAATTTCCACTTCAAACGCTCATAAAAATTTACTTTGACTTTCCCGTAGAAATATTTTTTGGTTCGAGATAGACAAAACTTATAAGGAATTAACATTTTAGAGTTCGTAAGTCGAATTCTAAGGATTAATGACCAGGTAATTTCTTCAATTTCTTTAAGGCACGCTTAGGATTTCTTAAGCATTGGTAAACAATTTAAGCAGTTTTATCTATACATCAAAATAAACTCTTATCTTCTGTAGTTCTGGGTAATAAAAATCTGTTCGTTGGAAACCACCTTGACTGAATTGGTTCGGCTCATTTTTTTTTTTCAAAACGTTCTTAATATTTGGAATGAAGTTTTTACGGAAAGAAAAATTGGAAAATAAGGGAAACCGAAAGGTGTTTTTTCAATGGGATTTTAGTATGCGAATAAACGGTTGCCATCTGTTTTAAAATACATTATAATTTATCGAATGTGTAATAAATCGAAAAAAACAGTCGATCTTTTATTTCTAGTAAACGGCGAAAGAACATTCGTCGGCGAACTGTGTTGTATTGATGAATTACCCTCCATTTTCACCAGGGTCCTCATAAGCGGGTTGTTAAAAATTTACGGGCCTGTCCGGGATTTGAACCCGGGACCTCTCGCACCCGAAGCGAGAATCATACCCCTAGACCAACAGGCCTTGCTGCGACGCTTCTGTAAACTGTAGTAATATAACGTAAACTAGTCAGAAAATGATAAGTAAAACCACAGAACAAAAATCGACGGTGTTGATAGTGTTGATAAAAAAAAAACGTGTTATCTTGAGCGTGGAACCGTGGACGGTGACACGGTGTTTTTGAAGTTTAAAACGTCTGTCGTCTGAAAACCAAAAATCTAATATTCTGCAATTCTGCTCTTGCTCTACCATACTTTTGTCCACGGTCTGCTCATTGATCCTCATTGATCGTTGGATCATGGGACTTCGAAATGTGTACACACTCAGTCGTTGTGCACAGCTGTAATAGTTCCTTCTTGCCTATTTATTAGTAGACAGCATAAAGTAATAAAGTCAACATCGACGCACAGCGATCCTATTTACTGAAAGTAAAATGTTGTATAAAATATTTCATCAAAACATTTTCGAAGTCATAGACCTGAGTTCGGCTATGCTGATGACAGCGTCGGCCCTCGTTGTTGGATACGTCTGGACATGTTTGAGGGCCTCGCGCAGGCAGAAGATGATAGAACTGGAGAACACGCCACACAGAGTGCTATTGATCACCGCACATCCTGATGACGAATGTATGTTTTTTGGTCCGGTCATACAGAAGCTGTCCAAAATGAAAGACGTTCACCTTTACTTAATGTGTCTATCCGTTGGTAATGACTAATAAGCCAATAGCGGCGGCAACACCTTATGACAGTTCTCAATAGATTGTCAATAATAATATATTTCAGGTGACTTCGAAGGAAAGGGCTCACTGCGAAAAGCTGAACTCTATGAGAGCTGCAAAATATTGGGCATTGAAGAGGGCAATATACTGTTGTGCAAGTAAATTATTAATGGTATTGACCACCATATGTATTGTTGTTACTTAAGTGATTGATTTCAGAAACACTTTGCTTCCTGACAACCCACGTGTGGACTGGGACACAATTTTACTGGCCGACAAGATTTCTGAGCACGTAGAACAATTAGAAATTGATACTGTTTTGACATTTGACAGCTATGGCGTTAGTGGCCATCGAAATCATATATCAATATACTTAGCATTATTCCATTTGGTTTATAATAAATTGCTCCCAGGTTGTAAGTGCAATATAATATAATAAGAAATGACTAGGGCTAGGATTTATATGCATTAAAAAATAATGAAACATGCATTTGGTTTATTTAAAATATACCAAATAAATATTACTAAATAACCACTTAGAACACAAAAAAAATGTTTACAAAGTTCTATTCGCTATAAAGTACTACTCTTAATAAATATGTTAAGATACTCCAAAAATATTACCAAAACATTTCAAAAAAGTTCTATAATCTAAAAAAATATTGTTCTAAAATGATAAACCCTATTCAAATGCATTACATGAAATATTTAGGTACATGATAATTTAAATTTTCAAAAATGAATGATCTTCTATTAGACCTTAATATGTTCTTAAATTTACTGAAACTCTGTACACTATCTATTATGACATTCTTAATATTTGTTTATATAAATGTTGTTACTTCCCCAAGAGGGCAATGAAATGTCATTTAACACAATATAACATAAAACTATTCATTTTGTCAAAATATACAAAAATATCTGAAAAAAAGTATTATAAAACCATCAACATGGGCTGATTTGTACTCATTATCGACAATAGCAGTAATCAAAAGTTGCAAAAACAAACATGCCAATGTATATGAATCCTGGTCCTTGAAAATAACTAATATAAAAATAATCGATGATTAAATGTTTACAATTTAGACTGTCGTGTATATTCACTGGATTCAGTCAATATTTTACGGAAATATGTCAAATTTATTGATGGGTTATTCAATAACACCTCAGACTTTAAATGTACTATTTCAACAATGGAACAAAATTGTGTAACTGTAAATAATTCATTTTTTTATTTGCAACTGTATGCTATAACTGTAAATTTATTAAAAAAAAAAAAAATATTTGTGTTTTAGAAAGCAATGCAAGCACACCATTCTCAGTACATTTGGTTCAGAAAACTGTATATGAAATTTTCTAGATACACCAGAGTAAACACTTTTACAGCCATTTCTGCCGAGTAACTTTTGACTTATCATCTTAGAATAATATTAGTTTTTAATTACTTATACTTTTAAGTAGTTCATGACTGTGATAATTTGTTTACTATAACAGTTAAATAATGTCTCATTATTGTTAATATATTTTTTTTTGTACAGTTTTCATTTTCCAAAAATTATTGTAATTTGTTACTAAAGATTGAAAATGCCAAAACGTATTACTAAAATAAACTGAATTTTTTTTTATTAATTTGATTACAATTGTTTAGCTTTAAATTTAGATTAGCCAAATTTAAATTAATTAAATACAAATATCTAAAAACAAGTCAACTATATCTCATATTGATAGCATAGTTGTATCAATTGAATATAGGAAAAAACACAAATTAGAATTGTTTTTTGACTGCAGTTGTTTTAAAAATTTAAGTGCTATGTACTGATGTGAAAAATTAACAATTTATGTATGACACTAATTATATAATGTACCTATATAGGCATATAGCCATATCACTACTGAATTTGAATTCTATAGTCGTAACCTGAGACTATGATATATTTAATGTATTCTGATCTATGAATTATGATTAAGAAAATGTTGGCGCACTATTTGTTTTTTCTTTGACCCATGCTGCTACATGGCAAATTGTTGTTCATCAGAACCAATCTTGTGTAGTCAACTAAAACTAGTGTGAATTGACTTATTATAACTGCAGTTAAGGTTAAGAGCTCTATCAGTCTGTGAAAATGTGTAAGTTGGCTTTTTTATGATAATTAAATTTTATAAACTTATATTTTATATACTTTAAGTTATATCTTCCATTCCAATTGAAATAATATTCCTAACTTAAAGATTTATTATAGGATAATTCACTCTTATATTAAAGCTACGAACACAAGATTAGTTCTACTGAAAGACAATTAGATATTTTTCACATGGGTCAGAGAAAACAATATAATATATGGTGTTCACATGCTCTTGATGATTAATGATTTTATTTTATAAATAATTTTGGTTGATAAGTACTGCCATAGCCTTATCATAAGTTGTATGTATTTCAAGACTACGGCACTTACCCAAGTGTAGTTACCACATATTCGCATATTACTTCTATAAATATAAATAATGCATATAGATCATGATTATAAAGAACAATTTATAGTTAATATTAATTATTGAATACTAGATGAATTTTTCTCTATTTTTTATATTATGAATATCATAGTACATCTTCTTATGAATATTAAAAATTAAAGAATAACAAATTTACTAATTATAATAATATAATTAGGTACACCTTAACATATACCAATCTTAATTAATTAAGGTTATTGTATTTTTTTATCCCAGGGCAATTTTTATAAAAGCAGTATAATAGTTTATACTTGTTACTTAATAGTACAGTTAGCATACAGAATTAATGAAGTTATTATGATTGAGGACCAACCCAATTTTTTGGCCTTTTCTTCAGACAAAACTAACTTTATTCATCCTTAAGAATTAAGAACAACTTAGACCTATACAATTGTCCAACTGTAGTTTGTAGGTAATAAATAAAAATAAAAACCTAACGGCTAACAATTTAGTGTCCTGAAATAGACCAGTCCATGAATTATTTATTTTTAGTTTTAAACTTTATTATTACAATAAAATATTTATAGCATACACGGTGTAACTAGAAGATCTAACAAATTAAATAACTTTTAGTCTAATCAATATTTTAAAATTTATTTTCTATACATTTTATTGACTCAAAGGCACACATATAATATAACATCTTAAATTTTATTTTCTAAATTGCCTATTTGTAAATCTGAATTTTAGAAAACTTTTGATTGTAAAAAGATTTATCAAAGTCAAGTAGTTACATTTTATGGTTTTTTAAATGTCTTAATGTCCTTATAATTATGTTCAAATTTTTTTGAACTCATTAATTTGAAGAAGTAAGTACCTATTTAAATTTTTTATTTTTTGAATTGAAATTGTTTTTTTGTCTAGATAAACTCTACCTAACAAAAATAATGAGATCTCAAAAAATTGTAAAATACACACCTTGAATAAATGTATTTACAATCAACATTTTTCTAAAAACCAAATTTACAAATCAGCTGCTTGAATTTAAAAAAAAATTGTATTAAATGATAAAAAATTTTGTTTTAAATATTAAAGAATAAAATTTAAGTATGTATGCATTGAAGACAAGCATCTGTAAATTATGTAAAATAAAATCAAATAAAAATTTTTTGATTGGAACAGAAGTTCTTTCGTTTGTCAGGTCTTTTTGTTACATTCTGAGTTAGTAATATTTTATTGTTATTCAGTCATTAAGGATAATTTAGATTTGGTGTTTTTATAGACAACTAACTTGGGCTAAACATTTTAAACACTGTGTCTTCACTTGTAATGCCCACTTCCATCTAAGTCATCCATAAACAATTACTTATAAAGCTATCATCAGACCAATGAGATCTTACACATTTATAGCATCCAGGTAAGAGGCTCTGCTAACCTAATCTAAGATAAATCAAAATCGTTCTACTTCTAATTTCATCAGGAATCGCTAAGGAAAGTTTGCAAGGTTGTTTCCATATTGTTGTATCAATATATTTGTTTATTAGCACACAATTGTAGCTGGAGGAAAAGCAATGCTAACAGCAGTTCCTCCTTCTGTCCTCGAAAACAAATACAAACAAAAAGGTTCATCAGGAATAATTAACTCTACTAAGACTTCCCAACACTCTCAACTAACCAAATAAATAATAATAATAATAAATTGTTTTTTTATTCAGTCAACCTGATTGTTTAAATCAAACAAGACCTTGAGATCTTGTAATGTAATCTGTCGATTGGCACTACTTAGTGCCTCTCAAACTCATTAATTGTTGTCACTATGTACCTAATTAAAATTACATATTATAATTGTATGTTGAATAATTAAAAAAATTAAGATAATTAATTCACTATCATTAGGTTAATGTATTTTACTATAAAACATATTAAATGCACATTATCTGATAATAAAAATCAGTTAATCAACAATATACTATTAAAGTCATATACATATTATATTTCTATGATTATGTTTTGATATTAAAATAAAGGAACAATGTCTAAATTTGACACTCTTGTAAATGTAATAAGAAAAAATAATAATTAATAAATAAAAATGATTTTATTGGAATTAAAATTATGATCCAATAACACGAATAAAAAAGTAAGGACCACAAAACAATTGTTTCAGAATAACATATCCATAATAAATATTACTGAGTTGGGGAAAAAGGTGTAGGATGTAGTATTTTAGATTGCATTTCTTTAATTAGTGGAACTGTGTATGCAACACACTCATCCCATCCAGGGGACATCCAAGCAGCTTCTCTAGTTTGTGTACGTACTTCTAAATTTTTATAACCTAAAATATTTCAATAATGTATATTTTCATTCTATCAATTTTTTATAACAAAAATACTTACACCAAAAATGATGAACATTATAGAGACGACCCACTTGAGAGAAGAAGCCAGCAAATGGCTCGTCGTTTGAACGCCGGTGATTGATTGCTCGAGCCCAATTATTACCCCACTCAATCATTGTACCTGGTTTCAAACTATAGCTACGAATCTCATATATGTTGGAACCAGATTTTAATTCAATAGAAGGCCAGAAACTGAAAGCTAACAAGTACTGTAGATGCCTCGAACGTAAGAACTGGCCACATTGATTGCGTAATTTTGTGTACTCCTTAAATAATCAATACCACCATGAATGCATTTCTAAGAAATTAATCATATCAAAAAACTTACTTGATTTTGAATTAAAATTGTATTGGTTTTATCAATTGCTGCATAACCACCTTGATGTTTCCATAAATGTACATATTGGTCTAGGTCACCTACACGTACAGACCAAGATCCAATCAGTTCATACTTTAAGTTAGGTATTTTTTGACATAACTGGACCACCTGTTCACTTGAATAATAATTTTAAAAAAGAAGCTTATTATTGTTGGATATCTATAGGCTGCAATTATAACAATTAACAATGATGCATTAGACATTTAAATTATGCCTTACTAGTTTTTCATATATTTATCAGTCGAATCAGGACGTACGTTGTGCGTTTGTAATTCATATATCACTTCTTTATCTGATAACATACGAGAGTGTTGTTCTTTAGTTGGTTCTATTCGTCGAACCAGCAATTTCTTCAACCATCCCTCATTAGTGTTATTTTCCAATTCTTTGTTGTCTTTGAGAGAGACCGAGCTCAAAGACAAACATCTGTAGAAAAAAATTTGGATAATGCAATGTTAATACACTACTGACGATCCATGAATAATTACTGGGTGCCATCATCGTGCCTAAAAGTAACACCGACTCACCTGAATTGCAATGGTACGGCGATTTGCTTTGCACACGAGAGCGTACACTGTTTCAGTATGGAATTAAACATTTTGAGAATTTTGTGTACGGCCGTTTAAAAACGTAGTTAATTGCAATTTGAAAAACAATAGGTAGGTACCTTGAGTATATTATTATACTATTGTCAATTCTTCATTTCCACCGGCTCGTCAAACCACTCATTCTGTGAGTATTGAGTATTCAGTGGGCACTGCTCAGGGCAGTCGTGAGCATGACGTCGTGTATATTATCACCGTGTCGTCTTCTGGCGATAACAAAGTTCATGGACTAACAACCATCATTCGTTGTTATCTATCCATTACCGATTTGTCTTCTCGGTTCTCAACAAGTGATGATGTTGATTGATGATGATGATGATGTTGAACCCGTGACGAAATAATATATAATAATATTATAAATTATAATGATATGGCATAGAGTAAAAAATAATAATATTGTATGGGGACGATTGGGATTTGGGACTCACGATAATAATATTGTTTACTACACACACAGTCACACAGCTGACGCAAGTCACATACACTCACACTCCACACACTAGTTTTAAATAGGTATCATTGTCTAAAGGCACTTATTACTCTCTGCTTAAACCTGCGTTTTATTATAGTTGTGATTGTTGTTAAGATAATTATTTATTCTTAACCAATCAAAATAGTTGGTAGTCAGTAGTCACTGCTGTTTAAATTTTAAGTGATTTTATAGTTAGTTCAACAATAAGTATTTATTAGAGGATATCTAAGTACCTAATTTTTTTTTTTTTTTTTTTTTTTTTATTGATCCTGAGCCCGGCAACTGTGGCCATTAGCTATTAGTAGGTACTGTAGGTTTTTG